ACAGCAACCCAACAACGGGCGCGCGCGCACAAAAAAAGAGGTGTGTTACACCAGACGTCGCTCCGATGCGGCCGAGCATGGTTCTCTGTCTGAACTTATTCTTCCCTGCAGGCGAGGCGAGGGGGGGGGGGAGCCGTGTGTTTGACAAGTCACGCACGTCCCCGTGCAGCGGCAGCAGCAGCACCAGCAGTCCATTTTCCCATGTAGGCCAACCGGGCCAGGCCAAAGGTCTTGCCTTGCATAAAGTGCCCCCGGGCCCGGATATGATGGCCGTGTGATTTTCCTTCTCGAAATCGCCAAGACCCATGGGAGGTTTTTCTTCTGCGAGTTTCCGTGTGTAACCTCTTATCTACATACTTGAGGCCATAGAGACACACACACACACAGAGAGAGAGAGAGAGAGCACGAAATAGTACCTATCCGCCGTCATCGCCCATTTCATCATCATCATCGCCCGCCATGACACTACCCACCAACCCGAGCTCCGACTCGGAGCACAAGCCCGGCGGCGGCGGCGGCAGTGAGCCCCTCGCGCTCAGCAAGCCCGAGGGCGAGATGCCGCCCGGCGTGTCTACCCCGATCGAGATCGACGCAGAGACGAACAAGCGGCTCCTGCGCAAGATAGACTGGCGCCTCATGCCCGTGGTGAGTTCTTGCGCGTAGACACCCCCCCATCGCACGCGCATGTCGTCGAGTGTGATCGCTGACCGCGCGCGGACGTCGTCCCAAAGCTCTGCTTCACGTATGCCCTCCAGTATTACGACAAGGCCATCCTCAGCCAGGCCGCCATCTTCGGCCTCCGCAAGGACCTCGGGCTGCAGGACGGCCTCAAGTACAGCTGGGTCTCGCTCATCTTCTACTTTGGCAACCTGGTGGGCACGTACCCCGTCGCCTTCCTGGCGCAAAAGTACCCGCCGCGCATCGTCATCACGACCATCTGCATCATCTGGTCCATCATCGTGCTGTGCACCACCGCCTGCACCACCTACTCGGGCATCCTCGCCAACCGCTTCTTCCTCGGCGTCGTCGAGGCCGGCGTCTCCCCCATCTTCATGCTCGTCGTCGGCATGTGGTACACGCACTCGGAGCAGGTCTTTCGCTCTAGCATCTGGTACTCGTGCAGCGGCGGCTCCCTCCTGATCTCGCCCGTCATCAACTACGGCCTGGGCCACATCACCGGCGGAAGCCTGCACCCGTGGCAGTACATGTACCTCGTCGCGGGCAGCGTCACCCTCATCTGGGGGGTTGCCCTGTGGTGGATCTTCCCCGACAGCCCGCAGGTGGCCAAGGGCTTTACCGACGAGGAGCGCAAGCTGCTCCGAGAGCGTGTCCGCGTGAACAACGCCGGCGTCGAGAACAAGCACTTCAAGCCGTACCAGTTCAAGGAGGCCCTGGGTGACTACCAGCTCTACCTCATCATGGTTCTGTCCCTGGTGAGCTGCACGGGGTCTGCCGTCCTGAGTGTTTTCGGATCCATCGTCTTCAACGGCATGGGCTTCGACATTTATACCTCGTTGCTGCTCAATCTGCCAATCGGCGCGTTTGCATTCATCGCGATCTTGGGGTCGGGCTACTTGGGCATCAGGTTCCCCAACGCGCGCCTGAACATTATCGCCGGAGCTTGCGCGCCTGTCATCATGGGCTGTGCACTACTGTAAGTGTCTCCAGTACAAGCCCGACGCATGTGTTTGTCGTCGGCTAACCCCGATCCAAGGTGGCAGCTACCCAACTCAAAGCGTGGCGGACGCATCTTTGGACTCTACATGATTAGCTTCTTCTCGTCGTCGTGGGTGCAATGCATCGGCATGGGCACATCCAACGTTGCCGGCTACACCAAAAAGGCCACCTACGCAGCGGGTACCTTTATCGGGTACGCCCTTGGAAACTGTGTCGGCGCCTTGATGTTTGACGCGTGCGTATCACCCTTGCTTGCTTGCTTGCTCGTGCATGCCGTGCAACGCGCTGACCCGTTGCCTCTGCAGCAAATACGCGCCTCGGTACGACAACAGCTTCACCGGCGTCATGATATGCTTCGTGGTGTGCGTGGCCGTCGCAATGCTGCTGCGCTTCCTGCTCGCCAGGGAGAATGCCCGCCGCGACAGGGAGTACGGCGCGCCGAACATCATTCACGGCTTGGAGGACCTGACGGACAAGGAGAACAAGTCGTTCCGGTACAATCTGTAGAACAAGCCTCGCGGAGGGGCCGTGGGCGTCCTTGGGAGGAGGGACTGTGTGTTCACTGTGAAGAACGTAAGATGGGGAGCAGCAGGGGGAGATGAGCTGATGTAGACGTGTGCATGTACGAACGAGCCGACGATGTACGAGCGCAATTTAATGATAGAATTCCCGCGTGCATGACATACATCGAAGGGACATGAGTAGCGCGAGTGCGTGTTATCAGTCATGGAGGTAGGAGACGCAGGGATGGACCCATGGCGCTGGTGCAGGTGAAGCTCCAAAGCAATTGAGGGAGGTTGGGATGGAATCCAAAGAAACTGGATGAAACTGCGTGCCGACGATTTACCGGCCGGGCCGCCTGCTGCAGTGGCTTCGATCCGCTAGGTAGCCGCCCGCTGTGCTGCGCTGCAGGCCGCCGTCCACTAGCGCCCCGCGTTCATCGCACTGTCAGCCCTGTACTCGGAACAACCTGGAACTTCAACCGCAGGGCATGTTCACTGTTTTAACTCTTACCTCATTCATTCCTCAACTTTCCACCGATCAGCAGTCCTACTTGCAACGTGCGTCAGCACTCGGGATTGTCAGGCCTCATTCGATTGAGAGGCATTCCGTGCTCCGCGTTCCGTGTTGATGCCTCCGTGCCCTCCAGAGCAGCGCGTATGACGGAGTCGACGGAGCACGCGCCGCGCTCATGACCGCCGACAAGATGCCGCTCATGCTCGACGACTCGATGAACGTCGAGCTCAACACCGTCGACGACCTCTTTGGAGATGATGTTGCGCTGTCGCTGCCCGTAAGGAGCCAAGGCCGACACCTGCATCAGCGGCTCGACGAGCTTCGGAGTCGAGGATGCTGCCAGTGAGAAGAACCCTCTCTCGATGCGCCACCGGCTACTCAACCGTCGCTGACCAACCCACCCCAGATCCGTCGCGTGGTCGAGGACTGGCACCATAGCGACCCTGACACCTGACGGCCAGACGCTGCAGCTGCGCTTCCTCCGGTGTAATCCGAGCAATGGCTCCTGGGATCTCAGCGAGCCGACCACGTGCGACCTCGTCAAGGGGTCGCCTACCGTCCCGCTCGTCCACCTGGAATGGGGTGCTACCAGCAGCCCCGACCTGGCCGTCGTCGATGCCGTCGGCAGGGTCGCCATCGTCAGCTTCCCCATTGCACTCAACCACCCTTTCATCACCCGTAAGTGGGATGCCGACACGGTCGACGATGGCCATGCCCTCGTGGGTAGCCATTGGCTGGCCGTGGCGCCGACGAACCAGCAGGTAAGTTGACCGTCCCATCCATCGCAGGCACGCGGAAGCTCACCTCTGTAGAAACCGTACAACGTCATGTACGGCCCGGCAAACAAGCAGGGCCACTCGTATCACTACGAAAGCTGCTTTTTGCACGCCAACGGCCCCAGCCATCCCCACTCCTCCAAGAGCGCGTTGCTTTGCGTCACAATCGGCGGCATGCTCAAGATGTATTGGTCCCAGAACAACAACAGGACTGAAGAGACCATCATGGAGCTCGAGAGCGTCAATTCGTCCGATGAACTCGTGACTCATGCAGCGTTTGCCTCAGAGAAAAGTGAGCTCCTTCATCCCACCCGCTTTTCGTCCCGTTCAAACCGACTCTAAACGTCTCATAGAGTTTCTCTTTGTGGCGCTCGCAACGTCGTCCTCGAGATTGAAGCTCCTCAAATTGGAGATTCAGTGGGGAGGCCCGGGCAGCTCATCAGACAAGCCCATGCCGTCCACGGCTCGCTTGAATCCGGCCCTGGTCGAGACGCACCTATCCTCCGCCAGCTGGCTGCACGGCAGCGCCAATGACGCGAACAACGATGCGACGATGGCGCAGCTGTCACATATCCAAGTCCTGCCGTCACTCTTGGACAGCGCTGGCAAGAACACGATTCCACCTGTCATTATCACCGTCAGATCGCGCGCTTCCGCCGACGGATCGTATGGAACGGCGCAGAGCATCATTGACCGCTGGGAGGTTGTTGAGCAGCGCCAGAATCTACATTCAGCCTTTGAGCAGCTTGGCGGCCGCAGAAACAGCGTCTCCTCGGACATTCCCTCGTCGACAAAACTCAAGAAGCTCGATTCCGTTGTTATCAACAAAGTTGTCATTGGATTCCAGGCCATACAGTTTAACAAGGTTATGCTCCTGACCATGTCGGACGGATCTGTCGAGTTTCGGGATCGCGTCACGTTCGAGGAGGTGTACGCAGGCGAAGACCTGAATAAGATTATGAATCTGCGACAGGTCGGGTGGGCCTTCACCGACAACGGTCCTTGTACGTGAGACTGCTCCAGAAAGCCGAACGATTGCTGACAATAGCCAGGTCAACAAGTTGCCTTCTCGCCGACTTACTGCTCCATGGTGCAGTTGGGCGATGACGGCAAGGTCAAATGGAGCAAGCTGCACTACCCAGCTGGAGATATTGGCAACTCCATGCATGAAGGTATGTTTTCCAGGACTCATCTCAATCTTGTGTCTAGTCTAAACAGCCACAAGCGCATTACGCAGCCACCATAGCGGGCCTGGCCGTCATGGTGTCCTCATCCATGTGGTACATGAGCAGCTACGATGACATGCTCGCCATCGTGCAGCCATTTACATCCAAGAAGAGTCAGTAGGCCAGAGACTTCGAGCGGTGCAAGCACTGACAGGCGTAGGGTTTACGCAAGACTGGATCAGCGAAATCATTCGCATTCTTAGACTTCAGGTGGATTACTCTGAGGAGATGCATCACGACTCTCTCATGAGGAACGCGCCGCTGCAATCATGCCTGAGCATCATGCACAGTCTTGGCTTCAGAGGCGAGGCACGGCGGCGATCATTCCAAAGCAAGTTTGCGACTGTGGATATCAACATTCGGAACGTGGTGATTCTCATTACGCTGGCGAGCAACACGCCCATGAATGTGAGGGAGAAGATGAGTCCTCTCGACGAGCACGGTTTGTCAACCCTGTAGCGCTCCGGTTTTGGTTCTCGTGGCTATGAGGCTAACATGTATCGCAGAGGTCGTTGACGCCCTTACCGGGTGCGCAAGATGGTCGCTCGAGTTGCTGTCGTGGCTGACGGACTCGCTCTTTGAGCTGATGAACAACGAGGAATTTACCTCGAAGCTCGTGCCACAACGATTCTCCGAGATAACCGCCTATCTGCACGAGCGGAACAACGTGGCGCTTCATTTGCTGTTGAGTTCCTGCAGCCGAAGCTTCCTATCTGCCTTGTGCCGAAGGATTGCACACCTCGAGGCGCTGAGCAACAAGATTATCGACTTTTATCGGAAGCAGACCGCCGAGCCAGCGGCAGGGGGTAAGCTTCCCAACCCGCAGCTGCGCATGGCCTACGAGAAGATGCACCAGGTCACCACGTCGAGCTTGGTGAGCGCGACGGAATTCGAAAAGCTGCTCAACGTGCTGGGATCCGACATTCGGCAGGCATATCAACAGTTCTTGCCGAACCTGGTCAAGCAGGGCGCCAACGCGCCGCAAGGGAAGCAGATCGACGTGGCCATCAAGACGACGCAGGTTCAGTTCGAGATCAGCATTTTCCTGGGGTCATCGCCACCACTCCCCTTCCTGCCGGTGATTAAGAAGCTGTTCAGTAAGGGTCTGCCGGCGCTGCGGGACCAGACGGACCCGGCGCAGCTGTTTTTCGCCGATTTTGGGCTTCTCGAGATCCAGGACGATGACTACAGCCTCGGGGCGAGGCGTGCCAGCGGGACATACGTGGACCTGTTCAAGCGGGTGGAGCTTCGACAGAGCAGCACAGGTCCGCAGTGGCGACGGTGCGCGCGGTGCGCCTCGGTCATGGAGGACGTGTTTGGGAGCAAACCCGGGTTCACGTTCGTGCTCAGCCAGCAGCGCAAGTGCTCCTGCGGCGGGCAGTGGGCGCTGCTGCCAAAAGGGAAGCTTTTGCTGTGAGCGAGTGCCCGACGGACGACACGGGCCTGATTTGCGGCGCACCGGAGCATCGAGCGACAGAGTAGGAAATATGGAGTATTGGTTACATGCCGTGGGCGCGGGATGCTGAGCGGTCATGATTATTGCGTTACAAGCGGCCGATGCTTGCGTGGGACAAGTGCTGACATGCAGATGGGTGTGCCACGCGCGTGTTTGGATATGTTGATGCGCGAAATGGAAACATGGCTTATGATTACACGCAGATGTTCCACGCAACAACTACGTACGATGCACGGAGTAGGCGCGTGGTACGACTGCGTGCCTGAGAAGTCAAGAATCTCCAGGTCGTCGACCAAAGAATGCAACGCCGTCCCAATCGGGACAGGCCGTAGCCGCACTGGGCAGGGCCGAGGGCCAGCAAGCAACCTGGAAGCAGGGGGGTCATCGTGATGCTCCCTCTCCCCCGCAGGCGCCGGCTCCGAGAGGTGTCCTGTCCCGTTGGGGGCCGTCGTGGGCTCTCTGCCGCGTAGAGTGGGAGGCGGCCCTGCAAAAGCCGAGCCCCCGCTGAGCATCCCATGGATGTGAATGAATGCTTGCAACGTTTACGACGGCCGAGCCAACCACATAGCAGGACTGGAGCAGACCAGGCCAGACCGGAGCAGATCGCCACGCACAAGCTCTTCTCGTTAATTTAAACGTGAACCTGGGGTGGTCAGATTGCGGTCCCCGGGGGGTGACCACGCACCAACATAGTAATGAGATTGCTTTGGGACGAGGCATGGCTCGTGGGCTGCCCGTTTGGGGAGGGGGGCCCGCGGGCGGAAGCATGTTGGTGGCTTTCGAGGGGGACAACGGGCGAGCGACTCGCTCCAAGAACAGGTGTGAGCACTTTCCTACTTTCTTTTTGTTGCCGCGCAGCATGGTCCATGGATGTCTGCTGTCAGACGAGGGAATAATTAAATAAAACTCTCCGAAGGGCGGCGGCGGCGCGCCGCGTTCGCCCGCTGTCAGCAGCGGCGGGAGGGAGGGAGAGGAAAAAGGAAAAAGGGGTGGTGAGGCGCGTGTGTGCCCGCCGCCCTTGGCGATGATGGCCCAGGCAAGCCAGGCTACGTCCGTGATCAAGTGCGCGTGAATGCAATTCCACCACCACCACTTGTTCCGTCCGCCCATCTGGGCCAAGCGGGTTAATCTTGGGGGCCGGCGATCTGGCGCCTCTTTCTCTCTTCCCCACGCGGCGTTGCTTTTTGGTTGTTTGGCGCCCGCTGGTGCCAGGCATCCAGGTCGCCATGGGAGGGATGTGATGGGCAGGGTGGCAACTCGAGCACGGACCAGGGGCGGCTTTTATTGAATGACGATGGGCGAATGCCGACCAACGAGTCACGGATCCGGATGGACAAAGCAGTAAGCAGCGGGCGTTACTGTACAGTACAGCCTTGGGTTCATCCATCGGTGCTGGATGTCTGGACTCTGAAGGAGGATTGGATGTGCCGTATTCGTAGTGCGTCGGTAGCCTCGGCGCGTCCGTGGTCAATGACGGGGAGGCACGCCGGCAAGGGAATCTCACTCGGGTGCGCGCGCGCGTATGCCGCGCATCATCAGCCAGTGGTTCTGGCAGGCGAAGGGATAGACTCATTGCAATAGACTTTTGCAGGCCCAGCTCTTGCAGATGAATGGATGGATACCTTGGACGATAGATGAGCCGATGGCGATAGCGCGCGAGTCCCCTTTCCTCTTCCTTTTCTCTTTCCCCGTTCCTCGTTCCCATGCCCGGACGATGCTCACAGCGTGGCGTCAGCTGAGAAGCATTACATTCGCGAACCAGCCTCGCTCGCCTCGCCCGTGAAATCCAGTACGGTCGCTGCGCTCCGCACATTTTCGGTAAGCTCGAGTCGACGCGGACTTTGCGTCTCTGGCGTACGCATACGGGGTAACGACATGCTCACGCGCCGCGGGCATGCATGGGACCTGCGCTGGGCCGGCTGACAGACCATCTGAGTGACGAACGTCGTCGTCGTCAAGCGCAGGAATGAGGAAGTCGGTGTGCGAGACCCGAGACGACGTGTGGGCGCCGGTGCCATCAGATGCCGCGGGCAGGACAGGCACGCGTTTGAAACGCAGCCCACACGGCTCGCCCTCCGAACCCTTCTTTCCTGTTTGCCCTTTTCCTTTTTTTCTTCTCTCTCTCATGCGCCGGGCCGCGTCGGCAGCCCGTGCCGGACGGGTGCTGCGGGAAAAGAAAAAAACGTCACCAAATTAATAGAAACGCGCCTTGCGTTGCGAACCTTATTGCTCGGTTCTGTACGAGTACTTCGTAATCCCAGCGGCCACCACGCTCGCGTCTGCGATTACGAACCTTGAACTTACGAGCATCTCGTGTTACGTAGGTACTGCGTACCCGTGCTGCGCCGGGGGGGCCACCGCCATGGACCTGGACCTGGACCTGGACCTGAGGTGGGATGGCATCTTCCATGGACACAAGGGGGGCGCGGTCCCGTTCGGGAGGCACGGCGTTATCTGAGCCTCGAGGTTGTCCATTCATCCGCGGGTTTAGCCACATCACCGTACTACCTAGAGAGTCGCCGGACCTCAGTCACCGCTTGCAAGCGCCCGTGGACGCACAGCGTCTAGTGCGTGTTGATGAAAGCTTCGGATCTGAATGCTGGCTCACGATGATGGACGATTGGGCCACGATGGATAGCGCCCCCGTTCCCGCCTGCGAACCGCCGGAGGCGCAGGCAGAGGTGCAGGAATAGGGCCCGGGCAGCCAAACAGCCGCCCCTTCTCAGCCAATCCACAGGGCCATTCCAGGCCCCCCATCCGTCCATGGCTCCATCCAGGTCCAGGCGTCCCAATGGCGCCAACCCAATTGGGGACTGCCCCCCTCCCCCTGGACCTTCCCCCTGACGTGCCCCTGGATGGGCCCCTGATGCTGGCTGCCCTCCCACCCCCGTGGCGCTAGCGCAGGTACCTCGCGGGCACGCCAGCGCGCTGGCCAACCACGGCGCACCCGGCACCCGCTGCAGAATGGGACACATGGACTCGTTGGGGTTGCGCTGCGTTCCTGGCGCCCGTTTCGACCGTTTCGAACAATGGATGCATTGGCGCGGTCGAGGAACAGCCGCCTGCCACGCATTCCGGCGCGCGTAATTGTTCCTCGACGACCCTCGACCTCGACCTCGACGCGGGGTGCGCCCGAATAATGGAGGCACGCGGGAGACAATGCGCCGTGCCCGAGACAGGGCCAACGATGGGCTCTGCTCGCATGTATGTTCCTCGTACTCGTGCTAGTAGCACTCTCTGGAAAGCCAAGGGACGTCGGTCGGGCCCAGCGCCTGCCCCCCCTGTCGACTCTGTAAATTAACCACCAGAGCGCCGTCATCCCCCTGCCACCCTCCAAGGAAAGGGGGCGGGCAGGGCAGGGCATCCGCCAGTGACGGGCCGGACCCTCGAGCTCCCATCCTTGGGGGGATTCGCGCTATAGCCCGTAGAGCCGTCGATAATATCGCCGTTCGGGAAAAGGGCTTGCGCACGGCGATGATGATGCGACCCTACCGGCCGCCAGCCACCAGCCAGACCGATGGAGGGATGGAGGGATCGATGCTGCGCTAAAATCCACCACCAGACACACCTCGACTTCGACTTGCCTAGTCCTCACGGACACCTTTTTCTGTTCTCGCCGTTCTAGGGCGCCTCCTTCCTTCCCGCGCGCGGCCGACGACGATCCATCCGTCCAGCGGCCCCTGCCTCCACCGTTCGCTCGCTTGACGCCCCCCTGCTCGGCCAACCCTCCCTCACCGTTCGACAGCACCGGTTCTGGGCATCAATCTCTCTCTCTCTCCCTCTCTCTCGCACACGCCGCGCGCGCGCCCACCCCTCTTTGTTCCCCCCCCATTGACACCGCGAACCACGACCGCGACCACCACCACCGACCGCCTGACGCCCGCCTCCACCGCTACCTCGTACATTCCCTTTCCCAGTCGGCTGTCATCGTTCATGGCCAATTTAACAATCCCCCGGCGATAAGACATCGAGGTCACACCCGCTCGTCCCAATATGGCATCAACACCTCCCCCTCCCCCGGCTCCGGGAGGCGGCGCGGTTGCAGCGGTTCCAGCACGGGCTCCGTCGCCGTCGTCGCCGTCGTCGATCGTGGCCGACTCTGATACCGCCTCTGCCTCGTCTCATGTCGCCCGAGACGTCCGCCTGCCTCACCACCACCACCCTCACCCACCTCACCGTCAGGAGCACAACCACTACCACAACCACCACCAGAGCCAGTCCTCTCTCGGGTCCTCGTCGTCCACGTCGTCGTTCCCACGCCACCGCCCTCAGCACCTGTCGCTGCATCAGCGCGCCCCCTCGACATCGTCTGACGCCATTCGCCATAGCGCCGTCCATAGTCCCCCCTCGTCCGCTCCGGCTCCTCTTGCTGCTCCCGTTTCTGTTTCGGAGACGACGTCAGTCCCGCCGGGAGTCCCTCCGCCCTCCGTCGTCAGAGTGCCCATCAAGCGGAAACCGCTGTCGTCAACGGCTTCGGTCCACTCCTTGATCCCCTCTGTCCGCTCGTCGGAGGAATTTTCTTTCCCTCTTCCCCCCTCGTACGCCGGGTTGCCAAAGCCCGACCAGAGGTTCGCGCGTCGTCAGTCCGTCGACAGCCCGACCTTTTACGACTTTGCCTCGTCTGTCCGGGCATCCGTGCCTGCTGCCCAGTGAGTCCGCCCCCCTCTCAGCTCCCGTCCGTGTAAGTCGCCGTTCGTCATCGCCACCGTCAATGCGTTCACACGCCCCGGTGCTTGTAGAACGTCGCGTCGACGCAGCGGGCAAGCGTTCAAGGCGGACCCCTCCTTACTAAATTCCTCGTTCCTCACCTCCAGGTCTCCCCTCAAGCTGGCGACTGTTGACAGCTCTCACCCCGACGAGGGCCGCATTCCATCCGGAGATCGTCCGCTGGACCCTCCCGACGCCGAGCTGTCGGACGTCCTGTCCGAGTACGACGATCTGATCTCAGAAGGTTCGGACATTCCACCGGATGCTGCTCGAGACGGCACGCCCACCAACGCCCTCGAGGACAGCTCCGACGACATCGAGTCTCTCTACGCCGATAATATTAATCATAGTCCCTCCCCGTCATCTCCCATGTTTGCGCCAAAGCCGACACCACCACACCTCAAACTCAACAAGGTAGAATCATCGGCCGCGGACCACGCCAAGCGCCAGTCCAACGCTCCATCACTACCGGCGTCCTTGGACACACCACCGCTAGACGCCTCGCATTACATCAACAAGCCGCTTCCAAAGTCGCCAGGTCAGGCGTCACAACTTACCTCTTTGTTTGGCTGGGGCCATCCGTCGCCCTCCGTGACTGACTTCTCATCCGCTCCCTCTCCTTTGTCGCCCACCAGGAACGGGTCGACAAATGACGCGCTGCGCACGAACAAGTCTTTGTCAAACCACAGGGCGGCCAATGCGGCGCAAGCAAACCCTATCAACTACTGCGAAACATACTTGTCTACACCGCCCCCGTCCCAATCCGTTTCGTCTCTCCAAGTCGAAGAGATGGAAGAGGAGCTGAAGGTCATCAGCGCCGAGCTGGCTGCGTCCATCCGGCGGGAGATGGACTTGGAGGACCTCGTCGACCGCCTCCAAGAACAAGCCAGCAACCCGCAAGCGCCCAGCAAGAGGACCAGCGACTACTTTTCCGACTCTGGCTACAGCTCCGCCAAGGTCAGCGAATACGATCAAAGCAGGGAGGAGATTGAAAAGATCCAACGGAGATCAGAGCAGGAAAAGGCGTCCATCCGCCTCGAGCTATCCAACAAACTGCAAGATGAGAGGTCCAAAAGGAAAGTCCTCGATCAGCAGATCAAGGAGCTGGCGGAGAAGGCGTCGCAGATGGACTTGGCTCACATGAACAGCCTCGACGCCAGCGACCGCGTGCGGGACCTCGAGAACACGTGCGAGGACCTTCGACGAAGGCTATCAGACGAACGCCAGTCCAAGAGCAACTTCGAGGACTTGCTCACCGCCCTGAAGAGCGAGCTCCAAGACGCTTGCAACGAGCGCGACAACCTCCGCGATGAGGTGGTCCCTCAGCTGCGAGCGCGCGTGGAAGGGCTCGAGTCCGAGGCCTCTAAGTACGCGAACCTCACATACGAATCCACCAAGATGCAACAGCAGCTGCAATCCCTCCAACAAGAAAACACGTCACTACGGAACTCGCAAGGCGAGCCGCCCGAAGGGTTCAGGCTCTCCGGGCTTGCTCGCTCCAACTCGGTGGCAGCTAGCTCCTTTAGGCCCCGCGGCCCGCCTCCCTCGGCCGGGCTGTCGAGATCGGGCAGCGTCAAGAACGTTCAGACGGAATCCAGGGAGCAGCTCGCCGAGCGATTGAAGGACGTCGAGGCACAGCGAGACGCGCTCCACAGCGCTCTCAAGAACCTCTTGGAGAGACAAGAATTCCAAAACCGCGAGAATCAGAAGAAGATTCGGATCCTCGAAAACGAGCGCCAGCGACTGCTCTCCGAGAACCCCAAAAAGGCTGGGTTTGAAAAGGACATCAAGAGCTTGCGCACAGAGATCAACGTACTCCGACGACGAGCCGAGGATGCGCTCGAGCAGAAGTGGCAGGTTGAGAAGGGTCTCGTGGGACTGAAGATGGATCTCGATAGGGCCGAGGCAGAGATCGCGGACCTCCGAAGCCTGCTCAAAGAAAAGGACATTCTCATTCCGCCGTCGATTGCCCGGTCAAGTGGCTCCGACGCAGGCGTACCGAGCGTACCAATTACGTCTGAATCACTCGAGAGGGCGTACCGGGAGTTGCAGGACGCATATAATGACTCCCTGAACCGCATCAAGCAACTTGAGGTGGACGGCAGCAGCCTTGGCTCCGATGAGAAGACCAAGCTCGCCCTGGAACGGCTGAAGAAGTCGCTAGCTGCCGCCGTCTCCGAGCGCGATGCCGCCAAGAAGCACGTCTCGGCGCTTCAGAGCCAGGTGGAAGGCTTGTCGGACATCGAGACGCAGTCGGTCGGGCGCGAGAGGAGCATGGCGGAGGAGCTCAGCGAATCCGCGATCCGGGTCGAGCAACTCGCCGCACAGGTTCGACAACAGCTCACGAGCAACGCGCAGCTACGGGATCGCCTTGCCGAGACAGTGACGCGGGGAGATTCGGAGCGGAAGGCGAACTCGGAACGAATTAGCTGGCTTCAGGAGCGCCTGCACGAACTCGAGGAGCAGCTTGTCGCCGCGCAGACCACGTCGGAGGAGCGCGTCGGCCGCCACGAGGAAGAGCTCTCACGGCTGCGCGACGCCCACAGCGAGCAGCTGCGTCGCATCGGAAGCGGAGCGGGCGTGGGCATGACGTCTGCACCAAAGTCACCCCTTCTCAAGTCCGCAGCCAGGCAGATGTTTGGTCGCGGGACGCAAACAGTGCCGGCCAAGGGCTTCGATGAGGAGATCCAGATCAAGGCGTTGCGCGAGCGGGTGACGGAGCTGGAGAAGGCGCTCGCAGACGCAGAGTCGGAGATTGAGCAGGTCGTGTTTAAGATGAACACGGCGCAGATCGAAGTCATGAACCTGCAGGAAGAGCGCGAGGGAGCCATGCGAGAGACTAGGCGTCTCCAGAGAGTCATCGAGGCCGAGCAGGCCAAGTCGTTTGAGGAGCGCTTCAAGACACTGAATGGCATCGTCGTCTGAACGGGCAGTCGTCGAATATGGACCGGTGTATGACGGGGACATGCTTCACAAGTCACGGGGCAAGTGGCGGCTGCATCAAGCGATTGGAGTTTTTGTTTTGCCTGCATCCTTAGGGTGGTAGGCTATCACGGGACGGACATGGGAATCAGGGCCCCGGGCACAGGTGAAAGCAGCCCGTACCATTTTTGGGGGCTCGGAGTCGAATGATTTGGGACACTGGGTCGCCGCGGCGGCGGATGCATACGGGCTCATATGGCCCGACTTATTGGGTGGTCTTGGTGGTCAAAACAGCAACGACGACAACCGGAACAGCAACAGCAACAGCCGCATACCTCGCCTACTACGCGAGTAGAGTTTTGGGCGTAATGTTTTATAGTACTACTATCTAGTCTCATGGAGGGGGATATGGAAAAGGAAGCAGGCCCGTGGCGGACCTGTGTATATTAGTTAACTAGCTAGAAGATGAAAGAGAAGGGTCGTTGCCAGAGCGCCAAACGTGGGCGTGGCCGGATAAATCGTCACGCGTTGGTCACGCTTATTTTGTGCTAGGATGTGCAACGACCTTGGTACTACGATATTCTCGGGGCGGTTTATAAAGTCGGGCGATACCGAAAGAAAGGCAGTTGCCCGACCATCACGTCAAGAAGGAAGGGGCTGTTCGCGCCTGCCCATGTAGTTGGGATAGGTTGGTCATATGGCAGGCGATCAGCATGTCCTTGGACGTCAGTCCGGTCTATCCATTTCAAAACATTCACTCATTCATCAATACGGGAGCACAACGGCACACATAAGCACTACCTCTCTCAGCATCATCCGTTTCATTAACATTGTCATCATGTTGTCCTGGCGGCACCATCTGCTCTTCTGGGGACTGGCGGCCGCCTCCGTCATGGCGCGATACACGTTCTACACGATGCGGCCGACGCTCTACACATGGATTAAAAACCCCGAGGCCAACTTCCGCAGCGCGTAGGTCGCATTGCTATTCCACTGCGCCATGTCGCTGTTCAGCACAGCGACGGGCATCCCAGCGCCGGAGAAGTTGGGGCCCCGACCGGTCCTGCCACTAGGTTGCGTTCTACGTCTGGCGCTCGGGATGGCGAAGGCGCGCCCAGAGGCACACGTGCTCTCTGTGCGGGAGGCGTGGATCGTGCCCCTCAGGACGAGGCTGTACGGCTTGTTGTGGTGGACGGGCGTCTGGACGGCGGCGGCGCCGGTGGACATTGAGGTGGGATTTGTGCGACGGGATGTTGCTGTTTGAGCGAGTGGCTTGGAGTGTGAAGCCGCGATATCAAAATGTACATACATAGTATTATGTACATGATAGCGAAATGTCAAGACGGGAAAGCGCGCTTTGAGATGAATCATGGAATGCGAATGCTTGAAGCCCCACATGAGCTCCGGCCGCATCTCTTCAGGGCCCCTCTTGCTGTTGCTCGAGGCTCCACCGAATCCTTCCCTCGTGAACCCACTCTCAACGTCTACCGTGAACCCCCGTCTCTTGACCACCACCTACCCGCCAGGCAACAGCTGCCCTGCCTTGCCTGAGGTTGCCGTTGCAACTGGGCGACACAGCCATGGTTCACGACTCATTCACATAACAAGCACAACACACCATCGCGCCGCCTCGCCCAAGCTTCACCTTTTGCAACTCACGCCACGTCCCGGAACCATGCCGTGAACTTCATTCGTCCCGAGCCTGTGGAGGAGGATCGTCTTTCGGTAATTCTTTTTGTTCTTTTGAAAGCGAAATCATGACCACACCGCGAGAGGCTCTGGAAAGCAAGGTCGCTTCCTTCGCGATTCTTGGCAGCCTGAAGCGCGCTGCCGCCGAGGACGACGAGGATGTTGATGAGAATCACGAGTATACGCGTGAGGAGCGAGACCGCGAGCGGCGCATGCGCTTCTTTCGGCCGGCCCCGCAGCTTCCAACAGAGTCAACCTCCGCAGCACGTCGCGACAGGACCGTCGCAGGCACGCCGCAACATGCGACCGAGACACCTAGGAGAGTCACGTCGGCTCCGCACGGCGTCATCGCGGCCACGCAGAGTGCCGTAGCCACAGCGCGTGGTGGCCGCCTCGGCGCGCTGCTCACCGCCGAGCCTGGCTCCACGGAAGGCGAGACCGTCATACCGGACACGGTTGCTCGACCTCCTGCGGACAAGGCCTCGCTTCTCCGGCGCAGCGACTCGACGCCGCTCCCACCCCCGGGGAAGTCTCTCATTGCCGAGGCGTCGCCTTCACTGCAGGTCGGCGCCATGAGGAAGCGCAAGCGCGGATCCACAGGAGACAAGCTCCGCCCGGAGCGGGAACAGGTCCTCAAGGGTCTCTCGTTCTACTACATCCCCAACGACGACATCGCGCCGGCGCGCCGGCTGCGCATCAACAAGGCGCGCGAGTACGGGGCCACATGGACTCGCAGCGCGGTGGGTGCGACGCACGTGGTCGTGGACAAGGCCATAGAGTACAAGGACGTGGAAAAGGTGCTCGCGGGTGCGGGGCTGGGCGAGGGCAGCGGCGGGCTGCGGCCAAAGGTCGTGAGCGAGGACTATCCCATCGACTGCATCCAGTTTCGGACGTTGCTCGACTGTGGGCAGAGCAAGTATCGCATCGCAGGGCAGCCGGTTGAGCCTTGCGCGGACGAACACACCATGGGAAAGGGGGTACCGCCAAGCTCGGAGGAGTCGACGACGTCGCTGCAGGTGAAGGAGAAGAGACCCACTGATCCTAATCGATGGGACTATGTGCCGCCACCGGGCACGCCATCAAGGAGCGAAGAGTCGTCGCACAAGGGCGGAGCGGGAACGACGGCGCCAGACGACTCTCAACCTGTCGTGCTGGACCTTGGCCAACCGGCAAATCAACTAGAGGAAACTCCAGCCGCTGCGCCTCACAGCAATCCCACTGAGCCTGCGACGGAAAAGGACGAACTATCTAGTTACGTGGCGATGATGCAAGAGTTTAAGGACCTCCCACTGGATCACGACGACGATGACGACGATGACACGCGATCGACTGCCGGAAACACAAACATAGAGTCGGACAGCGATGAGCACGAAGCATCTGAAGCCGAGGACACGCGCGGGCGGGGAGGGAAGAAGTCACGCCTGAGGTCCAAGACCAAAGACACCAAGTTCGAGGACCGGTTCGCATGCAACACGGCCGGCGAACTAAAGGCGAGCGCAGACAACCCCAATGCGAGAACGATAGAGGTGCTACAGAGCATGGCAGATTACTACGACCGGGTCAACGATCACTGGCGGCTGATGGGGTATCGCAAGGCCATCGGCACGCTCAAGCGGCAGGGCGTCAAGATCTGCACCGAGGAGGAGGCCTTTCGGCTGCCGCACATCGGACGGCGACTCGCGCAGAAGATTGAGGAGATTGTGACGACCAACAAGCTGCAGCGACTCGAGTACGCGGAAAAGGACCCTGGGGACGAAGTACTGCAGCTCTTCCTGGGCGTCTACGGCGCGGGGACGAACCAGGCGCAGCGATGGATCGCCAAGGGGTACCGCACGCTCGAGGACCTGGCGCAGCGGGCGTCGCTGACGGCGAGCCAGCGCATCGGGGTGGAGCACTACGCGGAGCTCAACGCGCGCATGCCGCGGCGCGAGGTGGAGGCGCTCGCCGACGTGGTGCGGCGGGCGGCGGCCGTCGTGGACCCGGAGGCGGAGCTCGTGGTCGGGGGCAGCTACCGCCGGGGCGCGGAGACGTGCAGCGACATCGACTTCATCGTGACGCGGTGCGGGACGAGCACCTGCGCGGAGCTGCGGCCGCTGCTGGACGCGCTGGTGCGGCGGCTCGAGGGCGACGGGTTCCTGGTGGCGCGGCTGGCGTCGTCGTGGTCGTCCAAGGACGGCAGCAAGTGGCACGGGTGCTGCGCGCTGCCGCTGCCCAGCGGTGAGGGCGCGGGCGCGAGCACAAGCAAGGGTCCGTGGCGGCGCATCGACTTCCTGCTGGTGCCGGAGACGCAGATGGGCGGCGCGCTCATCTACTTTACGGGCGACGACGTGTTCAACCGGAGCATGCGGCTGCTGGCGTCCAAGAAGGGCATGCGGCTGAACCAGCGGGGGCTGTTCCGGGACCCGGACCCGGGCGGCGGCCGGAGGTGGTCGGGGACCGGGACGGCGGCGGCGGGGGGCGGGCTGAGGAAGCCGCCGGTGGGGGAGGAGCTGCTGCTGGAGGGGCGGGACGAGAGGAGGATCTTTGAGATGTTGGGGGTGCGGTGGAGGGAGCCGCATGAGCGGTGGTGCAGGTGATGGCTGGCGACTGAGAGATGGTATTGCAAACCATCGTTGTGGTGATGAGTCGACGACGACTCGATGAGCATGAATCAACGGCTACAGTATACAGTATGCTGCTTATACCCCCATATTCGTGGAGAAAGACCAGGGAGGTCCCTCGCATTGCAAAAGTAAGCCGATCATTTGACAATTATGAGCACGGTGCGTGAGTGTGCGCTGTGGTGCGCTGAGAACGCCGACGACGCAAACCCACACAAAGAGAGCGCAAAAGCACATGAAAGTCGAATGCGCATCCGTCCCGCATCCCTTCACCCGTTGTCACATGCGAAATTCCGCCACGGGATGGATGGATCAAATGTCAGATCCAGGTCACACCCACCACCCACCACCACCACCAACCCCCGGAGAGACTAATCGGGCGCGCAGGCAGCCCCAGCAGCTGTGTCCTCCGGCGCCAGTGCGTCATCGCCCTAACCCATTGGTGGTGCCAGTGCCCGCGCTGCCCGCATGCCCGCCCCCAGAACCAGGCCCAGCCCAGGTTTCCCCAGTGGGCGACGGGGCCTAATCCACCTAGCGGGCGGCTCCTGTCAGCACCCTGGCAAGGGCTCCAGGCTTCCCCCCTCCAGTGGAGGCTCATAGCGCCCGTTCCATGGTGGGGCAGCTGCTTGTGCATTCCCGAGGCTCACTGAGGTGCGTGCCCGCCGCCCGTTTGCGACTCCGCCGACCGCCGCCGCCGATAACTTGCGCTACCCACTGCCATTGAACGACGTCGTCCCTCCGTCCTCGACCTCGCAACCTCCCTCCCTCCTCCCGCCCCCGCGTCACGCCCTCGATATACCCTCGTCCTTTTTTCTCGATGGGACATATGCGACGCCTGCGCTGAACCGCTCCCCCGCCCGCCCTTCGCTCCGCCCTTTCCTCGTCGCAGCCGTTGCCGCCGCCGCCGCCGCCCCAGCAGTGACGCCACCGAGAGTGACAGACCGACGGCTCCCCAGAAAATAGCCGAGGCACACCATGGCGTCGACGCTCGACGTCCTCAAGGTGCGTTTTTCGCCGCGCCTATCGCCCATCACCCGCTCCGGGCCCTGGCACGAGAGGGACATCTGCGCGATGAATATGCGCAAATGTGCAGATTGAAAAATAAAAGGGAAAGACAGAGGGCTGACTGGCTTGTGGTGCTGCGCAGGCCGCGCTGGAGCGCATCGCCGTTGACCCGCGCTACCACGATGTCCTCTCGCTGGTCAAGACGGCGCGCAATGGTGCCGTCTACGGGACCAAGGTGCGCTTTCCGCACGCGCTGGTGTAAGCATTCCCTCCTCGGTGTCCCGTCGATGTCGTCCGTGAAGCTGACCCTGGTCTTTCTCTCGCGCGCAGCATGATCTTCTTGTTCCGGTCGGGAACGTACGTACCACCACCACCCATCCTCCCGAACGAGATGCCGGTCGCGCCTTTCGATTAAATAGCCGGGAACACGCCTGTATAAGCCGTACTAGGAAACAGACTGGGCTGACTTGATGTGTTCGTTGCGGGGACGTGTAGCTTCCGGCAAAAGGTCTCGCTGGTGCTGCGGGCGACGAGGAAGCACGCGAGTAACCTGGCGCGCTTTGCGACGATATACAAGCTGGTGATGCTGGGGCTCAAGCACTACGGGCCCACGCCGGGCAAGGAGGGTGAGTGACCGGATGAATACGCTTCGCGAAGCCCTCTGATGAGGCGCATCGCATCGCACGGCGCATGTGCTGACTTTGTGGCGGAACAGGCCCCTACGACTCCTTCTTCGCCGGCCTCCTCGGCGGCTACGTCGTCTTCGGGCGGCGGTCCCCGCGGACGGGCCGGCCGTCGAGCGTCAACCAGCAAATCGTCATCTACATCTTCGCGCGCGTGTGCCTGGCGCTGGCGCGGCTGGCCATCAAGCCGGGCCACGGCCTGCCCGTCGTGTCGGGCGAGCCGCTGCGCTCCCACCTCTCGCACTACGCCTGGCCCGCCTTCGCCTCGCTGTCGTGGGCGAGCGTCATGCTGCTGTTCCGCCACCACCCGGAGGAGCTGCAGTCCAGCCTGCGGAGCAGCATGACGTACATTTACAAGGACTGCAACGAGTGGGACTCGCTGCGGACCCTGCTGTGGCATAACAAATAGACTCTTCCTACCTTACCATCTGTGTGTGCGCATCTCTGGCGGAGGAGGGGGGACAAGAGGGGCGGGCGCCGCCTGTCTTCTGCGGCGCAGGATATGGCAAGGCCGCTGACGGAGGTGCCCGACGGGCTGGCCGATGAGGCCCCGGGGAGGGGAGGACACCAAGCACCCGGGACTATACACATGTACATTTTTCGGAGGTTGCATTAGAATCCTGGCACGTAAACTGGTTGGGCCCTGGCTGGTCGTCTAACGGATGGGCGCTTGCGAGAGTGGTGCGTGAGAGTTTGGGCGTGCATTGAATGGAGACTTCATCTTCATATTTGCACTATGACAGATCCCGAGCCACCGCCCTCAGAGAGAATTTGTGACTCATTGGCATGCAAGTTACACTATGACTGTATACATATTCCCTTAACACTCGTCGAAAAGGTAGTCGACCTACCTGGCGGCGCGCGAACGAAGCTCATACGTGCTCGTACTTGACCAACTCATAGCAGCTTACCCGGCACTAGCCCGGTCCACTGCCGAGTCGAGCGCAGTCCACAACCCCGCCATTCGTGGTAGCTCCCCGCCGAGCTGCCTGCACCTCCAGCTTCAACTCCACTTCACACCATCACCGGTGACCATCGCCGCCGCCGCCGCCGCCGCCGCCGACAGGCTCCTTCCGGTCACTCATTTCCCTATCCACGAGCTCGACATCTAGCACAGCACCACAGAGCCAGCAAACAAAGCGTTTCATCAGGCAGCCGCCCGCCCGACCATGGCGCCCAACGCCAACCTCGCCGCGGCCCTCTCCCGCGCCGAGGCCGCCCCCAGCGACAAGGCGCCCCTGTACGCGGCCATCTTCTCCGACTTCAAGCAGCTGTCGACGCCCGACACGGCGGCAGCGGACCTCTGCGCCGTGGCGGACTCGTTCCTCGCGCAGGGCCTGGGCCCGATGGCGACGCGCGCCGTGCTATCGGGCTTCACGGCGACGCTCGAGGCGCTGGGCAACGACGAGCTCTCCATCGCCGTGGGCGCGCACGCGCTCGCCGCGCTCGCCGCGCAGCCCACCACGGCGAGCGCCTTCCCCGAGGCCACGGCCGCGCTGTGCGAGCTCGTCGCCGCCGCGCACGAGGCCAACGACGACTTCGCCGACGCGGCCCGCGCCCTCGCCCAGATGCCCCTCGACGGCTCCCAGCGCAAAGTCACCGACGACGACCGCGCCCGCGTCTGGGTCCGCATCGTCCGCAACTACCTCGAGGTGGACGACTCCACCGCCGCCGAGGTCTACATCAACAAGCTCAAGAACATCATGCACACGGTCGACGACCCGGACCTCAACCTGCACTTCCGCCTCTCGCAGGCACGCATCCAGGACGCGAAGCGCGACTTCCTCGCCGCCGCCCAGCGGTACCACGACATCAGCTTCTCCCCGGCCATCGCCGACGAGGAGCGCCTCCACACCCTCGCCATGGCCATCAAGTGCGCCATCCTCGCCCCCGCGGGCCCCATGCGCAGCCGCACCCTCGCCCGCCTCTATAAAGACGAGCGCTCCGCCCAGCTGCCCGAGTTCGCCATGCTCGAGAAGATGTTCCTCGCCCGCCTGCTCTCCCCCGACGAGGTCGCCGCCTTCGCCCACGGCCTGCAGCCGCACCAGCTCGCCACCACTGCCGACGGCTCCACCGTCCTGGCAAAGGCCGTCATCGAGCACAACCTGCTCGGCGTCTCCCGCCTCTACGCCAACATCCGCTTCGACTCCCTCGGTGCCCTGCTCGGCCTCGACCCCGCCCGCGCCGAGGAGACCACCGCCCGCATGATCGAGCAGGGCCGCCTCGTCGGCCGCATCGACCAGCTCGACGCCGTCGTCTGGTTCGAGGGCGGCGAGGCCTCGGGCGAGAAGGGCAGCGGGAGCGCCGCCGCCCTCGTCGGCAAGCAGATGCGCCGCTGGGACGCCAACGTCGAGAGCCTCTCCGAGGAGGTCGAGAACATAACCAACTCGCTGCAAAAGGAGTTTCCGGTATGCTTCCCTCCCCCCCACATCCTCCCTGACTTTCCCACGCTCGTCCTCCAGGCTGGGGATTGTCAATATTTGCCAGCCGTTCTTTTTGCTAACTCGCATAACCAGGACTTTGTGGCGGCGAACCTGATTGTATGACTGAAATGAGCAAAAACGGGGACTGGGGCCACACGGCACCACCACATTGCATCGGCGTTATTTCATCTTTTGGTGTTCTTTGGTAGACGAATGGAGTCTGGAGTGTTGGTGAAGCATATCTCGTCACTAAACCGGGAGCCAGCGCGCTGCGTCTTCCTCAACCACGGCTGACCTGTCCCAGGCCCGGAGCGTGCGGGCGGGACGGGAAAATAGATTCTGGATTTTTATATCCTTGACTTGAAGTTCCGTTTCATGGTGCCGTCCTACAAGCCAATGCGCTATGCATGTTCCCACCATGAGATATGAGAAGCAAGCCGCGTGCCTCGCTGTGGTATTGACTCTAGTAATCCCAACACCAACGCTGCGCCCAACTCTAGTCTGCTATCTATTCAGTCAGGGAATCCTGCTTGCTGGTTAAAAGAAAATTATCACCCGCCGCGTTAAACCTTGTAAGAAAAGCACCAGCAGCGGTCATGGCCTGTGCACGAGTTTTCGTCTTCTAGTCCAAATCCTTCTTCCTCACCACGACGTAGCCCTCGTTAAGGTTCTTGGGGTCGCCCAACTCCTCCTCAAACGTCTTCTTGTCGGCACGAGCCGATTTCGCGGGCTGCTTGGGAGTCAGTGGCTGCCCGGGAGTCCGTGGCTTGGCCACCTCAGCCGCTTCATCCTTGTGGAGTTTCAGGAATGCGTCGGCGATGTGGCCGCCCATCCAGTCGTATCCGACGTCGGTGAGATGCAGTCCATCGTCCCAGTACCTCTCGCATTCTTCCGGGGAGAGTGAGTGATATGGGATCTTGTCGTGCAAGTCCATGGTGTAGCTAAGGGAGGGTTGACGGGTCAGTCAATGTAGCAAGTCCAGAGAGGAAAGCCGTGGTGGAGTAAGACGACGCACAAATTGGGCTCGGTGTGCGCGAGGATGGCCTTGTTGAGCTCACGTCTGGCAGTGATTACTTGCCGTACCCGAGTAGCGCTCTCGGGCACCGTGAGGGCAAGCACTTTGATGCCCCTGGACATGGGAATTGCCCAGGCCGCCCTGAGGGCGTCAAGGATGCGAAGTGGTGTCTCCGAGTAGTACGCCAGGTCGCTAACGCCCCATGTCAGCATTGAGCAAGGTGCGCAACGCACGTTTTGGCCAAGCAGGATGTCAAGTGAAGCAGGGTGCTCACTTTGTCCCGCCTAGCATGATGACCCAGTCGTATTGTATGAAATCGCCTACGAGGGCAACCTGGTCAGTCTTGGCGATGTTCACATCGAAAGGGAGATGCCGGCTTCACGCACAGGCCTTCTTAAGGCGCTCGTGGAAGGGCTCGTGCAAGACGACATCGCCAGGAACCCCGCTCGTGTCCACGCAAATGTCCCGGTCCGGAATCGCAGCGCGGAGGCGCGCCGTCATTCCGATAGCGTACGGGTGCTCGCCAAAACCACCACTGTAGAAGCCCTGCGTGAGGGAGTCGCCGAAGCAGAGGATCCTGAGCGGGGCGTTTCTGGACATGGCGGGGAGCGGCAGAGGAGCCGGATCAGATGCCTTATCCGACTGCGTGCGCTGATGCTGTGCTCTTCTTGGTCTGAGATGGATAAGTCGAAAAAAAGGCAAACACTGCTGCTATAGAACACGACGAATGAATGGATGGGGGTGCACGGGGCGAGACGGCGGGAAATGGATGCAAGGCGCAGGTGATGCCCCAAAAAGAGATGCTGGTGACCGCAGGCAGGTGCGCCCCGTCATGGCTCGCGTGGTGCACGGCGCACGCAGCATGATGCATCGACCTCTGTGAGTCAGTGGTGGCTCACGCCCCGGCCTGCTAGAGGCAAGAGGGACCAGGACTCCCGGAGGAGGGTACCTACCTATACCTGAGGTACTACCTCGCCGCTCAGTACCTACCTGTAAGCTGACGGGGCTCGGGGCTGTCGTCAGTGGGTGGTGGCATCCGTCCCTAGTGGCGGTAAAGGAACGCCGTGCAGTGTTGTAGGCAGCGGTGGTGGTTAGGTGGGCAGGCTTGGCAGGCCCGTTCCATCCGGGGCTGGCAGACTGGAAGGTACTATTTGCTGCTATTCGCACAGATGTTTGCTCATTTTTTGGTGTGCACGCGTGGGACGACAGCGACGCGCCGCGTGCTGGTGGTGCTGGTGGTGCTGGTGCTTTCGTTGCTTTCGTTGCTGCTGCTTCTACCATCTGATACCTAAGGTACTGCCTTAGGTATCTATGGTTGCCTGCCCTCGGCCCAGGCCTGTGCACCTTGTTTGTGTGCGGCGGGCTACCCGGGCGGCCGGGGCTCCACAACGGCCAGCGGCCACGCCAGCTGGTGGGCAGCTGCGCGCCCTGCACACCTACCTTCCAGTCGCTAGGGCCAGCTCGTCGGCTGATTGTTTGCACCTCCAACAACAACCTTCATGCATCGCGTCTCGTCACGGCACCCTCCAGCGCCAGAACTCGCGGCAAACCGACCACAATGGCTGGCACCGTCTTCCCCAGCGGTCCAGGTCCGAGAGATCTCAAGCAGCCGCGAATATGCGACGTGCTGGGTTGGTCATGCCACCACCCCAAAGGTTTCTTTGATCTTCCACGCCAAATTCGCAGAAAAATCTACCTCGAAGCAGGCATACTCCGAGATGACGAAGCTCGTTGTGTCGACGACGGCGCCACATCGTCTGAAGTGGACAACCAATCGTGTACACCTTTCCAAGTACATGACCGCGATCTCCTGACAAAACACGAAACCATACTCACGGACATCATGGCACAAATGCGCGGAGGGTTTTGTCTGGCGCTTCACAGTCACTCGATTGACCATGGACTGCTCTTCCTCTTGCGGCTTCCGGCTTGGGTGTGCTCTCGACTTACCGACTTGACCCTCACCCTTCACGAGCAACACCACCAGAGGCAGTACCAATACAACGGCTGGTACCGCATTTCAGAAAAGTCGATGAGTGCTAGCCGTCTCTCCGTGTGGAAGAGAGCAATCAGGCACATCTTGTGCAACAGTCCTGCACAGACGTTGCGACTCCATTTGGTATGCGAAACAGGCGACAGTCGAGCCACGCACGAAGTTGTCCAGCCTCTCCTCGACTCTCCAGGTGTCTTGAAGTCTTTCGGAATCTCTCTGGGGCGAGGCGCTTAGGATTCCACCTCGCAGTTCGCACGAAACTTGGCACAGAGCATCCTCGGTCAAGGAACGCCAGAACACCCCCCACCATTTCGTTTCTTCAATTTGCCACCAGAAGTGCGTCGAAAAGTGTTGCAATTCACCGACCTAGTCGTGCCTCGGACAGAAGTCCAGTGGGACTCACGACACGGGTTTTATGTTGAGGGGTTTCGGTGGACCCCGAACAATGAGGGTTGCGCCGTGGAAGCCTTCTGTCACAATTTCAGCGCATCCTACTCCGAGCATTGCCTATGCTGGTTCCCCCCGAGAGCCCTCTTCATCGTTAGCAAGGCAATGGCACAGGAAGCGGCCCACGTTTTCTACTCGTGCAACAGAATCATAGTGGTAGATCGCGACGACGACAACGACACCAATAATTACGACCTGCTCACGGGGCTTGTGGATGCTGCGATGTTCATACGCAAACGCAGCATCCGTCCCGCGATGCTTGGCCACATTCGCACTCTGGAGATTGTGTTGCCGACTGCCCGGGACAGCGCCGACGTTTGGGAATCGCAGGCGGGCCAGGCCCTCCGTGGGTGGCAGATGGCGATCGACAACTTAAAACGCCACGCGAACCTGCCTGCTCTGACGCTCGTGGTCCTGATAGACGTCTGGTACTGTCAATGGGATGTCGAGCACGTGGAATATTTCCTCCAAAATGCGGACGACCTTTACTTGGCCGCCCTGCCAATTCTCGAGCCTTTCCGGCAGATGCGGGACCTCAAGCGTTTCTTTGTGCGACTCGAGTGGTCCAGCCATTGGTCACCTGGATACCTGATTCCAGAGGACGTAGCGGAGGACATGACGGCCGTCAGGCTCTGTCGAAACTGGGGCCGAAGGCTAGAGCGTATCGAGCGCACGTTGGAGAAGTTTGTCAAGGGGGACGATTATGACAGTCGGGCATTGGGAAAGCTCGGTTGCGGTCCGAGCCTCTGGATGATTGAACTGTGGGACTACTTGACTATGAAGCAAAGGGAGTGATGCGGGTTCATGGCATGTCTCGACGTTAGGGTGAAGGGCAAAGAGATTGCGTGAAACGGCTATGTCACAATTCGGGGTGAGATCTGCCTATGTCTGCCTGTCACATGTCAGGTCATGGAACTCATGTTCGGAATAGAATGGTCGTATACCAGTTCGAATATTCTTGAGTCGTGATGTCCGCACAGATAGAAGAGTCTAACCGCATAGATGTTTCGCTTCCAAGCAACGACAGCGACGACAGCAACGACAGCGACGAGAATAGTAGGAGCAAGAGGCGGCGCGTCGCAGCAGTCCCATGCCTGCACTTCAAAACTGGCTGGCACGGCCTCAGAGATGAATGAGGAACATCCGTGCGACCAGACTGTTTTGTCAGTGCGAATGGCACCACTCTTATTCTTGATTGAGTTGGTTCTTCCCTGATCTACAGGCTGTTGATATGCACACATAAAACGCCAGACCGAGCCCCCCCTTCCCCGTACCGCCCAATAACCCCCTGTGTCCCAATGTACATTCTACGCCGCTCGCCACGCCCAAAAATCTTCATCAATCTTCAATATCATCGTCACTTAGCACTAGCTTCTGGGCCAGCATCCCCGACACGCCGCCGGCCTTGATACCGGCGGCCTTCTTGCGGGGGCTCGCCTCTTCCGAAGGTTTGTCCGTAGCCCAGGCCTCGCCCGGCGCGGCGGCCTCATCGTCCGCGTCCTCATCCTCGTCCGCGTCGGCGGCGTTAACGCCACTAAAGGAGACAATCTTCTCGAGGTCGCGGAGGCGGATGGGCGCCTTGCGCGCACGCGCAATGTGCGCCATGTAGGGGAGGCGGTCGAGCAGCATCTCGCGTCGGGCTGCGCTCCCCAGGGAGAGAAGCGGTGGAGCGTCCTCGCTCTCGTCTTTTGGAGCACTGGAAGACTTTGACGAGTTTGCGGATCGGGCTTGTTGCTGGCGCTGCATCCAGGAGACGTCGCTCGATGACGACGCCTGTGGTTTCCGGAACGCGCTGGCACCGTCCGTGAGGTTCTTAGTCGGACCCTGGCCGTCACCCTTGAGCGCCTTTGTCGACCACACGTCTATTAGGCCCTCAATCTCCTCCTTTGCCCTCCACAGCTTTAGGCTGGTCGGGTAGAACATCTTGAAGGCGTCGCCGCCTCGGGGCATCGTCGTCGTCTTGCGCTTGACGGGGTTAGGGAGTGAGAACAACATGCCGCGCACGGCTACCTCGAAAGTCATTTCGTCTTGTCGGAGGAGCTGGCTGCCAGAGTCTCGCCCCGAAAAGCCACCCCTGCCACCGAAGAAAACATCTCGCGAGGGGCAGAGTAGATCGCTGAGTGACAGGTATTCTATGCATTCGTTGACGTAATCCATAGGAGTCGAAAGGTCCATTGGCCCTGTGCTTTCGCATGAGAGGATGTAGTTCTCGTGCAAGGCGGAGATAAATGTGTGGGTGTCTGTCCCCGTTTCGTCGATAAGTGAAGCGACAGACACTTGTGATCGCTTGGGTCGCGAGAACCGCGAGAGGTACGGCGGCAAGTCCTCCACGGTGTCACCTGGTGGCGGTGCTTCGTCACGTTTGTTGTAGACGACTTTGCCGACGGCATGAAAGATGCCTAGACTGGCTTCCCGTTGAGAGACCATCTCCAGAGTCTCCGTCTCGCTCTTTGTCAGGCCAATGCCGTCCCTCGCGCCTCGTTTCTGCTTTGTGAATGTTACCTTGGCGCCCCAGTCTGCATCTTGATCGCCCTTGAGGCAGAGAAATTCCAGGGACGAGATGGCATTTCGAATGTCGCCAATCTCCCCGAGCCGCTTCAGAACGAGCGGCCCCGGTGTTCTCCTGCGGCCGGATTTGCGAGCCTCCTTTTGCACGATGAGCTCCAAAGCCTTGGCAAGAAGAGACGGAGCTATGGCGTTGAACTCGATGACCCCGACCCCGGGATGTCGCAGTATGTCAGGTCCCAAGAGCCGATGGGCCGTCAGGCTATCTGCAGACGCGGATGTTGTGGTAAGTAGTGTTTCGGAAATCACTAGCACCACCGGCTTTATCGGTTCCCTTTGCGGTTGCTTGCCGAACATGGATAGGGATGGTGTATGCGCGGCTAGATAGTGTAAGAGGGAGCTTCGAAAGGAGTTTAGTGTCGAGGATGACCGCGAAAAGGTGTTTGGGAACTCCTCAATGAGGATGATTCTCTTGGTGAGATCGTTGCCGGCGCCATTGGCAGAGCTGGCCGGGGTAGCAGGCGACGGGGAATCCATATCCAGGGTCCCAAACTTGCCGCCCCTTCCCAGGAAGTCGTCGAACTGCGCCGAGGTGGAAACAAAGCCCGTGGCCGAGGTCCCCGTGGGGTTCTTCCATTCGAGGAGCTCGCAACCCAGTTCCTGAGCGAGCAGACGCATCGTCGTCGTCTTGCCCGAGCCAGCGGCGCCCTTAAGGATCAGGACGCGCTGCCGCAAGCGCCCTGACATGACATCTTCCAGCCATCTTCGCACGTCTGCAACCTTCTTCTTGTGCACGGCGAGCTCGTCGAGGTTTCGGGGTCCGAAGCGTTCTGACCACGGCCGCAGGTCGTCGTCGAGGGCAGCGGATCCCGCAGGCTTCGGCGGCCGGAGAAAGCGCTGGGTGGCGCTGAGCGGTTGACTGGATGTAGCCTCGGCTCCATGGCGCAGCCTCTTTCGAGCATGCTGGCCTACCAAGCTGGACGAGCTAGCCTTTAGCTCTGAGATCTCGTCGTCCTCGGATATGGGATCGCTTATGATGTCGTCAATCGGAGTGCTTCGCGTATCGTTTGCAGTGCCAATCCTCGTGGCGCGTTGTGCCTGCTTGGAAAACAGGGTCTTGAGGTCGGCCGTCTTGCCCTTCTCCTCGACCTTGCTCGCGGCCCTGCTCTTCTTGGGGCTCGGGCTCGCGCCATTGCTCAGCGTCGAAGGGCGGCGCTGCTTGCTCGGGCTGGTCGCACCGGCGCCGTTTCTCGGCTTCACGGGGCTCGGCGAGGCGGTCGGGACGCGATTCTTGGAGGGCGAGCTCGGCGAGGACAGGAGGTAGTTGGCCAAGGTATTCGCTCGGGGCTGCTCGTCTTCCTCGTCCGAGTCCTCAACGGGGTTCCGCCGGCGGCGCTTCGCGGGCGGGGCCATTGATGCGACGGGAGCATCTGCGGCCTGGGTCTTCCATGCGGGCGGGTTCCGTCGACAATGGTCGTCCAGAAAGGAGGCCTGACGGCGGTGTGATGAAGAGGCGTGCAGGCGTTGCCTAGCTGAGCTGGGAGGCGGCGTTGACATATGGCTTGCATGGCCAGGCCCCCAGGCACCTCAGCCAAGGTCTCCACAGTTACCTGCAGCACTGCCGCCCGTACAGTGTCGGGTGCCCCGCGCCGCCTGCGCACTGTTCTTGGGCGATCGATGCAGCCACGGATGTTGCCGTCTCTACTTGCACTTCAGATGGTTCGAATGTGGTTGCATAGGTAGGTAAGAAAGAGCCCGCGTTCAGGCCTCATTGCACCGTAGATTTTGGATACCAGTGATTGCTTACATGGCCAACGCACCCACATGTCCGCCAACTCACGCCGACCAACCCTTGAACCCTTCGACAAACATTACGGCCGCCTCCAGATACATCTCTTGTCCATCTCCCCACGTTTTGGCATTTTCCTTCATGGTACGAATCGCTGTATTGTGTTAGCCTCGTTCCACCAATTCATCAATGTAGACCCACCTTCTAGGAACCCAGCGTCGTGCGACCACTTCGAGGTGAGAGCCGTCTTCTGTACCCACGCCCAGTCCTTGCCATTGGCGGCGACATCGAGGCTCTCCGGGTCCGGCCGCGGGCGTCCGGCGAGAACAAAAACCGCAATGGCAAGCAGCCACCACTGTCTCAGCAGCGTGATGTGATGCTGAGGGGGGACATATGGCAGCAGAACCCGAATGGCGTGGCTGGCCGACAGCAGGTGAACAAAGTTGGCGCTGTATACGTGCGTGCCTGCCTTGACGCTTGTTGCCAGCAAGGCCACTGGTGCTTCCTGGGATAGCCGGAACTGGTCCATGGCATCGTCGAAATCCAACGCGTTCCAGTATTCCAAGATGAGATCCTCGTGCTCGGCAAAGACTTGCTCCAGCTCAGAGAATTCGGTCGCCTTGGGAATCTTGCTGAACCGCCCGTCTTCCGAGATCTTTGTGAGAAGATCTAGCGGCGAGTCGGACGTGAGAGGAGATGGCCGGGTGTAAGCAGCCTGGGTAATGTATTTGTGCAGAAAGTTGTGCTGAATGCATGCCAATCCAAGAGCTTCCATGGCCAGCTCCTTGCTGTCCATCTCATAGGCGTACCCAAGGTGAATGAGCGGTTGCGCAGCTGTCGCACACATCAGCGTGGTTCATGCTCGTCATTGTTCACTTCGTACCGTCGCCAATTAGGCTATAGCACAATGGCATGTCGCCACTGAAAAGAAAGTGTTGGAGCTGCTGCTTCCAATTGTAGGCAAAATCCATGGCGAGCTTGTCCTCGAAAAAGTCGACGTAGGCTCGCTGGTACTCCCTCTCGCCGAGAAAGTCCTGCCAGTCCAGGTCGGCGACCTCTGCAGGGGACGGCGTCCATGGCTCCAGGTGCTTGATGCCGACCTCGTACAAGTCATTCAACTTGGTCTCATCGGCGCCGAGCAGGTATGCCGTGCTGAGGAGGTGGGAGGTTTGGTTCACCGAGCGCAGATGGTTGTAGACGATGGAGTAGTTGACGTGGTTGGCCTTGAGGAGGTGCTTGAGGCATCGGGCTCTTCGGCCAGGGTTCGTCTCGATCTGGTGGATCTCGACTGGTGGGAGGTGGATTGCTTGTTGCCTCGAGCCTGTTCCGACGAGCCGGTTGGCTATGGGGACATACGAGAGGAGGCCCGACATCTTTCTGGCGCAGGTTGGCGGCGCCGTGTGAGTGAGCCGCTGGCGTGCTAGGTCGAAGTGGGAGCGCGAGAGCAATGTCCCGTCACATGTGTTGAGGAACGCGGTGGGGGATGGGATTCGGTGACAGCATCGCCGACAGTTGAGGTGGGGCGCTCGCTGCCCGCCTTCAACGTCTCTGCCGCAGCACTGAAAGCGCCTTGTTATCCACCTCACTGGCGGGAGGCTGCAGTTAGGTAGGTAGGGTCCGGGTGCCAATCCGGCCGCCTCAGGCATGTCGGGGCCCTACGACATCCGCTGAAGCTTGGGGTTACACTGCCGCCGCCAAGTGGAGCCGATAGCGGGACGCCACATCATCAATGGAGGCTCGTGCGACTTCAATTTGATTGACAACAACATCCCGTCGTCGTCCGCCACACCCAGGCTTTGCCTTTGCTCGCCCTCAGGCGTCCCGCCCCCAACACCTGGGCCATGGCGGCAACGCAACCCGCGTCGGGCATCGTCATCTACGCAGAGCTGCTGGTCAACGTCAGACAGGTGTCTGTTAGGGCCACGCTGCCGTCGTCCGTGGACGCGTCCACCCGGGCCGACGTCTTCGATGCCGGCCAGCGCCTGCGCATCTGCCATCGCGGCCAATCCGAGGTGCTGAGCCTCCCAGTTCCGGTCGCCACGGCGGAGGCTCGTCTGCCGGTTGATCAGGGCTCTGCGTCGGAGCTCAATTGGAGGCTGCCCGTGTGGCAAGCCGATGCGAGCGCCCTACGTTTCACGCCAGAGAACCAAGCGGTGCCGTGGAACTCCTCAGACATCAGGACCGGGTCCCCCATATGCTGCAGAGACTGCGGCGATGCTCTGGTCCAAAATGGAAAAATAAACTCCTGGAAGGATCTGCCGAGCGAGAATTGGGCCGAGATGATGGACTTTTGGCACTGCCACAAGCCTCACGACCACGGGCAACACGAGAGTGACAGCCTTGCCAACCGAGGGTACGGCGCGAACAATGCCATTACTGCGCAGCAAGGCGTCGGATTCGTTGACATTACGTCTTTCATGTTTTCCGAGTCTGACTGCCAAGGTATTCTGGTGAGTGAAACCCGTGACATCAGTTGTCGTTTGTTGTCAGGGGAGAAAGAAGGTGGCTAGGCCGGCATCGCGTGCCGCCCTGTGGCATAGCTACCGATACAAATCCCCAAGATAAATCGACTAAGCCGTTTCCCTGTCGTGGACAGCTTGAGTCCCTGGCCGAACCCTCCTCTTGGGATGGGTTCTCCTGGTTCGAGCTGAAAAGGCTGTCTCTTCTTTCATTCTGCCGTCCAGAGCCGTGGACCTTGGAGATTTCAAGAGATACATGCACCCGACAGATCATCAACGAGATCTCGCGCAGGATATTTACTTACGCTGCCCATACAGTTCTCCACGTCCGTGTCCGGGGCTAGACTAAACGCCAGCGCCGATGCCATGGACCAAGCGTTTGCCGGCAAGTTCCTGCACGTCTTCTGCGGCAAATGCAGCGGCGAGGTTGGATTGTATAGCATCCTCGCCGCGGGCGTAACGCTGTTCAAGTGGCAGGTTACGTGTGAAACGACCTCGCCCACCAAGGCACCTAGCGCACCTGAGTGTCTTGCTTCAACTTTGCTCTCCACGCTGTCCCGGTCGGGCTGCGCAAAGTCCGTCATAGCACCACACGCTTCAGAGCACCAGGACGCCTCGGCACCGTTCCTCCACCTCTGGATCCTGAACTCCAACGTCATCTATACGTCCTCTGCAGTATCTGGTCGCAGGGTGGCTTTGAAAGTCTTATACAAAGACATCAGCCCGGATGAGGGCAACAAGATGGTGGAGTCGATGACATCGGATGTCCAGGACATTAATATACCCTCCAAGGCGATCGCTGCTGCGAGGGAAGCGTTGCAGCTGAGCAGCAGTCTGCTGCAAGAGCGCGAGCGGAGGATCAAGGATTGGAACGGTGGCCTGCTTCAGAGATGGACCGCTGACCCTTGAGCCTCAAATTACATTATTACGCTGTGCAACCCGGAACACATGTCGTGCAAAATGCCCAGTGCAGCCGTGTTCCAGCGCACGGTGTGCGCGGACTACTGCCCGCACAGGGTCGCGCATCAGGCACAGTGCCGGTAACCTGCGCTAAGCTTCTGCCGCCGATTCCACTGTCAACAGGCATCCGCGCCGCCTTGAACTCTTTCATCATCTCCTCTCTCGCATAGCACCACTCACAATCTCTGATTCAGCGCTTCGCCACCTTGACCCCTGGGCTCTCCTCCCCAGTGACCATGACCTGGATGGCACACTAGTCTTTCCCTTCGCCATTTGAGGGTGACTTTTCGATTCGATGATGGCCGCCACCCACAGCCGACCCGGGGGTGAAACCGGCGTCAAGCAGTTGGATCCAGCTCGATATATCCCAGTCGGCCGCATGTCGATTCCAAGAAGTCAGCTCCATATATTTGATGAGACTTGGTCACCACGCAGCCCGCATTCATGGTGGACGCTCAGCGCGGACGGGGCAGAAGCGCTTCATCCCGACGACCACTCGGAGCATCGCCGGCTGCCTCCTCACGTTCAGAAGCGCTTGCTCGACACGCCACGTTTACGGCACCTTGCGCAACTTTTTCACGCACGATGGGCACGCTTAGAGATGCAAGTGTGCGAAACCGGTAATGCCGGCGCTGTCATTTGCGTGCATCTGCTGCCAGATGACGTCTACCGAATCGATGTGGACCGATCTATTCCCAGCCTGATACGATGCCGGCAAGCTGTCCTCCGAGAGCTGGACTTCTCACAAGATGTATGGAAGAACCAGCGGCCAGGTCAAGAGACAAGTCCGACTTCACTTTCGGAGCTTGGTCAGGACGGTGCGAGAGAGGATATGTCACTGCTGCAAGTCTTCAACCGTATCCCACCACCGGATCCCAATGTGAGCCTGGTTGACGAGGCTCATGTGCAAGACGCAATGTACAACCTGCTGGACAGCTCAGTCTGGGGTTTAAAAACGACGCTCTACCCCTACCAACGGAGGTCTGCTGCCCTCATGCTGCAAAAGGAGGCGTCACCGGAAAAGGTCCTGGACCCTCGCCTGGTGTCTATGGCTAGAGATGACGGCTCTCCCTGGTACATTGATCCTGTGGCTGGCACGGTACTATCGGAACCGCGCGTTTACGACGGAGTCCGCGGCGGTATCTTGGCCGAAGAAATGGGCTCGGGCAAGACCCTCATCTGCTTGTCTCTGATCTTGGCCAGCAAGGACCTACCTACCGAAGCCCCAGATTTGTACCAAGGCGGTCGCCCACCCGTGCGTCATCGAGTGGCATCTCTTGCCGACATGGCGGCTTCCTGCGCCACCAGACACGCTGCTCCTTGGAAGCCCTTCTTCCAGGTCTCGAAAGATTTGGACTATGCGCATTGCATCGCCGCTCTTCAGCGCAACCCCGGTTACTACTTGCGGCCTCTGCCGGACGTGCGACGCGGAGCCCGCCGAGCCAGCGAATTTTGCCAGAAGCCAAAGACGATATACCTCAGCTCGGCAACCGTTATTGTTGTCCCGAGCAACCTGCTCCTTCAATGGAGACAGGAGATTGCGAAGCACACGGATGGGCTCAAGGTACTGGTGTTGGCAGCCGGGGATGCTCCAGTGCCCAGGCCCAGGGAGCTCCTTGACTACGACATTCTGCTTTTTTCCCAAAGCAAGTTCGAGAAGATTGTCAAGACACAGGGCGGCATCGATGAGTCGCTTTCTTCTGTGCACTTCAAGCGCTGCATCGTGGACGAGGGCCACAAGCTTGGAAATTCCAGGATTGGGCACAGGAGTAACCTGCTGACCGGACTCGACTTAATGCACTTTTCGTCACGTTGGATCGTAACGGGTACTCCGTCCCACGGCCTGTTTGGCGTCGATGAGTCTCGCCAAACCACAGATCACGCCCATATCGGCGATGAATTGCCACAGACAAACGGGGCAGGGAACCGATCAGCCGCGGAGATGGAAAAGAAAGACCTGCAGAGACTGGGATCAATCTCCTCTCTTTACCTCAAAGCACGACCGTGGGCCAACACCTTCCAGGAAGTGGAAGATACACCAGCGGACTGGGACACGTATTTGTTGCTTCCAAAGCACAATCCTCGCAGCTACGGGCGCTGGGACTGCCTCAAATCAACACTAAACTCTCTCATCATACGCCACCAGATCGGAGAAATGGAAGACATGCTGCCGCCCGTTGACGAGAGAATTGTCGTCCTCGACGGCTCCTACCAGGACAAACTGTCATTAAACATCTTTTCTATGATGATCATCTTCAACTCCGTGCAGTCGCAAAGGACAGACATGGACTACTTTTTCCATCCCCGACAGCGCAAGAGCCTGCTTCAGATAGTCCACAACCTCAAGCAAACAAGCTTCTTTGGCGGGTCGTTCTTCGCGTCGGATGAAATTGCCAAGGCCGTGCAAACAGCCGAAGAGTTCCTGCGGGAGCAGAAGGTGCCAGTGAGCCCCGAGGACGAGTCCTTACTCCGCGAGGCTATCGATTTGGGCCATGTCGCCGTCAAGAACAAGCTGAGAGGGCTCAGCAATCAGTTCCATGAAATGCCCGTGTGCGTCCGGGATTTTCCTGCAAAGGCGGGTCAGGCATGGTCGCTGGATGGCAAAGACGATGGCACCGTGTGCACTTCGTCTAGCCTGCTTCAGTCACTTCAAAAGCTGCTGTACGATTCCATCACTGAGCCACAGAAGCTCAACTCTCTCCTCAACGGCGGCCTGCTCCAGGAAGGGAAACAGGAAAGGGACAAGATCCTCGCCTCTCAATCGTCTGACACGGAGCGAAGCGGCAAGGAGAAAAAGAAGAAAAGCTCCGAGACGCTTGCGGGTAACACGAAACTGGGCGATGACAGTCCGCGCAAGTCGCGTCCACGCGGTGTTGCGACGAAGCCACAGGACGACATCGATGTAGATGACATGCCTACAGCCCTGCGGTCAACCACAATTACGTCCACAGTCTCGGCGAAGCTTTCGTACTTGATCGACTCTATCACGAAGCATCAGGAGCGAGAGAAGATGATCATCTTCTACGAGAACGACAACGTTGCCTGGTATCTGGCAAACATGCTTGACGTGGTGAGTGTCTCTTCGCCAATGAAGAAGACAATTCCTGACTTGGAACAGCTGCAAATTCAGCACTTGATCTATGCAAAAGGAATAACCACAGAGAGGCGAGCCCAATACGTGGACACTTTCCACCACAACCCACGCTTCAGGTCAGATCAGCCGAGTTGCGCTTGACATGACGCTCCGCCAAACTAACGCGTGTTTAGAGTACTTCTCATGGACCTATCGCAGGCGGCGTTTGGGCTGGACATGCGCGAAGCATCGAGAATCTACTTCATCAACCCCGTCCTCAACCCGCAGGTGGAGGCACAAGCCATTGGCCGTGTTCGCCGAATCAGCCAGCAGAAGCCGGTGTCGGTGGAAACGCTCGTGTTGAAGAACAGCATCGACGAAGTCATCTTGGAGAGGAAGAGGCACATGACACAGGCCGAACACCGCCAAGTCAAGTCGATCCTGGACGTTCAAAACATCTACAACTGGATCAAGAACGCCAGGGTCACGCGCTTGGATGACACCGACGGCAGTAACGAGTCCCAGATGGCGCCACTTCGGTCCCGACAGCACGTCTTCGGCCGAGGATTCGGCAGGTCGGTCCATCCTGACGATGGCTTGGTGGCGGTAGAGAGCCCGACGCGGGGGACCAATGGCCGAGATGGGCCGTGGAGCTCTGTGGCGATTGTCGGGACCAAGAGGGCTCATGATGTTGGACCTGGAGGGGATGTCGCGATCGGAACAGACGAGAAATTGGCTCTCGTATCGCGACCAGCGAGACGCGTCCGTTTTGCTGCTGGTTCTGATGACGAGGAATGATATATGACAAGACCATGGGTAGCATCTGGCAGGAAAGCCAGCCGAAGAGCGCGTACCTCTTTTTGCCTTTCTTGAGGATGCAGTCAGTCACCGCGGATTCGAGGCCGCAAGTCCTGGATTAGCGAGGTAGTAGGGGGGGGGATGCAAACGAAACGCCTAGATGTCATGGGCGAAGAAGAGCCGTTGTCTCTCTGTTTGCAGAGTCCTTGAGGCTGTTTAGAATAGTCCCTAAAGGCGCCAAGGAGAGTTGAAAGACAGGCACGATTTCCCACGCCGCTATTGATGCTGGGCATTGTGATGCTCAGCGCTTAAGATGAAGGATCTGGCCTTTGCTACCTAGCAAACAGCCGCTGCAGCGACCTAGCGTCGGTACCGTGCACCTACATCCCACTTGTATTATCGAACGGTCTTAAATTGGCCTCTGGCAATTCCCAATCTGTGTTAACATTTCGCATACTATCGGGAGGTGATCATCGTTACTACGTAGGCAAAGCCGCGCCGGCTCTTGTCGCCACTATGCCCGGCATGGTCTAGCTGACCAACGGGAGGTGCAATTTGACAACTTCGCACTATTTGCGTCGGAAGCCATCGCCGCGCAAGCACATCCCGAGGTTGCCGGCATCGAGGCAGACTCGACGGGGCTATGTTGCGTTGTTGCCCTCCGTGCATGTTGGTGGAGGCTGGATGGATATGAGCACGTCCACGCACGTCCACGCTACCGTTTTGTCAACTTGGTTCACGACTTTCAATGAAGAAAATGGCCTCGCTTCGACAAAGAAGTGCGCCTAGCGCCATGAGACTGCCTCACGCAAGCTGCCTTCTTTTTCAGCTGAGCGGGCTTGGCGCGTCGTTGGTCCCCTCCCAGCTGCGGGCTGTGGATGTGTGGAGGCGACGAGGGCGGGGGCAGAAACCGTCGAATATGTCTCCGATCGAGGTCGGTCGGGTCATCCGGGCATCGGGTCGGGGGCCCATTCGTTGGGGCCCGGGAGAGGAGAGGAGGGGCAGGGAACTCGCGAGTCGCGACGGCAGCGATGCGGGACGGACATTCGGGTTGGCGCGGGCAAAAATTGATTCCTAAGGTGAGGAGCGAACCGGGTTGCACTGACGTTTCCCATGGGATCCTGTCCATGTCGCATTCAGCTCAGGGGCGCGCTGAGCCTCATGAGCGCTAACGACGGCAGTGGCTTATTGGGAAGCGCACTGGCGCCTGGGCGAGGCGGCCCATCACCATTCCGTTTGATTGTGGGCGGCCCCGTGGGCATTTGGCAGCCGGGGCTGCTGCACGGGCGAGGCGGCGATCCATGGTTCACCAATTTTTCTTTTCTTTCTTTCGCTTGGGGGAGAGAGAGCTCGGGCCGTGGATTGCTGTCCCAGATATTGGATTCGCGGTCGTGTAAGTGCTGCATCGAGAGTAGGGGGAAAAGGGGGCGTTTGAAGGGCCGCTTGAGGGAGGACCAAGGGAGTCGTCGCGGGCTGTTGGCATTTAATACGGAGGATTTCCTCCCTCTCCGTCGTGTGCCTGCCCGCCCCGATGCCTTGCGTCGTGGCGGCGGCGGCAGCGGGCTGCCGTGTCTCGGCCACGGGCTGCTGCGGACGGACAGGCAGGTCGGCGCTGCTAATATTATCGGCGCAGCATTCCTCGAGGCGGGAGGACAATGGGGGGGAGGGGATCCATGGCTCTGGATCACAGGGTCTGGTTGACTCAGTGGCCCCTGCGATTGGGGGGACGCCTCACCGTCCACCGTGGTGGAGGCGGAGGACGACCTAGGTATGTTACGCAGCCGCCGCAGTGGGAGAGAGGCGCACTTGGGGTCAGGCCGAGCAGTCGGGTGCTTCGTGGCCTGGACAGCAGCGGATGTGTCGCAGGCTTCTTTTCGCCCTCGAAGGCGAGTGCGCATGTGTCCTGGGCCGGCACGACCGAGGAAGGCCCTGGGCGGGGTTTCCGCCTCGTGGAAGCAAGCTCCATTCTCATATCCCGATGGATGACATAGGCATCTGCTCCCGCGAATAACACATCTTTGCGACAGAGTTTACCAATATCGCCGATGCCGTCGTCGTACGAGCGTGGGCAAAGCGGGCGGAGGCAAGGCGGAGGCCAGGGCGGCGGGGGCTGCGCTTGAGCTTGGGGGGAGGGGGGCCCAGCTGTCAGGAACGTGGGCTGTTCCTGCCCGCTCCATTGTGTTTGGCTTCGCAGGAGCAGCAGCAGCTGCAGCAGGCACCTCATCAGCAAAGCTCTCAGGGTAGGGAAGGGGCGACGGGGGATGGATGGATGGATGACCCTGGATCGACAAGCGCCAGCTTTGGCCCAGGCATGCGCCGCACCGCATCGCGCCTTCCCGTTTCCGCATTGGGCAAAGAATCGACTTCACCCACTTCAACTCCGCCATGTCCCATGTCTCGGCTGGAAAATGCTGTGTCGTTTTCCTCCCACGTTTGATTAAATGCCCACAAATCGGGCGCCCCTTTGGCCGGCCTGCGAGCCTCGCGCTCCGGGCCAGCAGCCCCCCCTCCAGTCCAGCCCAGAAAACGCCCAGCCAGAAGCCCAAGACCAGCCAAACGGCCAAGCACGGACGGGCGCCCGCTACCAGGAAGCTACGCGCCGACTGCATACCTTACCGGCGGTGCCTACGTCAGGAGCCCCAGGGGATCGTGGAGACGAGGGCCCGGGTCCCTTGTCCGCACCTCAAGTGAAGTCGAGACAGCAGCTGTGCCGCGAACGAATAATACCGCCCGTGGCGCCTCGACATCTTGGCTCTCGCCCCCATCCTTCCTCATCTCGTACCGCCGCCGCGAATACGGCGTCATGACTCGGCTGTTGTTGTCGACTTCATAGTAGCCGCGTCTCGCCAAACGCCTTCACAACCTTCATCACATCCCACGTTTCGCTGCCTGCCCGCCGCGGGCCACCTCCGTCCCATCATGAGCCGAGCCGCCGCCGTGAAGCCCATGCACCTCCCGTCCTTCGAGACCATCCCGGAGCACTACTCGATTCACGAGCAGCCTCCGTCCACATGGACGGGCCCTCCGCCGAGCCGCCATGCCACCACCTCCGCCTATCCCATGTACCCGGGCCTGCAGACACCTTCGGCGGACAGGAAGAGGAGCGCGGATTCCATGCCGGCCACGCTGAACCGGCCTAGACGGCTATCTGGAAGCGTCAACTCATCGCCGTCCAAGATTCGGCCTCGAGAGGTCGCCCCCACGAGAATACGCACTCCTTCTTGGAGCCCCATGCCGAGCACCCACGGCCCCGAATTCGTCGATCCCAGTGGCTGGAGGTCCAGCATGGTCGCCCCTCATCGGCCTGCGCCGATTAAGCATCTGCGGGCGCGGGCGAGGCCTGAGGACATGGTTTCACTCCTGCCGGACGAGGTCCTCGAGGTGGTACTCGAGATGCTCAAGGAGCTGCATCTCGACACTCGCAGCGAAAGCTGCGCGACCTGCTGGATGCGCGATGCCTGCAACGTCTCCTTGACGTCGCGGAAGTGGCTGAGAGTGGCTCGCCGAGCCCTGTGAGTGAGCCAGCTGTCTTTTCATCACTCGTTCTGACCAGGGTCATATAGCTACGAAGACGTCTTGCTCGTCGGAGCAGACTCGCTCGCCCACAAGAAACGCTTCAAGCTCACCCAGGGGTCCCGCATGGCCATGCTGCGACGAACTCTACGCGCCAACCCGACCCTCGCGAACCGCGTTCGCTCATTAAAAGTGCCGCTCCCCGAGGCCGCGTTGACAGCAGCGACATCGTCTGCCTCGAAGGGTCCCTCGGCCTTGGAACAGTACGAGGACAGCGTTGCTGCGCTCGTCATGGCATGCCCCAACCTGGAACGCCTGAGCGGCCCCATATTCACCTACAGTCACTCATTTAGAAAGCTCTTTCACGCGCTGTCAACGCGCACCAATTTCAAGGATATGACCTGGTTCATTGAGCCGTCGAGGGATGCTCTGGCAAGGCAGAGCCTGGAGAGTCTGATGCAGTGCGAGCCATCAATGCCTGCGGGCCTAACGCCCGCTCAGGAGTTTTCTTTTCTCGAGCATCACCGCCAATGGACAAAATTGACGAGTCTCACAATTCACTGCACACCCGACGGGAGTCTCGGCCCAGATACTCTCCTTGCGAGGACCCTCACTGTCTTGCCATCGCTCCAGCACCTACATCTGTCCAACCTTCCCGCAAACGCCTTCAGTGACACAAATCTTTTGTCTCTGCCTCGCCTCAAGAGTCTGACTCTCTCCAACATCCCCGGCATCAGCTCCAACGGCCTCTCTAGCTTCGCCACGCGTGCCAACAGCCGGCCTCTCGAAAAGCTCACCATTCGCCACGTGCCTCTGACATCTCTGCCCGCCTTGGCTCGCATCCTCTCCATGTTGACCTCGCTCACGAACTTCGCTTTCGTCCAGTCGTTTCCCCCGCTCATGCCCGAGACGGATTCATTCATACTATGGATGATGCCGTACCTCGCCTCTTCGAGCGTTTCAAAGTTGCATTGGGACATTACGAGCCATCGCAGCTGCGTCAATGCCGCAGATGACATCCTCGCGCGCAGCATTGCGGCCGGCGGCTTCCCCGCCTTGAGAAGCTTGAGGGCGCCCAACGACCCGGAGGGCATCTTTCAGGACCTCTGCCGTCCCGTCGACAGGATAGACTTGCCAGGGGACCGCTTCCGCACCATGTCCCTGTCCACAGGCTCCCTCAGCACGCCCAGCTCCCCGACCAAGCTTCTCATCAAGTCGCCGACGACGAGCTCCCTGCCGGGCATGCTCGCCAGCGTACCCAGCCCCTGCACCAGCCTCCACCACGCTCGCCTCGCCGCCCAGGCGCGCATCGACAACGCCCGCGAGAACAGCGGCAACGCCGCCACAGCGTTCCGCTTCCAAGTCACCGTCCAGGATGAGGACGGCCATCTCGTCGACGAGTTCGGCCTAGGAAGCTACGTCGGCACCGTCGGGAGCAACATCGAGTTGAACCTCGTGCCCGACCCTGGGTCTTCGGATGACAAGGGCGGGCTCGTCGACGTTACGGACTTGGCGTCCGATCTGGGAGAGGGACTTACCCCTAGCCGTAACGGCTGCGACGGGAGCTGGAACAGGAGAGAGGGCGTCGTCGCGGACAGGAGGGAGAAGGAGAGCTGGTGGCATACCGAGAGGGGACGCTGGAGACGCGTGAGGCTCGACTGAAGGGCATGGGATGTGGGCTGCGGAGAGGGCGACGACGCAATGGGTGGCCAGGCACGCCCCTGATGACGATTACCACGACAGGCCACGAATTTGGGATAAAGGGGCTCGTCTGAGACGGCCCCGGGCCAACGGATGGGTGGACAGGAATATACCCCGAGAAATAGTGTAATATGCTTAATGTCTGTGCGAATACGACGGGAGGCAATCATGTCGACATGGTGATCCAACAAAACAAGGCGAAAAGATGGAGCGGACTGCAAACAGCCCATGCTAGTGATGCACATTCGTGGAATTGCTGATAACACAACGCTTTTCTGTTTACATCCCTCTTCGACGTGCTGGGCGCCCTTTTCTGACCCAGTGAATGCGATGATGCGTATATTGTCTGTCATATTATCGGTAGCTGCGATAAAGAAAACGCTCGAATCTGCATCGTCTATATGTCCATGCGTGTCGCTCCGTAAATGTCTGGGGCCCCAGGCGCAGAGGCGCAAAATGGGACACCTACCAGCCCAGACGGCTTCGCATACCTTCGTCTAGATTCGTTCCAGGATCAAATACAAAAACTCCTGACAGAATGCATCTTTCAAATTGTCAACACTCGAGTTGGCCCGGCGACAAGTCGCCGTCAAAGTCCTCAAGCCGCCAATTGCGGTTCTCAGAAAAACCTGCTCTTCTTCTTGTTCGACTTTTGCTTCTGCGGCTCGCCGAGAATGTCGTCAAAGGTGGCCCCTGTATTGGCTGCGGGTTGGGGTGAAGGCGTTGCGCTCCTCGCCATGCCCACTAGATTCCCCGTTGACACGCTCCGGGCGCCGAGATGGCTGTTGGACTGTCGAGGGCCGAGGGAACTGCTCCTGTTGCGGCTGCCAAAAACGTTTGGTGGCTCCATCGGCACAGGCTCCAGACCCATGGCGATGCTCGAGCGCCATGCCGAGCTGGCGCGGTTCATGCCTGGGGACAGGGTACGCGGCCGCAGTGCTGGCTGAGGTCCTCCAGGGGGCGGCGACGGCGTGCCTGGTCCGCCCGGCGTGCCGCTGACGGGGGGCGGGCTGGGTATGGCGGCCTCAACACCCTGGAAGATCGGTCGTGGCGGCTCAAGGGGCGACATGGCTGGCTCGGGGGGTGGCGCCTGTGCTCCCTCGACGCCCTCCCACTGCTTTGCCGCTAACCAACAGTGGCTGCGGTGATATGTGCCTTCAACGCTGAACAAGACGGCGTCCGTCGACAGTTCAACCAAGCGGCCACCGCCTCCCGCAATTTCGTACCACATCTTGCGGACTTGCCTGTCCTCTACCCAAGGCGGGTTGCCCATCGGCGGTTCGCAGATGAAGTATTCGACTCCATCAGTATACTTCAGATCCGGTGCGTCCACGACCAGCATGGGCAGTGATTGCAGGACAACGTAAAGGAAGATCCAATAGCCGATGCGCTGGTCTACCAGATCCTGGCACATCTTGCCTCTGCTCTCTCGCATCTCGAAATCTTTGAATTGGTCCAGGAATGGGAGCTTGATGGTGTTGGTGTCGTAGTTGTAAGCCTTGTTGAGGATGAGAAGCATCTCGTGCTCCTTGATTTTCTTTTCGAACCTGCTCTGGTCCTTGGCGGAGAGCGAGTTGAAGGTTTCGTGGATGGCCGTCATGGAGGGCAACTGCGGAAGATCAAAGGGCATGGGAGGCAGAACGGGTGGCTTGGATCGATCAAATTCCGACATGATGTTCCGCAGAGCAGACGTCGTCATCTTGCCGGCTTCGCTGGAGATGGCGGGAACCTCGTCCATGACTCTCGACGTGAGGTTGTTCCGGTCGACAAGCAAGTCGTACAGAGCGCACATGTCCGAGTACAGAACCTTGAGGACAAGTCTGTTCAGACCACTCTCCGCAAACGGATTCTTCTTGCTGCTAGCTTTGGGTGGCCAGCTACCAAACGTGCTTTTGTAATAGCTGAGAAGGAACGAGCGCATCTTGTTGAAGGAGTTCCTCCAGACTTTGAAACGTACGTTTTTCAGCTCGGGGATGGACGTTGAGTTGGCGATTCCGGCGAAGAGAGAGGGGAACTCAAACTGCTCGAGATGCTCGTTGACGTTGTGTTGACGATTGACAAGATCGAGATGCGCTCGTTCTAGCTGCTGGCGCGTCAAAGGAGTGACTTGACTCCACAAAGGCAGCCGCAGATCCATGATGGCCGAATACTTCCCGGCGGCGTGTGCGAAAGCTTCATTGTAAAGATCCAGACATCGCATTCGCTCTCCCAGGATGAGGGCCTCGAGCGTTTTCTCGCGGCTGTGGCGGCAGTCTGCGAGGCCCAGCTGCTCGGAGTAGAAGCCAAAGCTGAGATCGACTGCGTCGCCGAACGTTTCTCCCTCCACGCCCGCGAACCCAAACTCCTGCAGCAAGTCTGCAATCTCGAGGAATGCCTGGAATATGGTCGGCCTCGTTTTGGTGCCCACCAGAGGCTGGCCCGTGAGGAAGGCGAAGAGATTCCGTACAGCAATCAAGCGGTCGAGCTCCGCGTTGGAACCTTCTCCTGGAGCGCTGAGGTGTCCTGAGCCCGATGGGGGCGCGGCGGGTAGGTAGAGACGCATGCAGTTCGAAGAATCGGACAGCGACGGTGACATGGGAGGCGACACGAGCCGTGTCGCATCCTGCGCACTGAGACTGTCACGGCCCCCAAAACTGCGACCACGACTCCTACCACCACCCAGAGCCCCCAGCTCGGATTGCATGAGTTCGTTGAAGACGTAGGAAGAGCTGACTGTAAACTCTGGCACCTTGAATGAGGGGCCGCAGCCGCTGCCCCTTGGGTACAGGAAGACTAGCACGGCGCCGCTCTCGTTCCATAGCTCAGGAACCTAGGAGGGGAGAAGCAGATTAGGAAGATTATTCGCGCAGCTGTTACGAGAGAAGCGTACCTTTTCCCCGTTCTTGAGGAAGGACGGGTTGTACTCGGCCTGAGCAGCCTCATCGGACATGACCCATGCATACGACTTGCCTGCCCCTTGCACATCAACCGAATTGGAGCGAGACCTGCCCCCACCGGGAAGCCAACTTCTTCGGAGCCTTCCCCTCGAAGGGCTCTGACTCCCATCCTTGGCGGCAGAGACGGACCGCCGGTTTCCAGGACTGATTGAAAGACGTGATCCAGCGGCGGGTTCGGCAATTGCAGGAGTCTGGGCAGAAATGCTGCGTCGACCTCTGGCCTCTGGCATGGGTGAGGTCGCTCGCGCTTTGATGCCAGGCTGAGGGAGCGGGGCCGCATGCTGCTGCAGCGAAGCACTTCGTCGCCTCGACTCAGGATTCCCTTTTTGAAGCCTTGCTTGCTTGGTGGCGGGTGCCGCTTCAGCAGGTGCACCTCTCTGGAGGTCCGTGAGACCCGCCGGGGCTTGCTCTGGGTGGACGTCTTGAGCTATGGGGGAAGGGGGAATGGGTGCCATGATTTGCGGCTTTACCGACGTCGACAGAGAGAGCATGCCCATGTCTAGCTCTGGCAAGGACATGGTGGTCTGGGTTGGTGGCAAGCCTTGCGGCGCACGGGGCGGGCTCGGATGTCCACGAGGCTCGACAGGTAACACAGACCTCGGCGGTGATTTGTTTAGACGATTAGTCGGGGACTCGCGAGGGTCGTAGGGCGGAGGCGGCGAGGGCTGAGCGGGCGGGCTTGTGGGCGCCGCCATGACGGTCTTTCTGGTGACGGGTTGAGGATTCGGATCTGCGTTGGGCGATATAAGCGGAGGAAGGAGAGAGGAGACGCGAGCGCCCCAGGTCTTCGATTTGGTGCGCAGGCGGGTGCCAGGAGGCACTGGCTCTCCCGGTAGGCCGTCGCTGCCTTTTGGGTGGATGAAGACTGGCTCTTCCTGCAGCGTCTGGGGCGTCTGGACGGGCGACGGCGTGGAGGCGTTGCGGAGATGGAGCTGCTTGAGCGGATCGAGACTCGAGGTGCGGCGAGGCAGCTTCCGCGAACGGTGATCGGGATCTGAATTGGTTCGCAGGGTGGGAAAAGAGAAGGACGAAGGGAGCAGAGTTGCTCGGAAGGACTTACTCGAGGCCATATTGGGCAACATGACCTTCCGCCCCGGAGCAAATCTGACATGCAGCAATAGCGGGAAACACCAGAGCAGCGATGTCAGAATCAGCAACAGGAGGAGGAAGTCAAGATGGAAGGCAAGGCACTTGAAGGCCTGCACGGCAGCAAGAGAGAGCGACTTGCGGCCCCGAATTCAACGGGCGGAGGAGGGGGGGCGTGTGTGTCGTTTCCCACGGCTCGGCGCACGGGGTCGTCGGAAGGACAGTGAACGGGCCTATCCTGGGAGAAAATGCGCGTCAGACATCGAGACATGGACCACAGGACTGCCGCCCACAATGCCACAGTCGCACCCGCACCCGCACAAGTATGAGTACACGCCCTCGCTCAGCTGGAGCTGGAGAGTGCGGACGGGATCTCCACGACTAGTCGGGCCCATGTTGTGCCACCTCAGGACGCGAATCCAGCGGCCAAGAAGCCGCAGCAATGCGCTGCGCAGCGCTGCGCAGCCCGAGTGCGAGTGGATTTTGCGTCGGACACGACGGATGGCGAGCGAGCGAGCGGGTAGCGCCTAGTAAGGGGACGCGTTTGCCTGCGCCTGCGCCTGCTCCTGCGCCTGGGCTCGGGACTTTCAGTTGAGGGTTCAGACGTACCTGCGTTCCAATGCCGGGGGCGCTACGCTTGCCGTCGAGCTGGTCGTCTCGTCCGTCTGCAGGGCGGACGCACGCACGAACGATCGAGCGAACGAAACGGACGTGTCGTCGGGCGGTCGCGGGAAAAGGGGCTCCGTATGGGACTGGCAACGCTGGCAACGACTGGAGCTCAAAACCGGCGGGTATTGCTTTGTACGAGTACAAGTGCCGCGTAGGCGAAATCTTCCTCCTGTGTGTCTGGAGCAACGGGGCCTTGTGCTCAAGGCTCTGGGGTTCGCGGTGGGGGCACGATGACGTTTGGCTGGCAAATGTGGGCTCGTTTGGGGGGGGGAGGCTCACATCTGAGGCGCGGCCGCGGCAGGGAGGGACGCTGTCTCACTTGGGGAGGAAAGGAAAAAAATAAAGTGCCACACGGCTCGGGGGGGTGTGCCGATGGAACGCCGCTGATTAAAAACGGTACAGGATTGCTTGGTCGGTATAACACAGCTCGAACCGTGTTCCGCTGCACCGGAGGACGAAGCACGAACGGGCGGACGGACGGATGGGTCGTCTCTCGGTTTTGTCGTCGGAGGTCGTTGCATCCGTCGGTCGTGGACGCCGTCAACAAGCGAGGCAGCAAGCAGGAAAGCAAGCCGACGGGAAGGAAGCAAGCAAGCAAGCAAGCCACCAGCAAGCACCTCACGCAGCCCAACAAAAAGGGTCGTGGCGGGGGCGGGCGAGAAAATGCGTGACGGGCGCGGCTGAAGCGACGGCAGTCGTGTGCCAGACGTGTCAGCAGAGGACGTTGTGAAGGCTGCCAGTTCCCGGTTCCGGGCGGTGCCAGCGGCCTATGCCAGTCGTCAGTGGGCTCTGCCAGGATGGGGAGCGCTGCAGGCGGATGAGTGAGTGCGAGCGAGAGAGCCTGTCATCGGCGGGCGCGTGGCTGCCAGATTGGCGGGCGCCGCTCGCTCCGCAGGACTGCGTGGTGAGGTGAGCGAGCCCTGACATGCTGGTGAGCTGCGAAGCTCCCATGGAATGATTACAGGGGCCCTGGATGCCTGGCCGGTGTTTTCGGGTGGGATCCATGGGGCGCTTGGGGCGAGGCTTGGTCCCTGACAGGAGAGACAACCTAGCCCGACGTCACCATCATCCGCCGGGCGTCCATCCATCCACTCAGCAGCAGGTGCAGCGCAGCCCTCGGCGCCGCATCACCGCATCGCGGGCAGGCAGGTGCAGCTGGAGAATGGCAGCAACGGCAGGCAGTCCCTGGCAGGCAACGCCCTGGGGCGGCAGGCGCACCTCAGACCAGGCCACCCACGCTTGCCAGGCTTGCCAGCCAAACCCGGCCAACACACCCTGGGCCGGCCAACCAGCAACGCGTCGACCCGCCCGCCGTTTTGTCCGCGTACCTGCTACCGAGCGCCTCTCCAGGCACAGCAAGAATTGCCGGACGCGGGCAGCCCCTCCGGCGTACCTTGTACATTGCGCCTCTCGACGCCACCAGGGGTCCTGCCGTCACCTCACCATCATCTCGCTGCTTCCGCGCTGGGTCCCTGGACTCCTTGCCCTGCCGTCCTGCCTCGCCTCGCCGCGCCGCCCCAACGCCCACTTGACCTGACCGGATCGCCGGTTGCCCGTCTGCCTGCCTATAATGGCGTGCATGGCTTGCCCTTTGACGACAACGACACCGACCCTGTCCACATCGACGACGAAAAGCCCGGCGTGCATGCCGTGCCCCTTTCGCGCTCGTCGCGTCCGATTTCTCGCCACCCCCGTCCGCCCCCCGGTGCGGCGTCGAGACGGCTCGGAAATGGGCCATGATTAATTGGAGAAGCTTGTTGCTTTTGGGCATTGATGATCGCTTGACCCGTGGCGGTACGAGAAAACACGAAGAGCCCAACACCAGAGTGCTACGGCAGCATACACCACGGCACCATGGCCAGTGGCCATCCGTCATCCGTCACGTCAATCCGACAAGGCCTGCCCGTGCAGCAAGCGGCGTTGAAAGCATCTGAGCGCGCCAAACACAGCAGCTTGCCTCGACTCGCCGCTTTTCGTGCAAAGGGCTTACGGCAGCGACAGCAGCAGTGCAACAGTCGACGAGGGAACAGTTCCCTACTTGTAAACTCGCGCCCACAGTAACGTACTATAGTCGTTCATGCGGCGCCGGCTGTACTGGACTGTATCTGGTACAACGACCGCTTGGTGCAGAGCGATAAAAATGGAGCAAACTGCCCTGTTGTCCAACCTGTTGCGGGTCGCATCAGCCTCACCACACCAGCAGCTTTTGCTGACCGCCGGCCATGGCGATGGATTCATGGCCGTTCTAACAAGACGCAGGTGCCGCCAAGCGGCTGGGGAGCCCGAGCAAGACGAGGTCAGTCGACGTCCACGTCGTGCCAATGCTCCAGCCATGCCACACCAAGGGTTACAATGCTGTTACCCCTCAGCACGAGACGAACCCCGCTGGCCAAGGCCGCCAGACACGGACGACGACGGGCCTCGCCACCCAGGCCATGTGTGTGCGACGTCACCCGGCGTCCCTTCCACGCCGCAGGCATTTCAGAAGTGCCAACAAGGTCGCTTCGGTTTATTTTGGGAACACGTGCCCGCCGCTGCCCGACAGACCTCAGACACATCTTCGAGACCCTGAATTCCAGAAAAAGGCGCCGAATCCCGATGCTGGCACTGGCACGTCTGCAAAGCGTCGCCAACCGACCCTCCGGCCTGATCGCCCCGACGACAAGCCTTGCCATGGCCCATGACGCTGGGCCTGATTGAATCCTTCGTCTGAGGCTCCGCGCTGACCCGCATAAGCGTCCTCTAGACATGGGCGCGAAACCTCTTATTTTGAGCTATAATCGTCCCGCCGCGCTGGGTCTGCGAACAATTCGCCCCACCTCAAGGAAGAGGCTGAGCACTTCAACCACCGCACACCAAGAGCGCTGATGCCTGCACCGCTGCTGACGTGACTACCTTGGGTTGTGTTGCCATTGTTGGTTAGGCCAGCCAGGTTCAGTCTGGCGGGTCAAACGGACGGTCTTGCCAGCATCCAAGGTGCCGTGAGCCCGTGAGAATCGGCGGTGGGCACGGTTCGCTGAGCCAGCCGCCTCTTCCGCCGCCCGTTGGCTTCGTGGCTGCGAAGTCCCTCCACCTTCAGGTGGGCACTATTTTTGGTGTGGTCGGCCCGCTGTCCGAATGGCCGGGAAGAGCGAGCACGATCAGCGGCATTTCAATGCAGTAACATGGCAATCTGCTCCTCCGTCCATCGACGTGAGGACGGCAAGAACTCACACGTATTCACTACTTCCGAATCCTCAACAAATCCAGGCTGCCTGCCTTGATGCGACCAAAGCTTACGATCTGTAGTCGTCGCCTGCTCATCAGTGACTGCCCCGGCGACCTCGGCAGCCATCTCGGCTCCCGGCATCTAGCCGAGGCGCTAGCAGGCGTATACGTCTCCATGCATTCATCATCGCTAACGCGGCTTCCGGCCTTCAGCCCGCTCTGTCTCAGACTCCTAAGGATGTTGTCAGCGGGATGTCGATATACCTGGGCAATGTGTGAGGGTGTCCATGGCTCGCTGAGCAGGTTGCTTGCTGCTCCGCGGTTCTCGATCCGATCCCGTCTAAACTCAAGCGAGATTCGTGAATGACCCTGTCAAGCTCGTGTAGCTTTCCAAGACCGTGTGGTGTTGAACCTTGCCGGCGTTGATGGTAGCTATTGACGTTCACCGCAGGACTCGCCCCTGCAACGATCCGCCAAGCCGTCCCATGCCTGTTCACTACAGGAGCTATTACCAGGCAAACCCTTGGCACATCATGGAGCAGGGCACGACGTTCAGTATGACGGAGCGTCGCCATAGCGACGGATCCGTTCCACGCATCGATTGGGCTCGAGGCTGAAGGTGAACGGCAAATTCCGCGACCTTTCACGAAGCGAGAGACAGCCGGTCCCTCCGCGCTGGCTGGTGGGGACACGGCTCCGTGACGTCGCCATCGGGGTGGATACCACGGCCCGGAGCCGGCGCCGGTAGCTGAACTCGCCTTGCCCATAGACTGGATGGATGTACGCTATGACTGTAATTTCGACAGGCGGCTCTATGAAGCGATTACGCCATGTAAACAAGGACGCGTATTGCAGTCCGAAATTCCTTACAACTGGTGGCCCCAGGACCAATGCTGGTGTATGTACTTAGTCACGAAACTTACGCACGTCTTTGAGGACAGACCACCAGCTCCGACCATCCGCCCGTCTAGAATGACGAGAAAGCATGGGTTTAGGCAAACTCTGCCTCCAAGACGCTCCTAATACCCATGAATCGGAAGGAAGCCACTGGGAAAGATGTACTTGGTATATAAGGGCTGGATGCATAGTTCTGATTCGCGCGCGTCCTAAGTGCATCTCAAAGCGAATCGCAGCCAACACAGTGACCGACCAGTATACTCTGCGGAGGATCGACAAGGTATGGTGCCAACCTTTGGTAGCTTCAGCAGCGCTTCGGCTAACAAGTGTCCTCCCAGATGCGACCCATCCACGCGATTGTCGTTGCCGCCCTGTCACTTGCGGCGACAGCCGTGGAAGACAACAAAGCCACCGGCAACGACACTCAAGGATGGGCCGCCGACTGCGACGCTCTCAGCTCAAGATGCCAGACGACCTCCGTAGCCGACGGCAACCACGACAACGGAAAAGACAAAAGGCTGCACGTGATGAACTACCTGAGAAAACTGATCCAATCGGACCTCCCACCGGGGAGGCTCTACGGGAACGGGCGGCACATCGCCTGCTACCAGCACGCCAACGGGCCGCACGGGTTCTGCCTCTTCTTCGAAAACTTCCCCCACGGCACGAACCACTCCATCGGCGACATCATGCACGCCTTCGACGCAATGTCCGACCCGCATAACGCGTACGCGAGGGCCTGCCACGGGAGGTGTGGCAGGGGCTGGAACAAAGCCTGGAAACACGGATACCTCAAGCTCGACTACGTGACCAAGTCTTGCAACGGTGTCTGCAAGTAGTCAGTCGTAGTATATCGCTAGAGACGGTAGAGAGCAACGGCCATTTCTTTGGTTAGAGTTGATGGTGCGAGAGTGCTGCGTTAATCCGCACAGTGATTCAGCAACACTACGTACGTGGTTGGGTATGGTGTTAGTCGCGGGCAATCAGAGTTGATTCACCTCCGCAAGATGCTCCAACTCTCACCTTGCAACTTCGACTGGTGTCTCTCCATCCAGTGCTGCGTGCACGATCTCGGCAAAGGCCCCCTCCCTCACCTTTTGCACTTTCATCCCAGTCGCGAAACAGGCATTGGCCGATCCCGCCGTGTTTCGGCTGGGTGGGAAGACGGCTTCCGCGACGTTACCATCGGAGTGGATACCACGGCACGCCGTTCGGTGGGAGCCGGCGCCGGAAGGCGACCTCGCCTTGCCTCTACTGCAACTACGTCAGGCGGTTGTAGGAAGTGATTACGACAGATAAAACAAAAACCGCGTAATGAAAGTCCAAAATGGTCAACACTTTGGGGCTCGAGGCACGTGCTCTCACGTTTGGTCTTAGTCTTAAAACACGCCCAGGCCAGTCACCAAACGTGCGCACGTACTCCTGAGAATAGGCCACCAGCTCCGACCATACCGTCTAACATGAGCGAAACCATCTATTTCGGTATGATACCGCCGTCAGCATAGTCGTAGCCCACCAAGTAGAATAAAGTTGAGAGCTGACGAGATGATGTATATATATATATATGCTACATGTCTACTAATAGCTCTGTCGTCGGCAAACCGAGCCACCAACCATACTCTCCGGAACATCGAACAGGCAAGGAGCCAAGAATACGATTACTTCATCAGCGCTTCGGCTAGCAATCACCCCATAAAGATGCAACCCATCCACGCGTTTACTATTGCGGCCCTGGCGCTTGCGACCCAGACGCTTGCGACCAGCACGCCCACGGACTGGTTGGGGATCAAGGACAACAACTTCCAGGCCGACTGCTCACATACGAGCGTAAACTGCCGGACGTCGCACGTGGACGCGGGCGGTTCGGAAGGTTATGAGAAAAAAGCCCACGTGATGTTCAGTATATGGAAGCTGCTCTCCAATGTCCCAAACGGCACACAATACGGCAACGGGAAGCACATTGCCTGCTACCTACACGGCAATGGGCCCCATGGGTTCTGCCTCTTCTACGAGAACTTGTCAAAGGGCCATAGGCCTAACATCGTCGACACGAGGAACTCGTTAAACGCCATGTTGGATAGAGACGTCTCCAGGCATGAGGGCTGTCGTGGGAGATGCGGGAGGGGCTGGCCCAAGCAGTGGGCGCACGGATACCTCAAGCTCGACTACGTCACGAATGCTTGCGACGGTCTCTGCAAGTAGACAGACCTCTGGACAGGGAGCAGGGGCCATTACTTTGAGTTTGGAATCGTTATAGTGCAACGGTACTGGATTTCTGTGCACGGTGGTCATGGAACGAGCCGGGTGTGGTGTGCTACGGTATGGTGTAAGTTGCGGGCAATTAGAGGCGTTTGGTGCATTATGTTGGAAGTAATACTATGTATAACCCCCATCTCTCGCTTCGACTACCTCTTAGTTCTCTTTGTCCACCAAGTATGTATGCACTGCGCACATATCTGGCAGACATCACCGGCTTGGCAGTTGTGTCCAGTCGTCGCGGAGCAGGCATGCCGCTCATCACTCACAGCGTCACTCAGACGAGCGAGTCTTGGGCGCCATAGCGCCGCCCCCGTTCGTCTGTAATCCCGGACTGCGTGCTTGGAACCCGCGGCGGCATAGTTACCAGCAACTGCCGTCAGGCGCAGCTCAATTACCCTTGTGACACGGACGGCGGGCGTCCGAAGCCTGCGCAACTGCCCATTGGCCCATCACCCGCCAACAGCGGTGGTTGAGCATCTCCTACCTTGCTTGTACACCCGATGCCCGTTTCCGCTCTCTCCAACTTCTGTCTCATTTTGCTCACGCATCTTTGTTTACATAACTATACTACAGGAACTGAATCTTATACATCGGCTTAACTCCCGCCGTGGCAATCCCCCTGGGGGGCTTACGGAAGCCTCGCGACGGGTAGACAAGGGACCTTCAGTGTCGTCCCGTCCCAACCCGGATAGGTAGGGCCGTAGGCGGGCATCCCACGCCCGGCCTAGCGGCAACACGCGCGCCGCGCACTCGCCCAGCGCGGTCCTGCGCCCGGGTCGTCTCGATCGACAGTTCGGTTCCAATGGCGTCCATGTACGGCCCGGCGCACTGGGAGTTCAACGCCACGGCTAATAAAGGAGGCCGAAGCGCAGTCACCTCGAGAACGAACGGATCTTTCCACGCCAGATTGTGCCCGAACGTCCGCTCTGCCGCGCACCAGGTCCCTCGATAGCCCCGGCTTGGCTTCTGAGCAACGCCATACACCATCTGCCTGTTCAACCGCTCTGACCTTCAATTTCCACAAAGACCTTGCGCGCCCCAATGGCAAAAGCCGGAGCGGAAAACGCCCTCTTCGTGCGTGAGCCCTTTTTACCCTTTCCCGTGCCGGCCCTTGCCTCCCTGCACCACCACCACCCCCGTCCACACGTGGCGTGACCGCCGCGCCGACGGCGGCCCAGGGCTGCGCCCGTCCGTCGCTGCTGACCTTGATTCCGAAGTGGGCTAGCGACGAGAAGGGGGCCAAAGGGAAATGCTCGAGAGAGGAAAAGGGCAAGGGAAAAAAAAAAGGACGCCAGCGCCATGCTTCCTCCCACGGCTGCGGTACGCCCGCGATGCGCCGCCAACACACAAACCGGCGGGGTGGTGCGCCGGGCTCGGACCTTCTGCGCCCCTTCCATTCCGGGAAACGGGGGACATACATACGTACTACATGCATGATACGTACAACAAGTAGTTACACACGCAGCCTGAACCCATGCGGCAGGACCCCGGCACACACACACGTCTCTCTCCGTTCGTCACCTGAGCCGGGGCGGCGCGGTGGCGGCGGGCGGACGGCAACAAATGGCAGTCGAGGAAAAGACCGTTTTTGATAGAGAGCGCTCATCAATTAACAAAGGGAAGGTCGGTAAGGGTGGGTAGAGTGTGCACACACACTGGGAGAGGGGGGGAAAACCCCCAAGTTCCAAGGACGACCCCGGCGCAGCATGGATGGAACTTGGCCCCGACTCATCAGCACTTAATAACTTGACCACCGCCGTCGTCCCAACCCGACTTCTCTGCCACGGCGCCCATTCCTGACTCTGTTTTTCTTTCTTTCTTCCCAACACAAATCCTCTCTTACTCTTCCCGTAGTATTCCCCATCTCCCTCTTCTACATCTCTCTCCCCCCGTCTCGGCACCTTCTCCCTCCCCCATTGCGCGCGTTCCGTTGTTTTCGTCTCTGATTTTACCACCAGCTCCCTTCCCCTCCAAAACGACCCTGCGCCATGGCCCCAGCGTCTGTGGACGGCAGAGGCACGGTGGAATCGGAATTGGCAGGCAGAGAAAGCCTTGTGTTGGGGGGCGCCCCATCGTCGTCGGACTGTACGTTGAGGAAAGGCAGGCCAGGCCAGGCCGGAGGGCCGCCCGCCGCCGCCGCGGGCCTGGCGGAGGTCACATGACCGGCGGCTCCACCGCGGCGGCCCAGGGGTAGATGGTCAAAATCGGTGTAGGACATGGTTGTGATTGGTCCCGGGCGACGGGGCTCAGGCGGCCGTCCGCCAATCAGGGCCCCTGGCCACACCGAGAATGCAACGGCCCCGACGGTGTAAGTGACGGGACATGACAGAGCCTCCCATGGACACCATATTATAATTCTTCTTTGTGTCAGGCAGAGTCCCAGAACCCGACAAATCTTACACAAAGACCTGCTGGGACATTGGGCATCTTCACGTTATTGCCTTCTGACACGAGACCCCCGGGCTCGATTCGCCAAAGCTAGCCAAGCAAGGTCCCACTGCATCCCGTGACTTACACGGCCATCAACATGGATACAACCGCCTGGGACGGGCAAGAAAACCCCCGTCTTCCCTCCTCCTCGGCCCTGGAAGAACTCTTCGACAAGTTCTTCGACTGGCCGGCCTTTTCCGGCGCCCCTCAGCCCATAGACGAGTCTAGCCATTACCCCAGCCCCCCGTTCTCAGACAGTCCCCCCAGTCCCGTCTCCGGCTACGGCTACGAGTATAGCCCCTCGTCGTCCGTTCACGCCGCTCACCTCTCCATCCGTGATCTCGAAGCCGAGTTCCTCAGGATGAGAGCCCCCTATGACGACGTCGCTGTCCACGGCTCAGACTACTCTGGCCACACCCCGCCTGAGCTGGTCCAGGGCGGGAGCACCTCGCCCTCCGACCACTCTGGCTCCCTGCCCTCGGACCGCTCCGACGATGGCCATCATCGCCCGCGCGTCACCCTCAGGGAAGCCCAGGCCCAGGACGACGAATGGACCTACCCCCAGACTGAGTCGTCCGTCAAGTCTGTTCCCCGTGGCTACCCGGCCCGCATCCACGTCCGCGGCGACCAGCCCCGCGCTCAGTACGCGAGCCAGTCCGCCGGCCAGAAGCGTCGACGGCCCGCTGCCGATTCTGACAAGAGGCAGAGGCAGCTCGCCGACCCGGTTCAGACGGCTGACGTCCGGAAGAGTGGGGCCTGTCTTCCATGCCGAGTAACCAAGACCAGAGTAAGACAGTTCCAGCCGACGAGACCCTTTCCTCCCCACCTCCCGCATATCATGAACCGGAGCTGAGAATCTTAGTGTCATGAGAGTGGCGTCTGTCCCACGTGTAGAAAGTCGTTTCCGGACCACTCCCACCTCGTCTGTACTCGTAAAACCCCGGGCAGCGCGTGGCCGATCATAACCCAGGGTCCAGGTACCACAACCCCCCCTCCCCCTTCCAAATCCCTTCCAGCGTCTCATCCGCATTGGTCGTGGCTTGTGGCGCTGACAAAACGGTGTCCAGATGTGTGGTCCAAGGATCCGTACGCCGAGGAGCAGCTCTGTTCTTGTGCGCGCAGGTACTTCGGCACTCCGAGGGAGATCACCATCTTCCTCACCACGGACTTGAAGTCTCCCGCGCTGCGCGCAATCGTACAGCCGTACAAGTCCAATGACGATTCCGACGAGGCAAAGAAAGCAGACTTTCCCCGCGATCACGTCCCTAGCCACGAGGCGCTGCAGCGTTGGGTTGAGGGCCAGATCAAGAGGGAGTACAAATCTGACTTTCCCCGGGCTTTGCAGAGCTTTCTGTTGGCCTATTCCGAAGGTGGCCGTTCTCTGCCCAAAGTATGCCTCCAGACTCTCAGGCCACATCCCACGCTGTACTATGCTGACACGGGCCGCAGCACGACCTTGTTGACAATGTTCATAAGATGAACTGCTTCTTCAGAATCTGGAGGATGTCGTCGTTCTGGTGCCGCGACCCTGCCAATCACATCGTTACTCTTCCATTGTCGGTCCAGGCGCGGCTAAGAAAGATTGCGCGGGAGGCACTGAAATTGCTTGAGTACAAGGTATTGAAGAGCCTGGACGACTGCCTCGGCCAGCATTCTCAGCCACAGCCACAGGAGAGGATGGCGATTTGGGCATGCTTGTGGCAGCTCATCCTCATGTACCGTGACCTCATGGGTGCCTTCAAGTCGCAAATTGTCAGAGCCGGTCCAAACGGTAGGTGATCGTTGTCTGTCCTCCGCGCTGGCATGGTAGCTGATCGACTCGCAGGCGATGTGTACCACGCCCACTACCAACGGTTGGCTGATGTGCACTTCCCCATGGTAGCCATATTCTACCACTATCAGTTCCGGACCAAGAAGAGCCTGGAGATATCTCTGGACTGGCTTCAGGCTGGGTCCCATCATCGACATGACCCGAAGAACAAGGGCGACATTTGCCATCTTGGCCGCCGTTTGCTCGAAGCCCGCAAGGACATGTGTAGGTATCCCTCTGCTCATCGTCGAGATTTCGGGTCCTCCGAACACGTTAGTAACCATGCTTAGACCAGAGCCTTCGGTCCTCGGCCGATGACTGCGATGCCCTCCTTTGCGTGCTCGTGGTCAATCACGAGCTGAAAAAGCTCAACGCCCGAAAGCGAGCACCGAAAGGCAGCGGCAAGTCGAGAAGCTCCCGGCGTGGCGGGGCAGATGACTGTGATGACGATGGCGAGTGATTTACCGGAAAGGACACAGGCGATGCGCCTTGGATGACACCTTGGACAAGGTTCAAGTTAATGAGATCATGAGAGCGATGTGACCCTAACAGAGGTCTTGAATTGTGCTTTGTCTCCCTTGTTGCTCAAAGCAGATTGGAATTCGTCAGCGAGTGCCTCTGGGTTGACGTTCCCTTGATATTTGGATGCAAGGCCAATGCTCAGAATGACCTTGTCTCTTTTGTCGCTTTTGCCAGGTTCAATGGCCGCATGCAACCTGTCATGAGACGTCGTTAGCAAGCGTTCGTGACGCGTTAACAGGAGAGTTCGTACGTGATTGCGCTCAGGAGTTCGTCTGGCTCGGGCATGATGGGAAAGATGGTGGGAAGAATGCCGCAGATGGCCCCCGAGTACATTGCCCAGAACGAGGCATCCTTGTCATGGCCGTCGGCGATTCGGCGGAGGCCCTGGAAGAGATGCTCATCTGAAGGGCCAATACTTGTGCCCCATCGAGCGCAAACAGCCAATCCAAGGACGGCTCGCGTGAGGTGTGTGAGGCCGGGGCAATCAGGATTGCGCGTGACTGCATCGTGCAAAGCAAACGAAGCATTCGTGGTGCTATCATAGCCGCAACGATCCCAGATGCGCCTTATCAACAGCGATCCCAGGCCTAGACAGATCGGGGTGGGCGTGTTAGGTTGCACGTTATCAGGCAGAGCCGCCTGGAGCAAGCGCAGGACGGCATCGAACACGAGCCTCTCTTTCTGGGAGACTTGCGCCAAAACATCGAGAGGGTTGCTTTCCCTGATTTCCAGTGGTAGCTTCATCATGAGGATTCCCTGTCTGTTCGAGCCTCCGCAAAACGTCACCCTGCCAATGTTAGGAACAGCTGCGATGAATGCTTCGATGACGGTAGCGATGGCAGGGAACTGGCGGCGCCGCCTCTTTGACATGCCGAATATCTTGCCGTCGTACTCTCGGTTCAACCGCCTCATTTCAGAGGTCTGCCGGAAGACGCGCCCGGGCACCGAATAGGAGTTGATCGAGCTGATCGGGTAAGGTGAAATTGAGTCGTTGTGCATGAGCATGCTTCCGTAGCCTCGGAAGCCTCCTCCACACATATACACATCAACGGTAGCGCCCTCGCCTCTGTCGTGTGTGGATTTGATCGCTTGCAGGGCAGGAAACCTGGAGCACAGGTTTGCATATATGCGGTCAATGCCCTCTTCCAAAGTACCGATTTCGGCTTGGTGGATCTCAGGGGGCTGCTCTTCGAGCACACGCGTCAATTTCGCTGCGCCATATGGCAGGCTCTCGCCAGCAAGAGCGGCTTGGAATTCGTAGTGGGCTTGGCTTGTATCAACCCAAGTCATTTGTACGCTGCCACCGCCTAGGTCGAGGAACAGAGCTCCGCCCTTGACAGCGACCAGCCCACTCCTCGAACCCATGACGGCGCCGAACAGCGTCTCGACAGATGGGTCGAGGATCTGGACACTTAAGCCACCAGTCGCCTTGGCAATGGAGTCGAGCATCTGCGTGGCGTTGGCGGCGCGGCGCATTGCCTCTGTGGCTAAAATCAGGATCTGGGAACGGGGGACGCCATGAAGGAGAGCGATCTGATGAAAACGAGAAAGGGCGGACCCGACAGCGTCCATGGTCTCGGAAGGGAAGACCAGCCCAGAGGGCGATAGAGTTAAAGCGTCGAACAGAGAAATGGCGGCGCGAGCGGAGTAGATTGGAAGGAGAAGGCGTGTTGTTGGCGGGGCCAAGGAGGTGATGGAGAAGCGAATGCCATTGCTAAAGTTTGTTAACACCATCTGCCCGTCAGATGAACGGCCCAAAGCGATTTGACTGACCTCCCCATGTCAACGATTGCGTAGAGGTGACTGTCGTCGTCTGGTCGCCACGGTTGCAGCTGCGTGGACAAGTTGTCCAGAGTAATGACTTTAGGGGCAGACATGATGAGGCTCCTTGAGTGACCAGCGAACGAATCGGAACCAAGACGACGAGGCAGAGCAAAGGGGCGCAGAAAAGACTGGAGGTCCGTGGCGCCGGCGGGTGCGTGCGGTCGGGGTCCGGGCTTCGAGAACGGAGAGTGGACGGGATGACGGAGGGGAAAATCAGCGGGTGCGGCCGGTCTCCCATTGCGTGGTGGGGCAGCAGGACCAGTCAGGGCTGCGCGCACCCACCGTTTCGTTGCGTGCGATGACGGTCCGTCTCCGGCGTCAAAGTTGCGGTTGTCGATGCCGTGCGCAACAGCGCTCGCTGAGATGACTGCGCTTTCGCTTCTTGTGCGACTCACGAGCGACGTCTGACTCGTCGCCTGAGGCAACCTGGGTACTGAGGATGCAAGGCAACAGCAAGCAGCAGCTCTTTCCCTCCAAGGATACCCGCTGGGGAAGGAACAGACCGTCAGCGAGGAACCTGGAAGGTGCCCCCCGTAGAATTTCCCTCCTGCCGCTCTCAGGACAGGTACTATCAACTTATCTCAGGTACCCCGACAGCCCATGAGGAAGCTGCATACCACGCTGGGCAGTTGCCCACTACTTACAAGCATATGCCCAGACACTTGATCTCTGGAAGCTCTGGCCCGGCAGCCTCAGGCAGTTCTGTGCTTCGTAGATTCTTAATCTGAGTGTGAGCCTTGTCCTTGGTTTGATTCCACTCCCTTTTTCTGACGCCACTCTGCATGACCCCCGCAGAATCACCCATGCCGTGCCTCCACGGACGGTGGAATGACGCATGGCGAACTTGGGCACCTGGGTGCCTCGCGCGGTTGGGAAACGCCAAGGCGGTTCGACTCCCTACCTAACGGCACCCGACTTGGAGCAGATGACGCAGGATGCCGCCTGGCAAACGGATCAATGTGAGCGGCCCCAGTCCCCGAGGCGCCTGCACATCCATGCGACCGGAGGCTAGTGCAGTGTTCAGACGACTGAACCATCAACAGGATACAGCACGAGCGCCAGTTGCTACGCTTGCCATCTGGGCCTCACAACGCTGCAACGCTCTACGGAATCCCTGGTCCGAGAATGTCGTTCGTGTCGAGCCGGCGCCATCTCCTACTTAACCGCGACCAGCCCAGATACCCAAACGCTAAGCGCCAAGTGCTGAGAAGGCAATCACCTCAAACTCGAGCGCGGGACCGAGGAGCGCCCGCACGGCCCGCATTGTGTGTCTCAGTAAGCTGCGCACCACGCGCAACGATGATGCCGTTGCTCTCGGTCACACATCAAAGAAGCAGGGGTGGAGCGGGCAACGCCAGCTTCGACCCGCATTGGCATTGAGACCCGATCTCGCCCCGGCCACAAACCCGGGTTCGAGAGGACAGCATCTGCCGCCCGCTAGATGACAATGATGGTCCGCCAACCTCCACATCAGCCCCCCGGAGCCATGCATGCCACGATAGTTCCAGCCTGCCTCACCCTCCGGTCACAGCATGGAACCATTGGAGCGGGGCAGCCCATCTCGTGCCGCAAACCCAACTGTGGTCTGTCATATGTACCGCGCCGAGACTGGTCATATGATAATTGCCGTTGAATCCCCAGCCACATGTTGTGTTGTTCACGTCCCGGATAAAAACTCACGATGGGAGCGTTTTGCCTTGGAATGTGCTTCTTGAGGTTGGTAGGTCTTGCCAAGAGGTGAAACATGGCACCGTGGTCAGGGTATTCTGGACCACCTCGTGGCTGCTATTGTCATCCATGCGAGACAGGTATTCGCGAAGCAGGGAGCTGGCATTCCTGCTCATCCAGGACGGTTTGAGAGAGAAATCGACAGGTTACGACAGCACCAAGCAAGCCGGTGGCGAAAAGCCCAGTCGCGTTTACGACGAAGTCAGTCGGGGAGCCACATCGGCGATTCGCCCGTTACCTGTCGTTCGGCAATGCGACGCGACAGTTGCGCCTCAACCAAGCCAGCGAGGCAGAGGAGGAGCCAATGAGTTTGCAGTCGTCTTCCACAGCCCAGCGTGGAAAGTTAAAAGCCAACAATGAACGGGGCGGGCTCGCGTCGAACCAGTCCATTCGTTCCGGTTATGGCTCGCTCAATCCTGAGTGATTGGTCGTCGGCTCTGGGCGACACGCGACAAGCTCTACCTCGACATCTGCGCGGTTCGACCGGAAGTGGCACGTCCCTTTGATGCCTCAGTCTGCGTGTGCTCACACGTCGCCCACCCAAAGGATTGGATCGGTGCTTCTGCATGATCGTGTGCCTCCGGCCCAACGCAAATCACTGTCGGACCAGAGGTCGAGACACGCACAAGCTTGGGAGCCCAGGCGCCTACGGCGGGCGAGTGATGCCGCGCGACGAGCGTGGGTCGGTTGGTTGAGTCGGGTGGTTCAGGCACGTCGACGGACCCGCAGGCTTCCCCGCTTCGCCTCGAACGCGTCGTGACGCGGCAGTTTCGCGATTCGATTTACGCGCGGGCGGGAGACGAGAGATTTTCAGGTCGCCTGGCACGCACGACCAGCGACGCTGCGGAGGCGCCAGGGTTTAGGGAAAGTGTCCGAACTCTCCAGGAGGTGGCATTGAGCTGGGTGCCCAACACGAGCAGGCTTTGCGCTGCGAGGAGCAGACTTTGTCGGAGAGCAACTTGGACGAGACAACTTCGCATCCTGCACCTCTGCCTCACTCCTTCAAGTTTCCTTTGTCATTGTGGCCATTGACGAACGGCCAGACTTGTTGCACGACACGACTGCGTCTCCTTCGCTTGTCGCCAGTCCGGAGAGCTAATCGCCGCTCATTGCGGGCGACGGTCGGTGACTCTGGTGCAGGTTGTATCGGGACATCTGACCCCCCCCCCAGCCTCCCGCCTTTTGCTCTGGGTCGGGCACACCACACCACACCACACCACACGGTGCCTCATCACACACCACGGTCCCATCGACTCTGGAGCCCTTGCGTTTGGCCATTGCCGAATCAACTGGCACCGTGGTAGGTCAGCAGGTCGCACACTCGGCCGCTGGCACAAAACCCCAGCCTCGGAGGCGGTGCTGCGGTTGCTGGGCAAAGCAAGAAGACTTGGGGTCTCAGGTTTGCATCGCTCCGCCAGCGTGTCTTGAAGGCTTTCGTCACGGCACGGAAGCTCGGGCAAAGTACGAAGGAAGAAGGTGCACGGCGCTTCAAGGCTCGCAACGGTGACCGAGACGCTGGTTGTCCGGCCGTCGAAAGCTTGGGCTCAAGAAGCTCGTCCCGGCGGGCACCGTCACGCAGGGACAGACTTACATACTGCGCCGAGGTGGGTGCCTTCGTCGCCGGCATAGCCCGTTCGTCGACGCCAATTTTCGTCGTGGACGCATTGCTTTGGGACGTGCGTCTGCACGGGTACGTGGTCGTCGGTTCCCCGGCGCGAATAGGACCAGGGACGATCCAGCGCGGCGCAGGACCAGGACGCATGTGCAGACTGGGACGACGCGGAGGCGAGTAGGAGCTCTCGGCGACGACAGCTTCACCCAGGCCCCCCTGCCTGGACCCTCCCGAGGTGGCCATCACCCTCGCGCGCGTGCGCAACTGAGGCCTCGCATCTCACACCGCACACACCGTTCACGCCTCGATTTGCAGGTCGCCATTGCAAAAACCCACCCACCGCCTCACCTCGAGCCAGTGCCGCCCATCCACCAGACCAGCGAGTTGGAGCAACCTGGAAGGCCTGAGCGGACCAGGGCGGACAAGAGCAGACCAGCAGAGCAGGGCCCCCTGCCCAGTGTGCGGACCCCGGTGGAACCCTCAGGTCCTCGGTGCCTCTTGCAGCTTGCAGGGCCCGCCCGCCTGCGCCGTTAGCTCGCTGCAGCACCTTGGGGGTGGCTCCAGGATCCGCTACGGCGCCCAGCGGCGCGCGTCCACCGCATCGCATCGCATCGCATCTTCGCTCGTCTCGTCCAGGCGCTCATCGTCTGGGCCCGCCATCCGCCCATCCCCCCCGTCTCCCCGCCCCGCTGCCCGCCTGCGCGCTCGTACTCGTGCTGTGTGCTGTTCTCGCTGCCCTGCCCTGTCCTGCCCTCTCCTGCACGGTGCTTGTTGCTGTCTCTTATACACATCTAGATGTGTATAAGAGACAGCCTCCTGACCCTCTCATCCTGACCCTCCCCCAGCTTCGAGCCAGGGCTGCCACCCCAAGTACATCGACTTCCTTAGGCGCTCGACAACAGCCGTCCGTCCACCCACCGCCCGCCCGCTGGCCCAGCAGGGTCGCAAGTCGTCCGCGCCACCCGCCCCCCCCGTCGCTGCCCACCGTCTCTTGTCGCTCCCGTCCTCGCCCATCCTCGTGCATACTTGACAATCCGGCCCGCCTCGCACCCCCCCGGCCGAAACCCTCTCCTCCATCTTCATTCCAGTCCTTCTTTTGGCCCCTCTGAGCGCCTCGCGACCGATCCGGAGAGCCCGCGGCCTGTTGTTGCCAACCGGCCATTTCGGACAGCGACCCTAACCTCTGCCAGCTGTCCGACCATTGCGACGGCTTGACGATCGGCCTTGCGACGCCCAGTTTCCTTGCTTACTCACGCGACGCCGTGCCCAACCCCCTTTGCCGAAAGACGGCAGCACCCAGCGACACTCCTACCCACGCAAGGCTTCCACGCGACGGCGATCACGACGACGGCGACGACTGTGCTTTGCCTCGTCTGCCGCCGTAGGAACCTGTGGGCCCGCGCGCGCATCAACACAACAATCGCGCGCGCGCGCGCCGTCGCTGTCGGTCAGAACGCCTGAGACCAGCGCTCCGTTTCGTCTGCGACAAAGAACTTTTCGGTCGGTCCGGAGCAGACGAGAGTCGTACCCGCACGCGAAGTAGAGGACCCGAGACACGTCTGGTCGGCTCGGTTTCTTTTTTGGTGCCGTTGCGTTCCCCGGCCGTTGCTTTTAAAACACCCCGTGCATCCCAAGCGCAGAGACCCTGAGGCCCTGACGCATCTACATTCCACAAACCCCCGCGATGCCGCCTCCCTTGCACCCCCTCGCTCCCGCGAGGCCACGAGGCCTGCGGCATTCTTCAGCGCCCCGGACCCCAGAGCCAGCTGCCGACGGAACTTTACAACAACCTTCGTCGCCTCCCCGACCACGATTTCGGCTCAAGAGGCGCACCGTATCGGAGCGAACAGCGCCTACCCAGCAGTTTCTCGCCTCTGTCGCTGCAGCGGATGTTCCCATCCCCAGCATCGAAGAACCCCAGGTGTACGACGACGACGTCATGCTCGACTCGGAAATCTATCCAGGAGTTCCGCTTCTCGGCAATCTCGACGACATTAGGTTCGCGGAGCACGACATCCGCGGCAGACAAATTTCCGGCCCCAAGACGCCCGCACCCCGTGCTATCCCCTCGCTATCGCCCAAGCGATTCCCGGACTGGTCCATAGATGCTTCGTTCAGCAGCGTCGAGTCAAGCCCCGAGTGTGAATCGAGCCGCCCGTCAACCGCTCGATCAACCCAGACGAGCGCGTCGCTCTTCAGCCGGTATTCTTTGACGTCGGAAGACTTCAGTCAGTGCGCCAGCCCAGACGAGGAGCATGCAGAAAAATTTGCATCCTTGTTGCCTCCCGGGGACCTTGAAAAGACCATCAGAGCCCCTGCGCAACGTGGTAAGCTCAGGAAGGCACCGTGGACCAGGGCCATGAGCAAGCATCTCTGGGCGACTTATATGATGTACCTGCAAGATCCCAAGGTCACGCCCTTCAGGGTTGGCAAGAGTGGCATCCCGCCCTCGGGTGTCTGCATGCGCGTGGCCCGGGAAGCCAAGAGATCTTGGAAGGGATCTCGCCCGCAGACCAAGGCGGACCCCAAGAGTGGGAGTACGACGCCCACTGCCGAGGTGCAGGGACCCTATGTGCAATGGCCCCATACCTGTGCCGCCACGCGTGCGCATCTGCGAGAGATGTGCAAGGCCAACAGCGGCGCAGCATCGCGTGGTTCGCACTGCATGGCTCGGAGCCCTACGCCTTTCGGTAGGGCCGCAACCCGCGTCAGGAACCGCCGCTCAGCTCCCCTCCGGTCTCCCTCGGTATTCTCAGGCTCCGACATGGCCATGTCGCTAACGATGTGCACGGCGGACTCTATGCAGCCGTCGGGACCTCTCGCACAGCTCACCAGCTCGCGGCCCAAGCTTGAGCTGGACCTTCTCACACCGGCCAGTGACATATCTCGCGGACACACACATGCTGTCCGTTTAGGGTCTCCCTTTATGGCCAAAAGCTATGGCCCGAGCTCATCAAGCAACCTGGCAGAAAGCCTCGGGGCTCGCGCTGAGTCTCACAGGCAGAGTCATACGCTGGGCACACGCCGCAGCCTCGGGTCGCCGGTGCGGCTAAGCGACAGCCGGTCCAGCACCCAAAAGCGCCGCTCGCGGCAATCGATCCTGGAGACGCGGAGATCCAAGCGACCTAGTCTCGGCTCCGACTTCTGGACAGACCCTTCATCAGCGGCTGAGAGCTCCTCCGCCGCGTCGGTATTTTCGTCGTCGTTTCCCGAGTTCTGCTCCACGAGCTCCAACGTCCGCGATGATCTGTTTGTCCCGAGAACGAATGTCCAGGAACTCTTCGAGTCGTCAAACTCGGCGCCCTTCCATACCACGGCTGTTGCTGCAGCGATCCCCAATCCTGCCGGCTTGGCGCCGCCTATGATGGCTCCTCCTCGACTTGGGTCGCCATTCTCTGGAAAAAGCCAGAGCTTCTCATTTCCGAGCCGAAACCCCAACACCTCAGTCATAGACTTTGCTGCTGTTCGACGGCCGTTCGCCACCGTGCATCAATCCGCGGACAGCGTCGCGAGCTCCGCCAAACCGTCACTCGCAAACCGTCTGGCCTACATTGACGAACGGCTAAAAGACTTTCGTCGAAGAGACCCTAGTGAGCGGCGGTCTCACTCGCCGTTGTGAACGCGCCGACTCTCTCCTTTGTCCTGCGATGTCCTCACATATCAACGACTGCTCATGACACGACACGTATGCATCTGGGACCGACCTCGGCCCATCATGTACAGCAATTCTTCCCCCCTGCCACCACGCACACTTACCTCTTACACGAACTGTTGCATGCACTGGGCGGCGACACCTGACATTGGCCCTAAACGATTGCGTCCCACAGGAAGCAAACACGAAACACACCCGCGCATCTCTTCATATACACACCATTGCTGCCGCCCACGCTTATGCACTTCCATTTCAGCGTACGGGGCGTTGCATCCCCCAACGCTTCTGGATACGAATGGTCCCTCTCAAGCTCAACTCATACGGAACAAATCTGCCATCAACCTCCGGTTGAGTAAATCATGGGGCACAGAACAGGATCTTATCACGACTTGACGACATAACTTGCATGACGATTTATATATAAATGGGATGGGGCCGACGGATATGCCGTCGCCTCGATATCTGGCCTACGTTGCCTTGCTTTCTCCATCATGGTTGCACGCTCATTCATGCGCAAGAACGGGCTGTCGGCAGCCATGGACGCCCTTCATTTCTGTACCGGCGTCCCCTTCGCGAGGAGTCCGCTCTCTCTGTTCTTTCCAGCTCGGCATCATTTACTTTGTGCTTTCTTTTCTTTTGGATCACGGATCTTGGGATATCGATGAAAAGTGGTTATGAGCTTGATGATGTACATGCCCGACTCGCCTCCCTCCAAAGGGAGCGCACATAGAAACTGAAAATTTTGTTCCGCTCATGACTACCACCGGTATGTGACCTGCTGTGCACACGTGATTCGTAAGCCGTCAAGTTATGTGACATTTTTATCACCGGCTATGGCATTATATACATTACATGGCCTCGTCGCAATGATGATGGACAAAAGCAAACTCCACATCTTCCTCATTAGTTCATAGCCAGGGACGCGTCCCGTGGCTTGGATATCATCGTCAACGTGAGACGAGCGGAGCGCAAGTAAGTCGCGCCTCTGTGCTCCTTGTCGCCCTCGCGCGCACGTGTGAAAGCCGCCGACTGCGATCTGGCGCGCCCAGCAACACAGTCTATGACAGTCCAAGTGTCAAAAGCGTGTATTTGGGGTATGTGTCGTGCTGCTTGGCTTGCTCGTATGTAGCCTGTGAGTCCCATCACTCAGCCATCCGAGATTCGGCCAAGCCTGGCCCTGAAGGAGCGGACACTTGCACTGGCGGGTGTGGCCGGGACGATCGACTGTGCGAGCGGCTCACGGGAGAAGTGAGTGCATAGATCGCCCCAATGTCCTGCTGCCAAGATGTGCTTCTCTCAGTGGCACGCCTTGGGTCGCGGAGCATCTTGTTCTGGCTGCCGTGAAATGGTTGTGCCCGCTGTGCCGTCATCAGTCTTTGGGTGAGCTCGAGGTGGTCCGCATGTGTTTGGCGGGTCTTTCATCGCGGTCCTCGCCATCCCTGGAAAATAGCGGTCGCGGTACAGCATCCACGTGAACGTCTCGCCGCCGGTCCAGATCCATGAGGGCGGCGCCCAGCTCGGATGCGTGCCTACTCCGGGCCCTTGAGGCGGCATGCGGGCAGCGCCTCTCTCCGACGGCGGCCCTATGTGAGTGAAACGAGCATTCTCTGAAGCCAAACAGGCGCTGGTCGTTGCGCAGCTTGTTGGCGGATATGCGCAGCTGTGGGTTTTTGAAGCGCACGTCCAGCCCGGCGGCCTTCATGTTGTGGAGATGCATTGAGTAGTCGGCAGCAAACTCATGGAGTGTGTCAAAGAGGAGACGGAACCGGGCCGGGTCCGAGGTCGTGGCGTCTTGGGGATGGAACTTGAGCAGCTGGTTTGGGCCAACGGTGAGAGAAAAGGCAACCATGGCGACGGCCCATCGCCGTATTCGGACGGCTTGGATCGCCTCGCACTGGGTGTAGAGGTAGAGTATCAGCCTCGGAGGAACGTCCCAGTCGTATTTGAGGTAGAGGTCTTGGAGCGCGTCCATGGCGAGGTCTTGCAACTTGAAGAGATCGAGGTGAGCGGCAAACAGATGCAGCCGCACGATGGCCCAGTGGATGTCCTGCGACGCTCGCTGGCTAGTCTCATGAGCGGTGCTCACTGAGTGATCGAGCCAGCTCCGAAACGTAGTTGGCGAGTGTACCCATTCCACAAACAGCGCAAACATCGTCGATGATTCCCCAGGAAGCCATAGACAGATGGGCTTGGGCGCCACGGGATCCTCGAGCCGCTCGCGAAAGAAGGGCGACACGGCGCAGAGGAGCTTGCGGTTCACTTTGAAGCTAGTTTGCTTCGCACCGATAAGGACTGTCGTCATGTCGGCAGCGCTGGGCGGCGGCGGCGGCAACGACTTGTCGTTGCTTGTTCGAACATAGTTCTCCGAGGGTTGGGGAGCGGCCCTCGTCCGTTCAATGGGCACCATCTCTGCAGGTTGTCTGGTCTGCAATGGACCGGACGATCCAAAAGACAGACGAGACAACGAAGCGAGCGGGTGGACAAAGTCGAGTTGAGCCGGTGCGATGCTCGACTACAGACGGGGCACGCGGGTAAACTTGGCCGGCAGCAGTATCCTTCTCATCGCCACAGCCGACGGTCGGGGAGGGTCCTGAAACCACACAAAATACCAGATAGATGACAAGGCGAGGGGTCAGGCACATATGTATAGTAGGGGCTTACTGACACAGCTGTGGGGAGGGGGAGAGACCGCCTGCACGATGGGAAAATGCGAGCGGCGACCGGTCAGTGGCCCAGATAGATAGATTGCATGTCGTCACTGAAACGCAGTCTTCGGACGGGCCCATCCAGAGTCGCACCACACAGGGCATGGCGAACCGGGAAGCGGGTGATCACCACGGCGTGGAAAGCGGCAAGGCTTCCAACGCCCGACGCCGCTGTCGACGGTGGTGCTGGCAGACCCTGAGATGGGACTCGAGGGCTTGCTGTACGAGCAGGAGCAGGCGGTGACAGCGGGCGGACGAACCGCCCGTTTCGGACATGGTTTCAAGGCCCGCTGTCCACGTCGAGGGTCGAGGCCACGGCAAATGGATGCGGGCGATCACGGTTGAGGTTGCCCATCACCAATCACGCTCACCTGAGCCAGGGGTGGCGGTGCGAGGCCGAGCGTTTCAAGTGCGGGAGGCGGGCCCCTGTGACGCCAGGGCCGAGCCAGAAAAGCATCAGGGCTCTGTGTCACGCGGCAGCGATGCGACCGGGACCGGGGTCGGCGGTGCTGCGAATGCACTGTCGGGATTCCAGCCCTCGACGAAACTGGTCAAGGTGAGGAGGCGAGCTCGAGGCCATATACAAGTAAGCCGTGCCCCCGTGGTCGGCGATCAGCAGCTGGGATTTGCGTGTCCCGCCCAGCTAGCCCTGCCACGGGCGAACCAAATGCGTCCAGCCAGGCGCTGCACCGCGAGTCGCTGCAGATTTTCGCGCCCGGGGTGCGTAGCGGCTCGACGGTCGTGGGTTTCTCGTCGAAGTCAAGGGCGGGACCCGCGAATAGAGCAGACGAGTTCGTGTTCGGGGCGAGCGCAGTCCCCGGAGGGAGCGCGGGCTGACACGCCGAAACGGTTTCGTCATCCTACCCTAGCTTATCGTGGGGTGCGTTCCTTGCCACGCGGGTTGGCGCCCGTCTAACTATCACAGCGATTTTGCATCGAGAAGGGCGAGAGAAGCGGTGGTTGTGGCGCGGGCGCGCGAAGGAGGATGCGGGCTGGCGTGTTTCGCGGGTTTGCGGGAGGCACAGCTGCCAGGATGCCATGCAAAGAGCGCGGGATTCCAGACACAAAAACCTTGGCAGCAACCAGTAGCATGGGAGTCGGGACACCAAAGCCGCAAGTGCAGCATCAGCGTGACAATCAGTCAGAATGCAGAAACACACGGTGAGGAGGAGAGGAAGCTGGCCAAAGTGGAGAGTCTGGCGTCGGTTGAAACGAGACGCCGCATGCCTCCTTCCCTGCTTCCCTGTTTCCCTCCTGCCTATTTCTCCCTGACACCACCCGCTGTCCTACATCTGGCGTCTGTCAGTTGCCCGCCCATGGGGAAGGAAGAAGGGCAATCGTGCCTGCCGTCACGCAACAATGGCAGGAGCCCCAGTGCGGCAAGAGCGGTCGACGTGCGGGCCTTTACCCGCCCGCAATCCCTTCCTGCCCGTTTCAGTGCATTCATTTTTTTCTCTCTTCGTCTCAGAGTCAACCTCATCAGAATCAACATCCTCGGGCTGTCATTGCGAAACACCGCCTATCGGGTCTCACGGTGTCACGATCCCCTGTCTCGGGCGCCGCCCATCTGGTACCTTCCTTGGCTCTGGCAAAACTAACGCACGCCTGCTCGGACGTGGTCGCGTACATGAACGTATCAAAGCGCCGGCCGCACCCGGGTCCCCCCTTCGACCGCCGTTCCCGCGCCTCCCAGCCACCCGGGGCACGCAGACGCTCCCGTTTCACACCCGTGCCAAATAGAACACGGCCTCTGGTCCATTGTGATGCAATTCCGGTGCGGGCATTGGCACCGACCTATTAACATGGCTCCTATATGACTGCTACTGCCTCACGGACCGTGTCCCCCAACCCCTACCGAGCGTATGCAGCAACCGCCTCCCCGGTGCGCGTGGCACCCCAGCCTGGTCCTATGCTCGACACGCCCTGCGTCCGCCCAGACTGCATCCAGCAAAACGTCCGCGCGGTCGAGCAGTCTTGATACGCCTTTATCCGTCCGTCCTCGCCACAGTCGTGGGTATCCGTTGAAGATTCTCTCCGCTGCCGTGCCCTCCCCCCCAGCTGGCGTATATTCCGCTCGCTTTGGCCTCTTTGCCCGTGCGCGAGCCATCTTCCAGCTGCGCACCTTCGTATGGAGACGCGTGACACCCTCGGAGCTCGGGTATATTACGCCCCTTCCATATACGGCGCTTCCTGGCCGTGCCTTTTTGAACTGCCATGTCCCAGCGCCATGCGCCATGAAGAAATAGGTAATGAAACAGCGCAGAAAGCGCAGATATCCGTTTCGAAACGCTCGAAAACACCGAGTAAACGTAAAGTGTCCAGCCCTTGGTAAAGCTGTAAGTAGCGCCTGATGTCACCGCCGCAACCCCGACAATGAGAAAATATGACTAGCGGCCTGCGGGATGAGCGGGAATATCACCGTCGTCCGAGTCTGAATCGCTCTCACTGCTTTCGTCGTCATCAATCTCCATAGGATCGTCAGGTGTGCCTTTGGCCCCGCTCCCATGAAGTTGCGGCCTCTGTGTCTGAGACATGGCCGGGAATCGCGGTTGAGACGCCGTAAGGTACGCCGTCGGGTCTGTGTGTTCTGCCGTGGCCGCCGCGCTGGCGAGTCCGCCGCCCATCTCATTCACGGGCACTCTCTTGCGACGAGGTGTGCTTCCGCCGCTTTGAGGCTCGTGACCTTGGTGAGCCGTGGCTGGTCCCTCGTCATCGGGATAAGGCCGCTTGCTTGGCGTCGAGGCCGGCCAGGCAACGTCCTTTGCGGGGCCAAGCAGCCGCGTTCGCTCTGCTTCCACCTCTGCAACTGAGCGTCTCTGGCGCAGTCGAATGCCGTACTTCTTACGCGTCGTGCTCTGCTTGGTGTTGTAGCTGTTTTTGAGCTTCGCCAGCTCCTTTTCACGTTCCGCCTCTGGCAGCTTCATGGCCTCCATCATCAAGCCACCGTACTTTTCTTCGGCTTGCCTCATGTCGTACTCAAAGTCTCGCCGTTGCTCAGGGGTGAGTTTCGCGTACGGATCGTCTACAGGCGAGCTGACGGCGCCCCGGCTTGGAGGCGTCCATGTCGCCGGACTGCGCCCTTCTCGGGCCAACGCAGCCAGATGTCCGGGCGTGTGTCCCATGTTCGCGTGCCGTATGTCCGATGACAGCGCCGGCGTTGAAGCTGGCGCCCTTGGGGCTGGAGGCGTCGGTGCTGGCGCCGGGGTGCCCGTGGGGGGTCCGGTCCCATGTCCAACAGGGAGGAACTTCTTTGACCTCAGCTCGGCCAAGACCGCCTCCTTGACAGCATCGCTGTATTCTCCGCAAACTTTCATCTTGATGTGGTAGTTGAGGCCCCCGCTGCTACCGAAAAGACAACCACAGTGAGGACAGATTTCTGTCCCTATGTCGTCTACCCTCCAGGTGTTCACACAAGCTCGCTTGTTCGAGTGCTACATCTCGTTAGCCCAACGCATCACGCTTGCAACACACCCTTATACTCACGTGCTGAAACGCCTTCTCGCCGCTGCAGGGACGGTGACATCGCGAACAGTGGACAATACCCAAATGCCCAGCGGGCCCTGCGGGTAGCGGAGAACCTGAGTTGCGTGTCGATCCGATGCTGGCAACGCTCGGCTCTCTGGATACGGGTGGTCGGTGTGCCGCAGCGACCGGCCCAGGCCGCGAAGGTAGTTGTTGCGATGGAACGGGCTTGGGCGGCGCTGGCGGGTTAGGCACCAGGTGCAACGAGGGGAGGACATGCTCCCCGCCGTTAGTCTCCTCAACAATGTCCCGGACATCATAGCCAAGCCGTTCAGCACGCGCGAGGGCGTTCACCAGCGGCCGCGCGCGAATGGTTTCCAGACGCCTGGCCAGGGCCTTGTCCAAAAATCTGTGGCTGGCCTTTGCTAGAATTGCATCCGAGACCGCATCCAGGTCCTCCGTCGTGAAGTGCGCCACCACAGAGTCCTTGCCCGTTCGGACCATGTTCCCACCAAAGTCCTTGAGGGCCCGCGCAAGCGTACCAGAGCTTGCCTGATGAAAGGTTGCATTTGCCTATCATCACCATGGGTTAAAGAGGAAGCAGTAGCACTTTCAGCCAGCCGACACTTACAAGAAAGGCAAGGTGATACTCGGATCCCAGCAGGCACTTATCCCACGAGTCCCTCACCACCTGCCGGACAACCTCCGGAGCCGTTCTCTTAATCACATCAGAGAGCTCCTTGTACGCCGGCGACGCCTCAAGAGACGCGTCGCTCGTCTTGGGAGACTTGAAGCCCGGGGCTTTGGGTGCAGGAGGTGTGGGCTCTTGCGGGTCGCGAGGCGGCTGCGACGACGCCACGGGCTGGCGCATCTGGCTGTGAGACGGTCCCTGCAAGCTACCTTGCGGGAGCGGTTGGGCAGGTGACCGGACCGAGGAGGGCGGGGGTTGCTGAGCGTGAGTTCGGGCAGGAGCTTGCGTCTGGACGCCATTCTGCGCGGGTGACGAGGTCGTGAGCGTCTGAATGTGAGCCGGCAGGGCGGCAGAAGACGACGACGATGCCGGCGGCGGTTGCTGGCCCATCTCAGGCATGGCCGCGGCCGGCAACGAGGCCGTGCTCATGACGTCGGTTTCTGACGCGAAATATGAAACCAACGACGCTGAGGTGGTGAGCGGCCCGAGTGGAGGGTTTCTGAGTCTCGACGCGCCCCCAGTTGCCGACGGGTGCAGTTGGTGGCGTAACGGGAGAGCGCGCAGAGACCGCCGTGAGTGCAAGCACCGCTGCTCCGAGCTGGCGCAAGAGGAATGACCCCGCACTGTGCCGTCGGGCGACTGGCGATGAGTCGTGACGGTTTGTGAGTCGGGCGGCGCGCGCGTTGAGAGGCTCGAGATACCGCGTTTGCCTGTTGGTGGGTCCTTCCGCGAAGTTATACGCTCTGCCGTGCAGGTGCAGGCAAGGTTGTGTTAGGCGGAAGCCAGGTCACGCTATAAGGGTAAACTTCGGCGCTAAGTTAGGGCCCCTAGTCACCAATACCGCCCAGTTTATTAGGTACATTAGGCCATCCTATTAGTGCTTCCTAAATGTAGCCGTTGCGTGATCGAAATAAGCGAGCTGTGCTATAATATCTGAGGCCGTGTCACCCACGGATTGGCGAGTGAAACCATCTGGGCGGCGACTAATAGTAAGTTGCGAGTCTCTCTTGATATCCATCACATCACCGAACAAGATGCGATTCAAAGACAACAAGCAAACGCAGTTACTCGGCAATTGGGTCATCATTGGCACTGGACTAGAGGCAGCCATCGTTTCTTGGGTACGTCTTCTCATGTTGACTTGCCGACCGTGACCGGGCCAAGCACAACAACTCCCCTCGCGATGGTACTATATTAATGTACAATCTCTGGTATCATGTTCCACCATCTCTCGTCCAAACAAGTGACGCCTGCGGCAAAACAAAGCTCCAACATCATGCACCCGACTCACGACCCATCACGTCGTCACCTCGTCAAACGTCGGCCTCGTCCGGCCTCATTCCCCAATGCAAGCCACCATGAGCCTCTCGTAGTCGCCCGACGTCTCGCCCTTGATGCGGCTCGCCAGGCTCCGGCGATACTTTTGCTGGTAGGCGCCTTTGACGTTGGCCAGGAAGTTCCGATCCCAGTGGAATCTGACGACACGGGACACGAGGAGGTGATCCTTGGTGCCCATGCCGGCCATGGACTCCTCGAGGAGATCTGCGGCGTGCATGTACTTGTCAACGCCGTTTCGAAGCTGGAAGAGAAGCGCATCCTGCATGTGGCCCGAGAATTCCTGCCAACTGTTAGACGCCAGGACATTTTAGCGTAGGATATGACAGCAACACGACTTACCGACTTGATGACCTTTTCCAGGTCACGGTTGAACTTTTGCTTGTAGGAGTGGGCGATGGCACGAATCTGGTTGTCGTTCCTGCTCGTCAGGATGCTGCAGACCAAGATCTCGTCGGTTCCCATCTTGCCCTCGGTGGCCTTGTAGATCTGCATCACATCGTCGTCGACCTGCTGAGGCACAACGGGGGCAGCGTCCTCGGCACGCGTTGCGGCCAGAACCATGAGGAAGTGCCTCTCCGTCTTCATGCTCAGGTCTCCCTTGACATCGTTCTCCAGGCTCTTGCGGTACGTCTGGTAGTATGCGCTCTTGATGGCCTTCATGTCGGCGTTGGACCTCGAGAGGAGAATGTCGTTGAGGACGAGCTCCTTGGTGCCGGGGCCAGACATGGCCTCGTACAGGTTGTGCACATCAGCGGAGAGGGGCCCACGGGCGAGCTGGACCAGCCCATATTCAAACCACGAGCTAGTCTCGCTCTTGATGTCTTTGATAAGATCGCGCTTGAAGTTACGGTTGAAGGCATTTCGCAGGACCTCGATTTGGAGCGGATCCTTGTTCGACAGCGTTCGAATGAGCGCCTTCTCGTCGGTGCCGAAACCCTTCATGGCGCTGCGGAGGGCCTGGGCATCCGCGGAGCCGTCCCACTGTATGATCTGAGGCGCGCCATACCCAGGAGAAGGGGGCGTGGGCGGGACCGGGGGGCCGTATTGCTGAGGAGGCGGCGCTCCGTATGAACCACCGTGCTGCGGCGGAGGCGCGCCGTACTGGCCTGGCGGCGGTGCCGGTGAGTGGTGGCCATAGTGCTGAGGCGGGGGCGCGCCGTATTGCTGTGGCGGCGGCTGGCCGTACGAAGGGTACTGGCCTGGAGGCGGGGGAGGGGGTTGCTGATAGTAGCCTCCTTGCTGCTGGGGTGGATATTGTCCCGGAGGCGGATACTGGCCCTGAGGGTATTGGCCCTGAGGCGGATACTGGCCTTGGCCCTGGGGAGGGTACTGTCCCTGCGGCGGGGGGTATTGGCCGTAACCCTGGGGAGGAGGCGGCTCTGCGCAACAGTCAGCGTGAGGTGGTCGGCGATGACGGAGGATGGCGGGGTGGACGGACGGCCGTAGGGCTGGCCGTAACCCTGGTACGACATGCCGATGAGATGCCGATGAGCGAGTAGGTGTGCGCGCGCGCGAGAATCGAGCGAGAGGGGCGTTTGACGGGATGCGCGTCTCGACGGTCTGCACCACGGGAAGGGGGAAGTGACGTCGCGGAGCTGGAGGGGAAGCGGACGGAGTCTGACGACGGCGGGGTTGGCAGGCACGACCAGCGCAGGCGAGTCGTCTTTTTATGACGGATGACGGATGCATGCGCGATGCGCCTCATTACTTAACAAGTCAACAGGCGCCGTCATGTCAGCCCAGCGGGCCCCTCGGTAGCGCATCTTGCTGGCCCGTACCTAGCAGCAGGGTGGCATCGTGGTCCAATTAGGCCATGTTGCGCAACGGGTTCACGGTGGCTGAGTCGGAGCCGCCGCAACGTCATGCCCACACTCTGGAGGAGCTCTAAAGCTCTCGGCACTGCGCTGCGGAGGGGTCTACAGACGTGCTAGTCAGGACGGAGCATCCGCCCATTGCAATATCGTGTCACGCTTTATGAGAATTTCGAGGAGCGCGAGAGAGGATGCTCGGCGGCATTTGGCAGTGCTGCTGGCGAACCGGGCACACAGGGGGCGAGCTATTGCCTTTTGGCGTTTGCGCTTCCCCCTCTCGGGCGCAGCTTCCGAAGCAACAAGCCGTGTGACACATGGATGTTGGCGAAATGGTAATACCACAAGAACAGCCACCCGTGGGGAAACTGGTGGAATGGCTTGGGACTGAAAGTACCTGGCTGGTTCTCCAGTGGGCCAAGCAGGACCGAGTCCTTGGAGTGGGGGACCACCCAGGTACGAGGACGTGAATGCTTGGGCAGGCGCCCTGGGCATAATGCACAGCCACCTGGATTCGTGTTTTCTGACGCCATCGTTGCCGCCCAGAGGTGGCGCAACGGCTGCACGGGCCGCCTGGCAAGAGTCAAGACTCAGGACCCTGGGTCTTCGCGGGGACCGACTGAGACATGGCCGACATTTGCTGGCGTAGCACTGTGGCTGTTGATAATGTTGCTGCTGCTCGTCCTGTCAAGAACCGTACATGTTATATTCATCGTCACGTAGCCGAGTGGCAGAGGGCGAGCGGCGCGGCGAACTCGCCATCTGGGCCATGAGGTGGGGGGCTTTCTCTATCCAGGCGGCGCCCACGCTGCCAATCGCCTCAATCCTTGCCCGATGGCGAGTCTATCTATCACCAGATCGATCCGCGGGGAGCACCCGTCCTCGCATCATGTTCCACGTGCTAACCCGGTCACCTTTCATTGCGCTCCCCTCGCCTTGCGTGGTGCCCCCCCGTCAACAGACAGACCTCGAACGAGACAGTGGGCGGCGCGTCGTTCAAGGTGCGGGAACCCTGGAACCATCACAAAAGAGGGTGGCTGGTGCAGGGCGGCTCTCAGCCACTGAGAAGACGGCCCTGGCGCCGAAGGGACGGTGGTCACGCGCGGGCTGCGATCAGGGCGGGCGGGTCATCCCCACCGGAGCTTGGTGCCCAGGGCAGCTGAGTGCTCCAGGGATGGAGCCCTGGAGCCAACTGCCCTGTAGGTACTGGACCCCTGGGAGGCGCTGAACTTTTCGCGGCTCCAGCGCTCTCCTGCACGACACCCAGGGCAGGCACCCGAAGGCCCGATTTTAGCGCGGGGGAGCCGCCCCGAGCCGACGCGGCCAAGCGCCCACCTGCCAGTCCGGGTGCCTTGATCTCAGTCCACCACCAGCCTCCAAATATTTCCTGCACCGTCCCAGCCACCCCGCCAAACCACAAGCTCGCCCTCACGCAAACCAACAACGGCCAGCCAGCCAGCCTTTCGTCGCCCGTTGAAAGAAAACCGCCGAGTGGCCCAGCAAGGTTTGTATTCTGCATTCTCATCCTCCGTTGCGAATGCGGCTTTCTCCTCCCGTCTTTTTTCTCCCAACCTCGATCGGTCGAGTGCCGCTGTTGATTCCAACTCTCTCTCTCTCGCGATCTGCATTTGCGCTTCAACGTCACGCATCCACCCACACGCACACAAGCTTCCATTCCAGCAAGCCAAAAACGTGCATCCCCGCTTTGCGCTGAGCACACATTCCTGCGGTGGCAGACTGCCGGTCTGTCTTGGTCTTGAATAAGAAGCCTTGTCAAGATGCGCTGCTCTCTTCCAATTGTTGCCGTCCTCGCGGCGTGCTTCACCACCGCTGCTGCGCTCCCCCAGTCGGGGATGAAGATCCGCGCCGCGGACGCCACCACCGACAAGAAGCCCAAGTACTCGGTCGTGCCGCTCGAGCCTGGTGATAACCATTCGGGCGGTGGAGGCGGTGGCGGTGGCGGCGGCGATGATAATACCAGCACTGGAGGCGTTACCATCATCAAGACGGTGACCAAGACGTCGGAGCCGACCACCGAGGTCATCACCAAGACCGCCGAGCCGGAGACTGTCACCAAGTCGATCCCGACCACCATTTCGGTCATTGACATGACTGGAGAGCCGACAACCACGGTCACCGTCACGCCCACGCCCGTGCCGCCACCAACTACCACCACGCGACCCTCGACGGCGTCGCCTCCTCCGGTGTCAACCCCGCCTACATCGAGCGAGAACTCGACCGCCACCTTCACCAACAAACCTTCCACGAGCATCCCGCTCTTCACGACTGGCAGCACTTCCGCGGCACTCACCACCACCGACACCGTCTCGACGCTGCCCACGAGCTTCACCAGCATCGTCACGATACCAACCACATTTGCGACCATCACCACGACGCCTCAGTCGTCCACCTCAACTCGCACCTACGACGACGGCCAGTGGCACACCACGTACCCTGCGTGGAACGGCACCATGACCTACCGCTACCGGCGGCGCTCTTAAAGGCTCTCGCGCCAACCGTCGCCATTGAGCACTAGAACATTGCCAGACTGTCCTTGTCTTTCACGGCTCGGCAGCGATGCGAATTTGTCACACACAGCATATGGGATTGCGCAGGAGTTTCATGGGTATCAGCATAGGAGCGTGCATGCAGCGGGCGCCAGCCATGCTGCAACGCAGACCAAGCGCTGGGATGCGTCCTCACGTAGTTACGCTTAATAATACGATAGACATACATGTATACAAAGTATAGACTGACCTTGCCTCGTCGACGCAAGTGATTCCGAATGTGTTGCTGTCGGCGTGCCGAGTACGAGCTGCACGTCGTGTGTAAGCCGCCCGAGGCATGTCGCATGAGTGACGCGACGCTGACGAACCATGATGATGAGTCTTTGCACCGACGTGCGAGAGCCAGGCCGCACACGCAACGATCGGAACTTTTCCGACCATAGAGCTCCATGTCGTGCATGTCCTTCTATCCGGGGCATCCCCTCCCCGCTTGAACGTCGCACTGGCCACTTTGATGGGCTGATGCCCCGAGGATGCGAGACTCGACGCCGGACGGTTTCAACTCCTCCGCTCCCGCTGAAAAAACCCATACTGCTTCGTACGACATGAAGAGGGAGGCATGGTCTATAATGTAGAAGCACATGCCTCCGAGCAAGGTGGAGCGTACGTACGAAGGAGCATGCGCCAGGGTGGGAATTCCGCTTCATGCCCCATCTCCAGACTCACCGCCACGGACAATAGTAGTGGTCTCCACGCATCGATTGCTACGAACGTAGTCCAGACGAGCACCGCTCTGAGTAAGACAAGTCGGTGAAGCGACGCCCCAGAGGTTATTCTCGGTGCCCAAGCTTATTGTCCCATCAAGGTGCTGTATGCCAAGACTTGAGTACCGCGTTTCTCTCCGAGGCGTAGGCTCGTAGCTTCGGTACCGCATCTCGAGGGGTCCTCCCAATCATGGGGGACGCCCCGGCTCTGCATCACCGCTCCTCCGGTGCGCGGCCGCCGCCCCGTCAGGCACGCGCATCAGAACAGTGCAATGATGATCACACCCTGTCGTCAGGCACGCGCGCAAAGCCTGCCGCACGCACGCACGCGCTACTGCAATGGGCAACCAAGGGCGACAGGGGAATCACGTACGTCTACAGAGGTACTACGTGCAGTCAGGCTCTGCGTCTCTCCAATCGCGGGCATCCACGTCCCGGGGCAGAGGGACCCTCCCGCCGCGTGTGGACCCCCGCCGTCCGATTGCCCCCCGGGCGCGCTGGGCAGCAATTCACGCACAACGTACAAGCCTGCCGCAAGAGAATTGGCGTGCATGTCAAAGATTGGGGAAGGGAAGAAAAAGCCCACGCCTACGCTCGGTTGCACACTGTTTGATATTCTTGCTCCAGACATAGATCGTTTTCTGAGATATTACATCTCATAGTGCCGAATCTTGCCTGCGCAGACTGAGACCCCGAGTCGGCCGTTCGTTGCTCACCCTTCTCCGCCTCCTCGGCGCTGAGTTCATCGGGCCGCGACCCCACTTATCCAGCCGCGCCTCAGCTCCGGACCCGTCCGCAACGTGCCGAGAGATCGGAAACCCCCTACCCTAAACACTCCGGCATGCGCTCCGGGACACCATCATTTCGCAGGCGCGGCCTGCGCAGCAACAGTTTCCTGCTCTTCCTCATAGTAGCGAGCCTGCTCATTGCCCAGCCCTTCGCGCAATTCATCACCACCACGCGGCCCGCGCCGGCCACACTGCCAGGTCAGAAGCCAGACAGCAGCACGCAGCGCAAAACCAGCCAGCGCGTCGCCGCCATGCCCGGTAGCGTACATCGCCGCGCCGAGGCCGTCGGGTCGGCGTGCTCCAGCGAGGGCCAGTGGAACTGCATGACGCGCTCGTGGCAGCGCTGCGCGGCTGGGCGGTGGAGCGAGGTCGTCAACTGTGCCAAGGGAACGGTGTGCGCACCCGCGGGCTTAACCAACGACTTTCGCGTCCAACATGACGGGTCCGTGGACGGAAGCGGTAGGGCGGGAGGGAGCGGCGGGAGCGGCGGGCTGAGCACGGGACCGAGGGGGTCGACGAGCGTGCCGCTTCTTGGGGTTGTAGTTTTACTCTGGGCGTTTTACGCGTGACACAATTTTGATGCGCCGAGTATCACGGATGGCGCATGAAAGCGTGCTCATTAAAACGTAGACCGCAGCATCAGGGAAAAAAGGGCTTCGAAGTTGCCATGTATATACACGATCACGCAATTAGAGGTAGAGGCAAGTCTCACAATTGGAAAATGCCCGCGTTCTACATAATACGTACTCGTTGCTGTCTACCGAGCCACAACCTCCCGCATGTCAAACCTAAGCGGTGCAAAGTCCTCACACTGACGCAGGGCCTGGTACTCGCCGACCAGCCTGCCGCAAAAGCCATCATTCTCTCGCACCTCGGTGAAGCCTACGGTAAGGACAACCTGCGCGCCCTCGTCGAACAGTCGTGCTACGTCGGCAGCGGCGGGGTAGTAGAAAGTGCTGCCGTCAAACGGCGGACCCCGGTGCGACGCCCACCATGCCAGGCGCATGAGGCAGAGGTCCGTCTGCAGGAAGGGGAGTCCGTCTCGCAGCGCGTCCCAGACGTGGCCGAGACGCAGCCCATCGGGACACATTGCGCGACCGGAGCGCGTGACAACGGTATTGTTGGCGCGACGGCGGACGGTGACTAGGCCGATGGACTTGATGGGCGTTGTGCTTGGGACCAGCATTCGGCGCCAGCTTGCCTCGGCGGCGCCAAGACCCTTGTGCCTGTCGACTAACGCCTTTGCCGAGAGGATAGGCGTGTACGGCAAGGGACCTGGGCCGGAAGGCGGCTCGATCAGATCTGGGCATGAGAGGCCGACGACCTCCGGCGCGATGCCCTGCTCGGAAGCAGCTTGAGAAGCACGCCGTGGCCACGACAATTCGGAGAAAGACCAGGGCTTGAAGCGAAGCTCGGCCTGGATCCGCGGCGACGAAGCAATGAGACGGCGCCAGGTTTGGCAGACGCGCTGCGCGCGGCAGAGGATGCTCCTGCCGTCGAGCTCCAGCAAGACGAGCTCCAAGAGCTCCGAGACCACGAGCAAGCGGTTGGCGGCAGTGTACATTGGAAGACGATACCTTGGACCTCGAGTTGTGAATCACAACTTGACACTTGATCCGCGTGAATCATTCAGTTTCAGAGTCATCTCAGGCCGGGGCCATAGAACCCAACTGCGGCACCAGCGGAGAGGCCAGGGTTGCGCATTGTGAGGTCTTGTCGCCTGCGCGCATCGACGACTGCATCAAGCTTTTTGACTGGAATGCACGGGAGCTACGGAGTAGCATCAAACGCCTGTCAGCATCTCGTCTGACCGATCATTTCTAGGAATGAGTGAGCGAGAGTGCATCACGCTTACGCTCCCACAACTCTGTCTTCTGTGTGCCTGCATCACCTAGCTGTGCTGTACTGAACCAACAGAGATGCGGCGAGTTGGCTGGCTGCCAACTGAACAGACGCCGCCATAGAGTAGTGCTCAAGTCTCGTCAATTCTCAGATGTCGCCTTTGCACCGTATGTGACACCATTGAAGAGGCGGCAATAGAGTTTGGACGAGCGCGACGCCTGCCATGGAGTTGTCGGAAATCGGAACACAGCCAAACGCAGCGTCAAAGGATCTCGCCTCCCGCTATCATGGCGTGCAGGTCAGCCTGTCCACGTGTAACCTGCGCGGAGCGAAATGCGATGGGTTACGCAGAAACGGCTTCCCATGCACAATTGACCACTGCCCACTCTGTCGGTGCCATGCATGAGCTTCTGCCGTTGGTTCACCGTCTGACCGATCGCCGCGACAGGTCGGGTGTCTGCGCACGACGCTCCGTTCGGCATGCAGGACGTATGCCCCTACATCGTACCACTTTTCGCGAGGTACTTGGGATTGCCCGACTCGTCGTCCGTCCGCCTCGCAGCAGCCTGTTCTTTATGGACCCTGGGACGCAGATGCAACGAAGAGACGCATCTTAGACCGGGTGCGGAGTTGGACGAATTCGGGGTGTCCCGCCCGAACGCCTCCGCCGGCCTGCCGAAAACTGGGGGCCCTCGGGCACGCTCAGCTGTGAGACTGGCCCAAAGACTTATCACCGCCGTTTAGATGCTGCACGGCGGACCTTGCGCCACGTGGACTCGGAGAATCTTGGCCAAGCGTGACGGATGAATGCGTTGGCCGATTGCCATCCCTCCCGGCCGAGTTCAAATGGCCAAAGATGCGGGGACATGGCATCTCGCGATTTCTTGTCTGCCCATAGCATTCGCCCGTCGACATCAGGATCAAGACACAGCTCGCGCCGTTCAACGCCATGGCGTCCAAAGGTACTATTTTGGTCACCGGCGCCAACGGCGGCCTCGGCTCCGCAATCGTTGCTCATATCCTCAAGACGCCAAATCTCGCATTCGACTACACCGCTGTATATGCGGTCCGGAAGACCGAAACGGCATCGAAACTTCAGTCGGCACTGAGCCGAGCCCCCGATGGGCACAAATACGATACGCTGGATGTTGATCTCAGCTCCATCGCAAGCACCAAAGCAGCGGCTAAGAGAATCAATGAGCGCGTTGCGAGTGGGGAGTTGCCGCCCATCAGGGCGCTCATCCTCAACGCTGGCTACCAGGAAGGTGCCACATTGGTCAGTCACGACTGAGACTGCGTGCTAGCAATGACGCCAGCTGAGACGACCAGTAGACGATGAGCACCGATGAGTTTGAGATGACTTGGCAGGTTAACTTCCTGTCCAACTTCATCCTGTCGCTGTTGCTCCTGCAAAGCATGGACAAGAAGCATGGCAGGATCCTTATACTCGGAAGCTGGATGCACGAGTGCGTTTCCTTGACTTGGTCAAAGACGGCTTCTCGTGAACTAGGCGGCTGACCTGCCCGCAGCGTCGAAGACCCGAGGAACACCTCTGGAGGGAATACTGTGTATCAGGACCCCAAGTGGCAGAACCTGCTCCCAGACATAGATGCTGTCGCCAGAGGCAGATGGAGCACGCCCAACGACGATCCTTCTGAAGCCTCCGGCTTCCGCCGATATGGAGCAAGCAAGCTTTGTGCCGTCATGCTCATGTGAGTTGCTGCAGTGAGGAGTACGGGCCTGAGTGCCTAGATGTATGGCTCTGACAGCATCGGCAGGCACGAGTTAGTCGATCGCGTAGCTCGCGACCCTGCATTGGGCAATGTATCTGTCGTGGGACTGGACCCCGGCGGCATGCCTTCGGATCTGTGCCGCCGGGCAGGCTTTATGGTCAAGACGGTGACCATGGGGTTCATAGTTCCGCTGGCGGCGCCTCTCATGGTGAGGTTGAGTCCCAACGGCCTGATTCGACCGACGTGGAAGAGCGCGGCCGACGTGATCCGCGCATGCTTCGAAGTCGAGCCACCCAAGGGCAAGCTTCTGTATCTTAACGGTACTGATGAGCTCGAGACAGCCAAAGACGCGCGGGACAAGGGGAAGAGGCAGCCTGTGTGGAGATATGGGCTCGAGGTCGCTGGCATCAAGAGCGGCGATAGCGCATTGGCGGACTGGCAATGAGCTGGGCTACCGTAGGCTCGAAACCTACCTATTCAGCATGCTAATGAACTTGCCGTGCGTGGTCACTCACGCATCAAAGCCTTGCTGTGTTGTAACAATTTGCCTGCATTGGTCGATAACTCGCTCGGCATTGCCGCACCTACCGAAGGACTGCACTAGTGACAAATGGTCCCGTTGGGCTGCCTCTGCTTGGCGCGGCTTCGAATAGACGACATTTCGCGATATAACGTTTGGACCAGTGTGATGCTTGTGCGGTCGTCGTCAAACGCCGATGCGTGGCCCTACCGACGAACATGTGGCTGCGCCACTGGACGCTGTGGGCCGAGGAGGCAAGCGACTTGCTGGTCGTCCCTCGACAGGTGAGGGAGGAGTGAATCAGCGGGAAACCTGTGTCCGCAAAGTGCCACTGACGAAGAAGGGGTGGAAGCATGCAATCCAACACGAAGATGACAGGGAGATGCGTCTGCAGCGCAGCACGGAGGTGGAGCTCGATTTGGCGGAGGCGACCAGGCCCTGAAATTCTGAAACAGGCGCCGTCGCCTGTCGGGGGAAGAGCGACTGCGGGACCTGGCGATCCTCCTGCACCTCCTGCACGCGCCAGCGAGCAGGTTGGCGTGGCAGGTGCCAGGGAATGCCAGGGAAGCAGGCAAGAGCAGGCAGGAACAGGCTTGCCAAAACAGGTTCGTCCACGAGGGTGGTGCCAGGGTTGCATCGCGCCTGCTTGGTTCACTGTATTTCATTTCCTTTCCTTGCAGGCGGCGACTGTTTGTTTGTTCGGTTCCCGGCCCTGGCAGGAAGGAGCCAGCCGTCGACGACGCAGGAGGCAGGAGTGCAAGCGCACTCACCTGCCTCGGAAAGCGCGACTCACAACTCCCAGACACCCGCAAACATCACATGATGGGGCCCGCAAGCCCTGGACACCTGGGCTCGCTGGAGTTTCATTTGTCAGAGCAGAGTCTGCCGCACCTTGACCGGCCATGCCTACCTTATGCTTAATTCATCGTCCCGGAGAGCCCGACATGCCAGGATTTCTCTGGAGCACGAGACACCAGAGCTTCGAGTTCGAAGAGCCCGTCGACGCCACCAGCGAGCATCAGCCTCGCCTAAAAACAAAGAAAAGCGCAAGACGTTCACAACAAACCTCGCACCGCCAGTCAATCGCCGTCCAACAGCGACCCTGAAACACGACGGGACAGCCCCGGCCCGGCGGCTGTTTCCATGCCCAGGCTGGCAATCACTCTGTGGGCGGCTCTCTGGTTGGCTCTCCCGCCCCGGACCGCCAGTGACGAAACGGGCGCCCCTCCATTCGTTTGGGCCGTCTGATGTGGCCTGAAGAGGACCCTGCAGCGCCGCTCCTCATCACACGCTCCGTAGCTGCGCCTTTAATATCCCGGCGAGGGCGACCCGCGGTTGTTGGTCCCTGCTTGCCCTGGCCTCGCCGTCCGTGCGACGAGTGCGATACGGATCTTGGTCAGAACCGTGGCTCGAGTGGCTGCTGGCGATCATGAGCAACGGCCAGAGACGCCGAGGAGACTGGGCCCTGCCGCCCGCATATGCCATCCGGCCCTGGACTTGTAATTGTTGGCGATGCAAACCGGGTGGCTTCCCCAGCACGAGTGCGGATACACGCGAGTACAACTACCGGCAGTCCCCCGTTCCTCGCGCTTCCCGAGAAATAATATGGAGTGATGCCGCGCTTGCCAGCAGTCTCTCGTTGACACCGCTTTTCTTTTGTCTGCTTGCCGGATCTGCAAAGCAGGGTTGACAGACTGCGCCATCAACCCCAGTCCTTTCGACACCTTCGACAGCATCTGAGGCACAGCCAGACTTTGGCTTGCAACGCGCCGCGCCCCCGCCGTCCGATCGTTCTTCTGTGTCGTACCCGTCGCCGAGCATTGCCGTGTACATCATAGGCCTGACGTCGACAGACATCGCCTCACAGGCCAACCTGATCACACGACCTTTTCGCGGCTCGCGCGTCTTCTCGCCTCGCGAAAGGCCAGGGCCGGCACGGGAATCTGAGCACAGGCCGCCGCCGTGGAAAGCGCCTATCCTTCGCCAGCTCTGCCAGTTCACGGGGACGCCCCGCTGCTTACGCCAGGCAGCCCGACAACCTGGCATTGCTGGCCAGGCCGGCGCTCCTGAGACTGCCCGCCGGGTCGACTTACAAGCACTAGCAGTGCCACCAGCGTCAGCTTCCAGAAAAAGAACAGCCGTTTCAACATCCACCACCCACTCGTCGCCGCCACCATGTGGGACCGCCTGCGAACAGCTACGAGTACGGCTACCAGCGCAACCGCCACTCCAGCTTCTGCGGCCACCACCAACACCGCCTTCGCATCGGCGGATGACTTCCTTCACCATCCCCCTCGTCATCACGCCGCCTCGTCGTCGAAGCCTCGCCGTGGCGCCTCCGTCAGCAAGCATAAGCAGAGGATCCCGCGCATCCGCAGTCCCAGGTCGCGCCGTCCTGACAGCCTCGACGATCCGCTCAACGCACTGGGCATCTCGCGCAACGGCCCCTACAAGCTCGAGGTTCGCAGGGGCAAGGTCGTGCCCCGGCTATCTTCTGTCGACGTGTGAGTGCAATCGAGCTCCTCTTTCTTTCCTGTCCTCACCCCCCCACACATGTCCCCCTATCTGTGATGCTCGCCATCCTCTGGCAGCTGTCGATCCCGCGCACGCGAGCCCAACGGCCCTGGTGTCTTGGATGCCTGTTACGCGCAACATTGCGACGTCAGTTGCCCAGCCTCAGCCCTCGACCCTGTTTGGCAAGGTGGATTGCCCCTCGTCGCGCCAATTAGCCAGATGCCAGGGGGACCACCACCCATGCACGGCACCCATCCATCGTCATTCTCATCGGGTGCTGTGGCCTATTCTTGTCGCCAGTCGGAGCTGTCGAATGAGCCGATGACCTACGCTTTGTTGTGGGAGACTTGCTCATGGCCAGGCTGCGCCCGGAGCCCGGAGCGGTCTGCACGATCCCGTGACGAGTCTGCCTCTTTCTTGCACACACATCCAGACACGCAACTGCAAACAAACAAGCTGACATCTGCCCCGTTCTGGCCCGTGTAACAGCGTTCTCCCTTCTCAACAGCAGGACCTATTGGCTGCCCCAGGTCGCGAGCCACCCCCACGAGACCCGAGGCGACGGCTCCAACAACACCACCAGCTTCATCAAAGCGACTCGCACTGGCGTCCTACGTCGTCAGTCTACGACGATAGCGACGACACCATCAAAGACGCCGACCACACGGGCCCCGTGAAGCAGGCTTCCGGAGACATGTACAGCCGCCCAGCTGCTGAGGAGCAGGTTTCTCCTCCCAGCTCTCCCGAGCCGGGCGCTTTTCACGGCGGGTGAGTATCCTGCTCGGCATCCCCAAAGCGCCACACTCATAACACAGAGGCTGACCGGACTGTTGCAATCAGACATGCAGCTGGCGACGTCTCCCCCATCGACGAGGAGCTGGATCGCTTTCAGCAGCAACTCCTGGGCGGCCCCTTACAACAACACCCAGGGCGTCCCGCTTCTCAGCAGCAGCGAAGCCAAATCCCATCGCTGCAGCACGCCCATCACCTACCGCGGAGTACACTCGGCCCCTCGGCCCCTCAGTTACGACAACCCACGCCCGAAAGTCGCGCTTGGGAGCGCCAAGTTCATCCTGGGCAGCGCCCGGCGCCGCAGCAGAACACAATGGCCCGGGAGCGTGCCGTCGAACCGCCGAACCCGCCCCAAGCATACGGCTCTACCACAGTAATCACAGCTCCCGCGTCGAGCCACCGCAACACGCCGTCCCCATCGTTTGGGCAGCGCATGCGATTCATAGGACGAAGCAAACCCGAGCCGCTTGACAGCCGACCACCGTGGCATGGAGCAAGTGGTCGGACGAAGCTGATCAAACCCGTACGTGACGATCTGAAGGCTGGCCCTCTTCAGATTCCCCGGAAGAGTAGCAAGCGGACAGGTCGTGGCGGGGTGCCCATTTCGACAGGCGCTCATACCCCGGGCGGCCAGACTACATCTGAAACGCCAAACGCCGGAGCCACTACAGCTCAAGCGCGCACGCTGCGTCCCCTCCCGTCCGACCAAGAGGCGGCTAGAAAAGCTATGGGCCCGTCGTGGCATACCCAAGCCCCTCCTCAATCTGACGCCGGGGCGCATTCGTATCCCAGCCCACCCGACACGGATTACCTTTCTCCATCCCCTCCAGCTGCGGCGTTTCAATCGTGGAATCCCTCGGTGGCACCACGCGGTGTCTCGCCAGACGTGCAACCGTCGAAGCCTATCAAGCGGAAGCCCCCACCCGGTGCTTCCACTTCCTCGACCGGCGCGACCTTGTCTCACTCTATCGGCGCAAGCGCAGGACCGTCGAACGATCAAGACGCTTGGGTGCAACCGCCGTCACGATTCAGCGTCACGACGTATGCGACATCGAATCCCGGCTCGCCTCGACAATCAGTGGACGAGCCACCCGTTCCAGCCCTGCCGGCGCTGGCGACCTCGGTGATGGACCGACGACGGCCCGTCGCTGGGGAGCACAATGATAGAGCAACGCCCGAGCCCATCGTCATCTCGATGAGCAGCCCGTATTCCGCCTCGAGTCATGAACCAGTCCACGAGCGCACTGCGCATGCTCGCATCGCCAGCGAGAGCCAGCAGTCTGATCGCCGGTCATCCGTCCTGTCCATGGCGAAGCCGCTCCCTCCGGCCCCGCACGAGCAGTCATCATCGAACGATCGTGTCGCCAACTTGAATGCGCAGATTCAGGGTCTGGTGCATCGACGGATCAACATTACTAGGAGCATCAAGCAGATGACGGAACTTATGCCGGCCGACAATCTGCTGGCGAGCGAGGAGGTGCTTCGCAAGCGCGAGGTCGAGAAGCAAAAGGTCGATACCCTGAGAGGGGAGCTCGCAGAGGTGCAGCGGGAGGAATACGAGCTGGGCCTGAAGCTACACCGGGCGTACAAGCGGCTGGACCAAGACGCCGAGTATGAGCCCACGACGCTCTGGGTCAGGAGGGTGACGGGTTGACGCCACGAAGAGCTTTGACAATGTGTACTTTGTCGCATAGGCGACATGTTTTACGAGTGACGAATGGAATGGTCTCACATGGTCTCTGAGATTTGGCCACAGAGTGCCCGTAACTCGCGGGCGTTTCCCCAGTATACGATGCACCAGAGTGCTTCACCATGCTCAGAAGCTTTCAAACGTGCACGCCGGATCAATAATCTTGTTTGCTTGCTTTATTGAGCGCCCGTCTCCCCGCAGCGCTGCGCGCGCACGTGAGAATCGTCGCTATTGGAATAAAACCTCACGTGCATCAAATATGAGCCATGATAAGAGTATGTAGTAGCCCTCTATGAGATATAAAACCGCCGCGGCCATAATGGAAAAGAAGATGAGGTGCACGAAGAAGATGCCGATCCAGGGTCGCAGGCGCGTCATGAGAACCTGTATGATGTTGGTCGCGGAGGCGAGGACGAGGTGCGAGTGGAGGAGGAGGCCATAGAGCGGGACGCGATGCCGGGTCTTTTAGAGAAGCATCCACCATCTGTGTAGCCGCGGCGGAGGCAATGGTCAGCACGGTCATATAATCCATCATCATCATAATCGTCGGCGTCGGGCGAGGGAATGGGAAGTGCAGCCCAGGGGGCGGGAGGGAGGTGTGACGGAGTGGGCTGGGAGTAAGGGGGTTCACGACTCACCCTCGTCGCAGATAGATCTCGAGGGCGTACATGATGTAGACGAGGGCCTCGAAAGCAGCGATGAAGACGACTCTGCGCGGAGAGCCAGACGTTAGCTGCGCGTTCCATGAGACAGGGGACCTACCCTGATGTGGCAGAACTGGGAAGAACTGTCGTCACAGAATGGGAAGAACAGAGGGGTGAGGGAGCAGTTAGCCAGAGTAATGGACAGGCGTAGGCATTGGAGCAAAAGGCAAAGCAACACGTACATTGGTAGGTGAGCGACGAGGCTGCCGGACGAGTAGCTGGGAATGTAATATCTCTTGGATGTAGGGAACGAGGACATGCCAAGAGGGGGAACGCTATCGCGGGGCGCCTCGCGGCGGGGAGCGTGGGCGTGCCTGGCCTCAAGTACCCGGCGGGCGTCTCTTTGCGCTGTATGCCGTGGAGCCTTTGTCTGAGTGAGTTGAGCCTTTTGTCAGTGAACTGAGGTGGCGGCCATGGGTCAGGCTCATAAGTTATGAACAAGGGCAGGACGGACGAGTAGACAGGTGTACTTGACTGCCCCAACTGGCGGCTGGCTACCTGGGTATCTATGACCGAGGCCTCGTAGCGGGCTCGCTCCCAGATACGTAGCGAGAGTAACACGACAAATTTTCCTTTGCAGGATCCCATTGTGGATGGATGCTCGTGCTGTCCTGCGGTGAGGAATGGTTGACAAAGGAGGGGGTCCATTAGCACAATCGGCGACACGTGTACGTTCGTTGTGACACCTTTTCGTTTCTCCGAGAAACCCTTTCTTTTGTCACTGAATAGCCTCTACGTCTTTGTAGAAGCGGTAGGTTTCTTGTTCATATCATCACCACGAGTGAACATTCAGTCTGAACGGTCGCAAGATGACGTCGGGAGTCTGGACAAAGGGGCATGGAGCACAAAGGTCTGCTGCTATTCGATTGTTGCAATCGCATGCTGCTGGGATTTGCGGCAGAGGTATACACTCCTTTGTGCCTGGAGGACATTGAGGAGGACAGCGCCATTCTCGTTCAATGGCAGGATCATCCTGTTGGAGTTGGGCTCTCTCCACCCTCTTGGATCCGAAAGGACTCGGGGTTCGATACAATACACCGGAAATCATGCAAGAGAAGTCGCGATTCACAAGTCGCACCTCTGCCGAAATACACAGAACTCTCCCAGAGCGCCACAATGCAAAAGCAGTCATTAAATGTCCTATAGATTTGGTCTATAGCCTCTTGGTCGTCATTCAACTTCCTGTGCCAGCCATAGCCCGCCGCCCCTGTCGCGCAGACGCGAGTCGAGAGCAGTGTGATATCTACAGAGAAAATAGCTACATCGCTCCACAGAAAGAATATACATGCGCCCCTATAAACTCGCACAACATGCCGACATGCCATGAAATTGATTTCGTCCGGTGAGCCGTGCTGCCCCCCGGCGAAAAAGGGGGGAGGCGGAAACTCGCCGCTCACGACGTCTTCCAGTGCAGCCAGTCGACGACGACCTTGTGGAAGCGGTCCGGGTCGGAGATCTGGGGCGCGTGGCCCAGGTCGGCGAAGCGCTGGAGGGTGCAGTTGGGGATCTGGTCGCAGACCTCGGGGCCCAGGACGTCGAAGTGGCCGAGCTGGGCAGCGACGGCCGGGGGCGCCCACTGGGAGCCGATGGCCGTCTTGTCCTTGTCGCCGACGATGAGGAGGGTGCGGGGCTTGATGTCGCCAAAGTAGTGGGCGACGGGCGAGGTGAGGACCATGTCGACGATCTGGGCCTGGTTCTTGATGTAGGCGTTGCGGCGGGAGCCGTTGTAGATGTTGACGAGCATGTTGACCCAGGTGTCGTAGGCGGCCTTCCACTGGCCGACGTAGTAGACGGCCTGCTCGTAGCCGCGGATGCTCGTGTAGGTGGAGGCGGCCTCGGTGACGATGGAGTCGTCGATGCTGATGTAGGGGACGCCCTTTTGCACGTAGTCCTCGAGGCCGACGGGGTCGACCATGACCATCTCGTCAATGGTGCTGGGGTACTGGAGGCCGAAGCGCGCCGTCATCATGCCGCCCATCGAGTGGCCCAGGACGGTGACGTTGCCGACGCCCAGGGCGTTGAGCAGGCCGCGCGTGTTGTAGGCGAACTGGTTGAGCGAGAACTGGTACGCGTCGGGCTTGGTGCTCTTGCAGAAGCCGATCTGGTCGGGGGCCACGACGCGGTAGCCGCGCGCCGCCAGCACGCGGATCGTCTCCTCCCACGTCGGGCCGCAAAAGTTCTTGCCGTGGAAGAGCACCGCCGTCTTGCCGTTGGGCTTGCACGTGGGCTTGACGTCCATGAAGGCCATCTGCAGCGCCTGGGCCTGGCTCGTGAACTTGAACACCTGGACGGGCCACGGGTACGTGAAGTTGGACCCGTTGAGGTCCTCGGGCCACGGGCCCTTGTCGATGGTGCCCGTGGCGGCCGTGGCCTGCGCGAGGGCGCCGCCGGCCGAGAGTGCGACCGTGGCGAGGCCGGACAGGAGAGACAGCTTCATCTTGAGGGCGTGGTCGGTCGATGCAGCGGGAGCGGGATGGGGATGAGATGAGAAGCTGCGCACGTGTGAAACGGCACACGCACACACGCACGAGAGATGAAAGAGACTAAACGAGCGTCTTGAAGGTGAGGATGGAAGAAGTTCGCGAAAAGAGCGGCGCGAAAAGCTTCACGATGCGATGTGCGGCCAGACCTTACTTAGCTCCTGCGTCGCGCCCGCAGATGCTGACATTGCCATACTTGTACTCGGCCCGGCTACCTCAGTTAGCACCACCCGCTGCCTCCCAGAGAGACGAGTGACAGACAGCCATGGATGGATCCTTGGTTCCTCGGAGGGCAGGCCGCCCAGGCTCTCCAGGGAGCGGGCGCCGCTAGCACTCGCAATGCCCCATCACCAAAGCGGCAGCATCCATCCACTATTGCTCGTCGCCCACAGCGGGTTGCCACATGGGACGGCACGACAATGCCGGCAACAAACGAAGCTGTGGCTTCGTTGCTGCTCATCCACGCTGCAAACTGCGAATACGTACGAGTAATGTCGCCGCCGCGCAATCTCTGCTGCCCGCTCACTCGCCGTGGCGCTGGCCAAGACGGAGGCGCTCGTGCCGCATCTTACATGTTCCCACAGCCCTGGGGATCCCGTCGACCATCGTCAACGAGAGAGGCTACAGCGGGAGTCGGCCTCGTTCACGTCTGAGTGGCTTGCCCTGCACGTGGCCTCTCGAGGCAATATTCGAATGCGCAGCCCACGCTTCCCCAGGGTCCCTTGACGAACAGCCATGTCACAGTCCTTGTCGCTGCTTGCTTGGCAGTCAACCGCCCACAGACATCACCGTCGTTGTAATTTCCGCGGTCGCCCTCCCCACACGCTTTGCCGCCTCAACCGCCCTGATGTGGCGCCGGATCCGGGCCGGCGACCTCGCGTCTCGCACGAAAGCTTCGTGCGACCGTCGACAGACGGGGTTGGAGACAAGCACAATGTCGGCAGAATGCGCCATAGGCCACTGACACCACAGTCATAGTGAGCCTTGCCAGGCCACAGCCTTGAGTCTTGCCTTCCCTGGCCGCAACCGCTGGGGCGGACACTTCTCCTCCTCGTACATATATCACTCACTTCTCGGATCAGCCGGAGACCGTCCGCCCAAGATCCTTCAGTGGTCGTCGAGGTCTAGCCGCTGGATAAATAGAGAGCCAAGACTCGCCCGAAATCACCAGTGCCGTGGGTTGCTCAGGCGCGAGTGACAAATGGATGGAGCCTTTGACCTAGGGGCAACCGCGCCCCTCTCTCGCTGTTGGCAAGGGCTGGACCCCTGCCACTAAGTTGTTGTAGCAGGAACCCATACGTATCGTTACAGCGGGTTGGCACCTCCGCTCGATCAAGGTTCCTCTTGTTGTCGCAACTCTCCGAGCAAGCCCGCAATCACTCCCGTCCGAGATTGTTGATGATCGGCCACTTTGCTGCCTCCAACAACCTCGAATAACCTCGAATACTTGAGATTGGAATCTCACGTTCACATCCAATTGACGATTGACGACTCACCGGCTGGAAGGTTAAGTTGGGGCTTGGTGAAATCCCCGCCACCTCGTCACTGTGGCTCGCGGATCTCGTGCAACGGGAAGGCCACTTCGCCCCCAACCCTCCCGCGGAGGGCACGCCAAACCGCAGGTACGGGACACACTCCACAAGCTCACCGGCTGTGGCGGCCGCGGACCCGTTTATGGGTATTTGGACGGGCCAACGGGTTCGAGGTCGATGGAACGACGGCAATGTCTCTGGCAGTCGTCGACCTGCTGACAATTCTCAAGACCCGGATGGAACCGACGGAGGACCCATTCGTTAGAGCCCGCGCACAAATCTTTGAGGACTTTCCCACAATTCTTTCGAGTGCGCGCCTCCGTAAGAATCCCCGGTCCCTAAATTGGTCTGGGTTGGCGTGGCGTCGCCGGCGCCGTTGCTTTAGGACAAAAGGACCGCTGTGGCGCCGCGGCACCGACAAAAATACGTCGGCTCGGTTCGTGAATACAAATGTCCGCGGGGAACTGGAGTCTATTTCTCTCGGTGCCGATGCCAGGCCGACCGCTTGTGAGGGCATACAAGAGACTGTTGACCTTCATAGCTAAGGGGAACCCGCAGGAGTGCTTGCTTTCTTCGCAGCCTGAACCAGCTCACAGCCTCGTCTCATGGCGCCGTCTCAGGTGTCATCAGCAAGACGCAACCATGTTTTGACAGAAGGGGGCTTGGGGGATTCTGCAGCAGCGACGGGACCAACTGCCTCGTCTGGGTCCGCGACCGGGACCAGGGTACCTTTGCCCGCCGCGACCCGAGTGGGCCGCGGACAGGGAGCATGCAGCTGGGATGGAGATGACTTGCTTGGACAGGGGTGCATCCTTGCCCCCACCGATGTTGCTCTCAACGTCTTGGAGCTTTGCCGACGGTCTGATAAGCGGCAACGGCCAATTTTTCGCCAGTGTTGGAGACACTCGACGAGATGCTCTGCTCGGCGAAATGCGACTGGGGCATCCAGCAGTTCCAAATTCGAAGGCGCCCGGTTGCGGCTGGCGGCACGAGGGGACTCTGCTAGTGTTCGGAACTTTCTGGAGATGCATGAGGTTCCTGCCCTGGTTCATCGCATCGTCGCAGATGGGGCGAGAGATCTCCCTTGCCGATCACGGCTCAAGGAAGCAGGTTGGCAGGGACAAGTTCGGTGCTGATCCGAGATGCCTCCATGCCTTCCAGCCTTGCTGGCGCGCGAAGGATGAGCGTTGCTGGGGCGGACGCGGCGAACCACATGGCCAAGGCCAGCGAGCAGCGCTTGTCAAGACCCCCTGTGTTGTTCATCAGCATCGGATTTCGTTTCCTAATGAGATTCTCGATGGCACGGCATGATATGCCCAGGATAGGATCGTGTCAGCCCCAGGCACAATGCAACACCCCGCGCTCAGGATTGCCCTTGACCCCGGCTGGTGTCTTGGATCTCGTGGCATGCCTATTTTGCCGCGGACGAGGAAGCAATAGCTTCACGGCGCAGCAGCAACGTGAGCATTCCTGCGGTGGATTGATGCCGTATAACCATTGATTTTTCGCCACCAACTCGATTTGCCGGCGAACGGTTCTGCAGGTCCCCCAGACAGCAAAGACGTGAGTTCAGGGGGGGGCGAGATTTTAGCCCCTGCCGGCCCTCGCTTGGAGTTGGCTCCTGCTGCATGAGTGCCGCCTTCCAGACTTGGACGGCGGCTCGCTGGGATGGAAAGAGCGACGCCGGCCCGGCACACTTGGCAGGCAGTTAACGCGAAGGCAGGAAGGAACCGACAGCGCTAGCGAAATACGGGCACGGTACTGGACACGTACGTACTCGTACTTCGCATGAGCGCCCGAACCAGCAACGCATCAAGTACTGCGCACAACATCGCTGTAGGTATTGCACTCGAGCCGATGCTCGTCCGAGGCTGGGGGCAGTGCCTGCCTGCCTGCCTGCGCCCACGCCCTCGCCCACGCCGACCTCCACGACCTACACCAACAAATTGTCACCACCAAGCAACAACACCCTGGAACCCACTTGGGCCGCAGTCCAAGACGGGTGTCTGTTCGCGCCTGCCCCCCGTGTCCCCATCTGCCCCCACTACCCGCGTGGCGTTTAGCCCTCTCGTCATCACCGCACATTGCCTAGAGCGCAGTCGCCATGGAATCTGCGGCCAACCTTGGATCCTTGGGCGGCGTCGCGGCGGCTGCCAAAGCCGGCGATTTTCCTCGCCAGCGTCTCCTGCCACAGGCAGCGGCGCCTCAGGACTCAGGAGGACGGCGCCACTTTCGGATCCCACTCCGCCCCTCCCTCCGGCGCCTCCCCTCGGCTGCCCGTCCTTCATTCCCCCTGCCCTGGCGTCGACCCGGAGCGGCGCCAGATCGCGACGCCCAAGCCGTGATTTTCACCACTACGCGCAACCCGTTCGTCCTGGGCCCGGGGCTAAGGCAGCGCTTTGTGTCACTGTGGCCTGACGGGCCGCCGATTGCTGCCCGCCCTCCGGCTTGCTCGAGTCCCTTTTACCCCGGGAATTGGCCACCGTCGAGCGATGCCCATCTAGCGTCGCAAAGAGCCGGCTTGTTCCCGACTCTCCTGGTGCCGTTATGGGGCTTACGAGCGCTGGAATCGTCTCGTCGGACTTGTGCGGCGAAGCTGCATGGTGGGCTAGCCTACTCGAGGACGGCGTCTTCGGAGCTCGCCCATGGTCCTTAGTTCCCCCCATATAGGTGAGATGCAAGACCAACCTGGCCGCCCTGGCCTGCAGGGCCTTGTCTGGGTTGGGACAAGCTGGGATTGGTGGCTTCTTCTCTGCAGATTGTCAAACGCTTCTTTTGATGGTTAACTCTGGGCGCCTCCCTGCCACCTTCGCCTGGGAACGATTGTATTACTTGGCCGCCGGACTCGTCTGCCGCCGTTGCAACCACACCCTGCCCGTGGCCATGGTGTGATTCCCGGCGCCATCCTCATATACGGTCCATCCGCACGCACATAGGTCTTGACTGGAGCACCGCTTCGTCAACAGGCCAACAGGCTCTCGAGACCGTCGTTCGTTTGTCTGCCAGCGGGACTTCGGCCGAGTGCCTTCTTCTGGCCCGCGTGTTGAGTGCCTGACTACCGACTACGGCAAGGACGAGTCACGGAACCCTACCACGAACCGACGATTTGTCTTGAGCAACCGCGGCATCGAAACATGGCCACAAACAACGCCGTTGCTGGCGCGGGCAACATCCCCGGCGCGAGCAACGCGGATCTGGTCCGGATTCCCTGCATTGTCTTCTTTGTCGTCACTCCCATCTTTCTTGGTATCCGGCTATGGAACCGTGTGTCAAGACGGACGGGCCTTGGATGGGATGACTGGACAATACTGGTGTCGTTTGTATGTCGGCCCCGTGTCTGCCATTCCGTGGTTGCAAGCTCACAAACAAGCTATAGGCTTGCACCTTGGCAGTACAGATCCTCATGATGCTATCATGCAACTATGGATTCGGCAAGCACATCTACCATCTGTCCAAACCGAATAAGTTGATGGCCCTCAAGGTGCGTCCCAATCCTCCGTCCGGCGGTTGACCTTGACTAACTTACAGTCTTCCAGCTGTTCTATGTCGCCCAGATCTTCTACAAGCTTACCATCAACCTCACCAAGGCTTCAATCCTGCTCCTGTATCTCCGCATCTTTGTCCAGAAATGGTTCCGTATCAGCTGCTACAGCATGATCGGGATCGTCATCGCCTACATGATTGCAACCACCGCGTCCGCCATCTGGCAATGCAATCCCATCTCCGGCGCCTGGGACAAGTCGAGCAACCCTACGTGCATCAGCCTGACCAAGAACTGGTACGCCAACGCAGGCTACTCCATCGCCACCGACGTTATCATCCTCTTGCTGCCCATGCAGCCCATCTGGTCGAGCAAGCTGCCGGTGAACCAGAAGAGGGCCTTGATGCTGGTCTTTGCTCTTGGTGGCTTGTACGTTGCCTCCAGTGGCATCCTGATTCGAACTCACCATATGACTAACGCTTGCCAGCGTCACCATTACCTCGATTCTGCGAGCAACGACGCTCAACTTTTCTACTACAAGCCCTGACAGTACTTGTACGCTCTCTCCTCTCGTCTTATGGATACCCGTTTCTCTAACCTGCTTTCGCAGACGACATCACGTCTACCCTTTGGACAATGATTGAGGAGAATGTAGCCATCATCTGCGCCTGTCTCCCCATGTGCCGCATCATCCTCGCCTGGATCTTCCCCAAGGCCTTTGCCAATGCCTCGTCGGCGGCCACGGGTTCTCACGGGCCTACCTACACCTTCGGCCAGAAACGCAGCGCTGCCAACTCGCAAAACAGCGCCAACCGCGAGTGGAAGCCATACTCGGGCCCGCATGAATCCAATGGCATGTCTCGAAGCGTCGTTCAGCACAGCGACGACACGAGCGAGGAGTTTATCCTTACCTCGGTGCACAGCGTGAACAACAACACCACGATCCAAGACGATCATGCGATTCGCAAGACGACGCAGTACGCCGTCTCCTACGAGAGGGACCCCTACAACGGCCGCGCTTAAGTAACAGGAGTGCGGGTAGTGGACGGGATCATTGGCTTTTTGAAAAGTTTTCTGTCATCAAAAGTCTTCATACCCAGGGAGCGAGCGGGTCACATTCTTGTTGTAGATTCCTTGCGATGTATATTTCTATTGATGATGACGACTTGGCGGTGGCCACGATACATACACGGCGTGTGCGATGCCGCACGTGAGCTCTAGATATTACAGCGAGACATAGAAAGATACATGATGTGTTCGGCCAGGGCAACTGTCTCCATATTAGACGACGCACGTCTCTTCCTCTCGAATCATTCACCAGGACAAGACAAGATGTGAAAGACAGAGAGGCAAGGCAAAGCCTGACCGGTTAGAGGCATCGTCCAGAGAACAGTTGACCTGGCGAACTTTTGGTGCCGCGTCCGCGACTCCGCGTCTGCCCGCGGCGATCCGCCTCAATATAAATATATATTATCAGCCCACCATCCCCCGCGCGCGCCGATACTTGCCCAAGAGGGAGCGATTTGCGCACAGACTTGACTTGACCTGCATGTCCACAAAAGGTCTTCAGGCAAAAACGGCCAGCCGGCCGAAACCTGCCATGCTGCCGTGCCTTACAAGGGTACAAACAAGCCTTGCAAACTTGCCTTGCAAGGCTACCGTCCTGCGTTGGTTGACTTGACAAGATTGGCGGCGACCAGAGGGGGGGGGGGGTTGGCTACAATTGACCGAAAACGAAAAAAGCGCGATGCACAGATCTCGAGAGCGCAATGGTTTGTGATATGTGGGTATGTCTATACATGCACGCAAGTGCACAACTTTATGATACAGTGTGTTGGAGCTTCAATGGCAATACGGCCGACTCCGTTAGCTCATGCCCTCCATGAACTCGACGCGGTCGAGCAGCATCCCTCTGTAGCCCATGTACTCCTTCAGGCCCTCCCACTCAGGCCCCGTCTCCTCGCCGTGTCGCCACGGCTCCTGGAAACCCCATGCGCACGCCACCTTGTCGAGAGCCCGTCGCTCGTCCTCGCGCAGCCAGCGGTACCGGAGGGGCGTGCCAGGCGCCCAGGTGACGCGCCGCATCTGGTCCTTGTTGCTGAGCTTGGCGATGAGGCCCAGCGAGCCGACGACGAAGAAGTATCCAGAGATGCCCGCGACGCCGATACCCGTGGCCGTGGTGACGTCCATGGTGTTTTGCCAGTAGGCGGCGTAGGCCGTTGACAGGCCGAAGATGCCAAAGGGGAGCGTGGCCAGGCCAATTGCCGGGGCGGTCGCGTTCTTGATGAGCTTCTGGCGCTTGAAGGCGGGGACGCAGTAGGCGGCGTCGACGATGCCGAGAGCAGCGTCGAGGTTCTTCGCGTCGACGGCGGTCTGCAGCGCGGCCTCGGCCACGCCAACCTCGATGGCGCGGGCCGCGGCGTTGGGGTTCTGCGCGACGTACTGGATCTGGCCATCCTTGACGACGGGCTTCGGTTTCGAGGCGTAGAGCTCGAGCACCGAGGGCAGGGACTCGGGGCGGCCGAGCTGCGACTGGACCTGGACGTACGTCTCGAGGAACTCGGGCGTCATCTCGACGTTGGGGTGGTTGATGATGGTGTACGCCGCGTAGGATATCCGGTTGACGGCGTCCTGCAGCTTCGCGTCGATGGGGAGCCGCGTGCCCGTTCGCTCGGCGCCGAGTGCGACGAGGCGCGACGCGGACGCCTTGGACTGGGCCTCGGCGCGCTTCAGCTGGGGGTGCAGCGCGGCGGCGGCGCGCAGGCACGACTGCAGGGCGGCGGCCGTGAGCTGCTGCGCGGGGATGCCGTCGACGGAGAGGAACTTATTGCGGCTATCCTCTGCGACGTTGGCGAGCTCGCGCGGGTCGGTGATTTGCGGCGGCGACGGCGCTCCCGAAGCCGCTGGGAGTTTTGGTACCGCCTCGGAGCCGGCAGCGGCGGCGGCGCCGGGTGAGGTTGCGGCGGCGACGGTAGAGGACCATCGTGGAGCGATTGGGCTCCATGCTGGTACTATGGAGGGCGAGCGGGTTTGTGAAGTGGCGACCTTGCTGAGGAAGAGCCGCTGCGTCGCGGCCTGGCCGGCCTGGACCCTGGTGAAAGCGCAGGAGTCGCAGACGAAGCCAACCTGTCGGGGTGTTGCCCGCCGCATTGTGACGAGGTGCGCAGTCGACCCTGACTGGTTTGACCTGTCTAAACGAGGACGATTCGGAGTCGGATTGAGCGTGTAGGTGGGTGAGTCGGCGGCGTCGAGGTCGTGGATGAGGCTGGCTGCGATGTAGTTATGCCGGAGCAGAAAGAAATCGCCCGGAGAATTGGCGTTGGGCGGTTGAGGCCAATGGGGACGGGGCAGGGGTTTAACCACGAGGCGAGGCTCTGGGCTGGCTCCACCGGGCCGTCTTGCCTTCCAGGCTGGCTGCAGGTGAGGTGGTCCCCTACAGCGTCAGCTTGGGCGAGACACCTCAGGCGGTTCGTGCCAGTCACATCCTGAATCAACGACTGCACGGTATAGTGCATAAGGAAGCAAGGCCAATTGTTTTTAAACATCAACTGGAGCAAAGTTCATTTACCCAGAATGCTCTTCTTTGAATCCAAAGTTTCGGACTCGTTCGCCTTGTATACACAGATCAAGCCGCGCGTACCTACGGGGCACGTTTGTCCACCGTCAGTGCTTCCTTCGCCAGGCACCGGGCCAAGACCAAGTCGAAAGCGGGGCGCCTCAGTCAGCCACTCCATGCGCTGCAGCGACGCACCTCTCAGGCGACACCCACTGTTCCGCTTTCTGCGAGCAGCCCTGATGACGAAACCTCGCGCCAGCTCCATCATCAGCCCTCCGACGTCCCTCACGGCGGCCGCGCCATCCTCCCTCCCTTTGTGCTCTGCCGTTGACAGCACCGCGCGTTACCAACGCTCTCGTCTACGCTCGTGTCGTCGAGGCTCGTCGTTCTCTCGCTTCGCACGTTCGGCACCGGCCCTGTCAGCTTTGGCCCCAGCCTCTCGCTGCAACCACTCGATCGTCTCGACGTCCACGTTTGGCTGCCTCGCGAGGCCTGCCACCCGGCGACGATAGGGCTCATCCGCACAACACATCACCATGCCTGCTCCTCCTCCTCCGCCGCCGCCGCCTCCACCCCCAGGCGGTGGTGGACCGCCTCCTCCCCCGCCTCCCCCTCCTGGGGGAGCTGGGCCGCCGCGACCTCCTGGCGGCGGGAACAGGGTGAGAACCTGCCCGCATTGCTTCGACTTCCACGAGGCTATGAGCTAACCGACGTCCTAAGAATGCACTGCTCGCCGACATCTCCAAGGGCAAGGCGCTGAAAAAGGCAGTCACCAATGACCGTTCGGCGCCCGCTCTAGCCAAGAACAACTCCTCAGCCGGGCCGCCGGTAGGGGGCGCCCCCCCGATCCCCGGCGGCCTCGCGCCTCCAGTTCCGGGAAACCGTGCCAGGAGCAACAGCGATCAGGGCTCCGGACAAGCTGTCGCTGCTGCGTCGATGGACGCGGCGCCGCAGCTGGGCGGATTGTTCGCCGGCGGCATGCCGAAACTCAAGAAGCGCAGCGGAGGCGTCGATACCGGAAGAGCGAATAACGATTCTTCGTACCTGTCCGACCCAGGGGAATCCGCTCATTCCGCACCGAAACCTCCTGGTGCGTCTGCCCCGAGACCGCCAGCTGCCGCGGCTCCAGCTATCCCCGGGCGGGGACCGCCAATTCCACCTCCCGGAGGTGTCAACAACTTGAGGAAAGTGAGCGCGCCTGCAAAGGGCCCTCCACCGCCGATAGGGAAGAAGCCGCCTCCGCTGCCTACATCTCGGAAGCCGTCCTCAACAGGCAAGCCGCCTTCTGCCCCGGCGCCACCTCCCCCGCCGCCGCCGCCCGCAGCGTCCGCGCCGACACCTGCTGCACCACCACCTCCTCCGCCGCCAGCGTCTGCCCCGAGCCTGCCAGCAGCGCCGCCGCCACCTCCTCCTTCGGCAGCTCCCCCACGTCCGAATCCTTCGCCCGTTCCTCGAACACAGCCTCCGCCTCCTCCTCCTCCCCCGCCTCCGGCTTCCAACGCAGCGTCGGCCCCGTCGCTTGCCGTGCAAGCTGCCATTCGGGCAGCCGAGCATTCCACCCCAAGCGCTCCGCCACCTCCTCCACCCCCTAACGCAGCGCCAACTCCTCCGACACCGACTTCTCCACCTCCGCCGCCAGTGTCGCGAACCAGAGGATCTTCTCTCCGACAGTCGATGCTGGATCCGAGCGCGTTCACCCTGTCTTCTAATGGCGCCAAGTCACCGAGTCCGAGCCGACAACCGTCGCACTCTCCAACTCTGAGCGGTGGTGGCTATGGCGGCAGCGGTGGCGGTGGAGGTGGCGACCGCTTCGTCGTCAACGACTCAAGGTGGCAGTTCAAGTCCGAGAGCTTGTTCCCCAAGCCGCGAGACTTTGTCGGTGGTCCGAAGAAGTATCGCGCCGGCAGGGGAAGCAGCGTGCCGTTGGATTTACATGCGCTGTAAGCGCAAAGCGGAAGTGTACAGCGTCTCCGAACTACCAAGGTGTATAGCCCTGCAAAACGCTGGGGCTTTGATAGCAAATTAAAGGCATATGTATGCGTTCTCGTACAGTCTTGCTGGTACATCAAGCCAGCAGGTGTACCGTAAACCATGTTCAGTAGTACTACAATCCGACCACGGTCTTCAGCGACGGACAATGTGCCCAGAAATGTTTTCGGCAGCTCTATAATGTAGCTTTCATGTAGTATGATACATGTGGGACAGATACCCACGGATATGGTACAGACGTCGCCGCTGCAAAGTCGCTCATCCCCGGCCGTTGCCTTACATGGACTTGAGGTAGTTGGCCTCCTTGATCTTGGCCTTTCTCTCCTTGCGCATGGCCTTCCTCAACTCCTCGCGCTTGTCCGCGGCCTCGATGTTGTGCTGCACGCTGCCGCCCGCCTCGCCCGGCAGATTGACCGACTGGTGCTGCAGAGGCACCTTTGGCGCCAGCGCCTCGAGGTTGCCCTCGGCCAGGAGCTTCGCCTCGAGCGTCTTTTGCCGCTTGGCCGCTAGTCGTCGCTGCTTTTTGGATTTGGCTGCGTTGAGGGTTCAGGTTAGCGCGCAGAACTTTTCAATCCGTGCATGAAAGCTCCGGTCCATCAAGCGACAGCTAGTCTGGCAATGAAGGCAGCAGAGACGTACAAAACTCGTCGCCGGCGTTCTCGTCTGCGGCGTCGGCGCCCTTCTTCATCACGTCGAGGCACGACCACAGCCACTCCGGGTAGTCCTCGTCCTTCAGCGCCACGGGGTCCTGCCCGCCCTTGGTGAAGTTGAGGCCGCTGAGGACGGTGCCCTCGGGGCAGATGGACCGCGGTGCGGCGGGCTTGCTCGAGGCGGCGGTCGCATCGCCGGCGCTGGTGACGGGCGTCGAGAGCTTGGGCTCGGCGGAGCGTATTTGCGCGGAAACCGAGAACTGCCGCGCGAGGGGCAGCAGTTGCCGCCGCGAGATGGCGGCGCGGCAGCACCGTGTGCAGAGCATGGTGATGGCTGTGGAGGAGGAGGTGGTGGTGATGGTCGGAAACTATGCGTGGATACGGTCCGGGAGACGAGGCTCGTAGTCGAGAAATTTTGGTGGTGGTCGAGTAGCTAGCCAATGGGACCCGCCACAACGCCAATTGTCAGCCTTGCGCGCCAGCTCTACAGAGGACGGACCGCGCTCTGGGCAAGATGCGTGACAAAATCGCAAGAGCAGAAATGAGAGGAATCAAAGTAGTTTGACTTTCAGTTTTATTGGCTTTCGTACTCTTATATACACACTCGTACAGGACCAGAGAGCCAGGCCCACCCCAGGGCCGACATGGTCCCAAGCACGCCGCGGGGGTGCGCGAACAGCACCTTGCTATCACAGGCTATGCTGCTGTTCTATTCCCATTGCAGACCACTCCCGGTCGTATGCATCGTCTAGACAAATCCCCTCCAGCCGGTTCCGTCTCAAGACGCAAACCGGCCCTGGTTGAGCCGCGCAACCTTGTCGCTCGTGTGCACCTTGGCCGCCAGGTCCAGCTCCTCGTCCTTCTTGTCGATGTAGTTTTGCTGCAGGAACTTGGTGCCCTTGATCTTGTTCGTCGCCAGGAGTTGCAGGTATTTCTCTGCGCGCGCGTCCGTCAGCAAGCAATCCCAGCGCGTCCGCTTAGGGCGGACCTGAGCCCGTCCTCGGATGGCTCCGACTCACCTCGCAATTGACCGCAGTTCTCCAGGTGGTTGACGCCCTCACGCATGTAGCACTTGCCCAGCTCCTCGCCGACGAGGCGGGTCTTCATCGCGTCGACCCATTGCTCCCGGATGATGGCGTCCTCGGCCTGCTTGAAGGCTTTGGTGTCGTCGTAGTCCACGCCGTTGAAGGTGGGAGCCACCTTGGGCTTCTGGCTCTTGAAGATCTCGGACTCGGGGGTCGGCATCTTGTCGGATTGGCGGTGCCTCGAGTGTCCAAGCCGGATGCGCGAGAAGATGCTCGGGGAATAGGGTGGTTGCGCGACAATGGGCCGTTTCCCTCGGTGCAGTGCGTTGATGCGCCTGTCCGCGAGCGATTGAAGTGCCGCCAGAGCCAATGGGCTGGCGCCTGAAGTCTGAGGCACCAAGCTTACTCGGGTACCTGCAAGGCTAGGGGGTACGTACCTAGGAGAGTGGTCTCACCGCCTGCTGCCAGCCCCACATTTTGGCAGGCAAAAAGCTGGACGAGAAAAAAAAAAATCTGCCGCCTTGCCCAGCCTGCCGCGCCGCCCAACCTCCCGCGCCTTAAAACCTGCGCTCTCCTTCTCGCAGAGTTTTGTTTTCCCACCATCACCTTGCGATAGAATAGACAGCCTTGTACTTCCTGTCTACTTCGCTCACATCTCTTTTCTGATTCCCCATTCATTTTCTTCGCACAGACACAATGGCCAAGTCCAAGACCAAGGAGAGCAAGAAGCCCGCCGAGGCTCTCGCAGTCAAGGACGCCGGCGTCACCAAGGCGTCGCAGAACCCCAAGTCCAAGTCCAAGGATGTCGCCAAGGCCGCCGCTAAGAAGGTCGTGAAGGAGAAGGAGGAGCCTTCCAAGAAGAAGAAGAAGGTCGTCGAGCCTGAGTCTTCGTCCGAGTCCGAGTCTGAGTCTGAGGAGGACTCCGACTCCGACTCTGACAGCTCCGAGTCTGAGGAGGAGAAGCCCGTCAAGAAGGCCGCCGTCAACGGCAAGGCTAAGGCCAAGGCTGAGCCCGAGTCTTCTGACTCCGACTCCGACTCCGAGAGCGAGTCCGAGGACGAGAAGCCTGCCAAGAAGGCTGCCGTCAACGGCAAGGCCAAGAAGGCTGAGTCTTCTGACTCCGATTCTGACAGCGAGTCCGACTCTGAGGAGGAGTCCAAGAACGGCGCCAAGGTCGAGGCCGAGTCTGACTCTGACTCCTCCGACTCTGACGAGGAGAGCGAGGATGAGAAGCCTGCTGCCAAGGTACGATTCACTCCGATCGAGAAAATGTGGAACACAGACTAACTCGAATTTAGAAGGCTGAGTCTGATGATTCCGAGGATGACTCCGAGGACAGCGACGACTCCGAGGAGGATTCTGACGAGGCTGTCCCCGATGCCGAGGCCACTGAGCCTGCCCGCGCTGCCAAGAAGCGCAAGGCCGAGACTGAGATCGACGAGGCTCCCAAGAAGGCCAAGACTGATGCCGCCACGACCCTGTTCGCCGGTAGCCTGAGCTGGGGCGTTGATGACAACACTCTGTACGAGGCTTTCAAGGAGTTCGAGGGCCTCGTCAACGCCCGTGTCGTCACCGACAAGATGTCTGGCCGCAGCCGTGGCTTCGGCTACGTCGACTTCAACGACTCTGACGCCTGCACCAAGGCGTACGAGGCCATGCAGGGCAAGGAGATTGATGGCCGTGCCATCAACCTCGACTACGCCAACGCCAAGCCCGCCGATGCCAACCCCCAGGCCCGTGCTGCGGACCGGGCCAAGCGACACGGTGACTCCGTCAGCCCCGAGAGCGACACCCTCTTCGTTGGTAACCTTCCCTTCGATGTCGACCAGGACAGCGTCAGCGAGTTCTTCAATGCCGTTCGCGCGGTCACCAGCGTTCGCCTGCCCACCGACCCGTGAGTTTAATCCAAACCCCATGTCAGACTGATCGTGTCTCTAACCTTGACGCAGTGACTCGGGTAACCTGAAGGGCTTCGGCTACGTCAGCTTCGGATCTATTGAGGATGCCAAGGCTGTCTTCCAGGAGCTCAACGGTGCTCCCATTGGCAACGGCCGCATGTCGCGCAGCGTTCGTCTCGACTTCGCCAGCGCCCGTCCTCCCCGTGAGGGTGGTGGCTTCGGTGGTGGCCGCGGCGGCGGTCGTGGCGGTGGTCGTGGTGGTTTCGGTGGCCGTGGTGGTGGTCGCGGCGGCGGTGGCGGCTTCGGTGGTCGCGGTGGTGGTGGCCGTGGTGGCCGCGGCGGCTTCAACCGCGGCGGCGGTGGTGGCGGTTACTCCGGTACCAAGGTCACGTTCGATTAAGAGGGAACCTGAGGGCTACCAGCAGGCGATTCCAGAACAAAGTGGGCTAGTGGGCTGTCGTTTTCAACACAAGTTGGGGGTTCGTCTCTGGCGACCCTGTGGGCTTTGAGAAAGTCGCTCCCTCGTGGAGCGGCGATAGACCTGGGGGCTTTTCTTCACTTGGACCGTGGGCTCGTGGCGCTGCTCTCTCTGAGGGCTTGCCGGATGGCTTATCTCGAGGCTTTTTGATCGTGGGCAATATGCGAGAACTGTTGCCTCGTGGCGACAGGATACCAGTGGGCTTCTGAGGGATTTGTCGGCTGATTTGGGACCCGTCTCTGGCGACTTCTTGGAAGTCGCCAAGCGGCCCGACTTGACTCTGCGAATACTTCTAGGGGACCTGGGGGCTCTTCAAACGCAAATACTTGAACTTGTGTGGGCGCGTCGTCTCCGGTCGAGACGTGCGCCGTTACCGTCTTTACGGTTGTACCACTTTGCACGGCTTGTTTCCCATTCGCATTGGACTGGGTAAGTATTTGCATTGAACTCGCGATTTTTGGTGTACACCACGGCGTTTAGGAAGGCAAAAAAAGTATCAATCTAATTTTATTCTACGAACTCGTATTATTGTCGAGGCCGCTTCGTGATATCTGATCCATTGATTTCCATTGCAAGCTGTAGTTGAGCGCTGTGGCGACCTGCCCGTACGCCTTGTCTGCCAACCACGACTACGTGTTTCGCCGTCGTCGAGTAACTTTCGTTGCAGGTTGGATCCCGAGGTGTTGAGTGTTGGTGTAACAAGCACTGCCCGCGGCTACAGCACTGCCCACACTCGTCGAGGCCGCGCTAGGGCCGGCCACAGCCCCTTTTCATGTGTAGGCCGGCGGCTACCGCTGGCAACCACGCAAGGCGTCTCCTCGCCTCGGAATGCTGAATGGTGAGTCTGCTGTCACGTATATATGGGGATGAGTTGGCGTGCGTTCGTCGGGTTTGGGTGAGTGTTGTGATATGCAGTAAGGTTGCAGCACGCCGCCCTTGGCGAGAAGGAATACGACATATACCTTGTACCCTTGTCTACATACTAGATTATCCAGCTACACATGTCGGACCCAAGGAACTACACGGTCGGGTGGATATGCTACCTGGATTGCGAGTACAACGCTGCGAGGGCGTTTCTGGACGAAGTGCACCCCCCTCCGAATGGGCCAGGATTCGCATCCCAAAGCCTCTATTGCAGGTACACCCTGGGCAGAATCGGTACTGATAACGTTGTCATCGGAGTGCCGCTGCCAGAGTTGCAGGCGATTGCCAAAGCGATAGTAGTTGCACACGGCATGCGGTCTCAGTTTCCAAACCTGAGGTTCGCTGTCTCCTCTGGCGTCGGCGGTGCGGCCGCAGGCACCAACATGCAACTAGGGGATGTTTTCGTCAGCTCTCCGGCCCACACCACCGGAGGTGTCTTCGAGTTCGATCATGGCAAAAGGATACAGGGTCAGGGGTTCATCGCTCCTTTCAAGGTAATAAGGCCGCCACTATATTGGCAGTCGGCTATCGAGCAGGTCGCAGCAATATTGAAACAGGACGAAACCTACCTGGCTGAACGTGTCGCCAATGTTCTCAAACAACAGCCGGACCTGCTCAACGAGCACTCCCGACCAGACCCGAAATCAGCTCTGGGCTGTGTGCCACGAAATGACCGACATCGAGAGCATCCCATAGTTCATTGCGGACTCATCGCTTCTGCCTCCAGCGGCTTGGACATGACGAGGGAATTACGACACGAACTTGCAGAAAAGGGAAACGTTATGTGCGTCGACACAACAGCTTTTGGTACTCTTAGGGTATTGCCATGCCTCGTTGTCCGCGGCTTCAGCACTTACGAGGATCCGGACGAGAACACGGCATGGCAAGGTTACGCGGCGTTGGTGGCTGCTGCGTATGCGAAGGAAGTGCTGGCATGCGTTTCGCGCGAAACGCTTCCGTCGTGGCATGACCTCCAGCGGAAGGAACTGAGTATGTTCAGCATTTGCCAGCTTCGCTTTCAATTTCGCTGATTTGTCTCCAAGGCAGGGAAGTCGAAAAAATCCAACTTCTGCACTTATAAGTCTTTACGACGGCCTTTGGCCTCGCCGGCGAGATCAGACTAGGTTTTCAACAACATGCACACTACAGAGAGACCCTGGGAAGCATTTCGTCGCTGAGGGTCTGTGGAACTGAGACAGCTGTTTCGAAACAGGCATTGGTGGCGCGGGGCGTTTACTCAGGACACTGCCTGAGGTTGAGGGACGTTTCGTCGGATGTGTGTCGTGATGGACGTTCCATGCAAATGCTTTGAGTGCAAGGAGTTGTTCTGTGCGAAGTATGAGCCCATCCTCGGGCTCGAATGTCATATATCTGTAACTGGATCTTCGTCAATGATCTGATTCACACGCGTGTTGGAGGGCGAACGACAAGACGAGGTGGGCTGAGGTCGAAGCGGAACGACTGCCGGTGCATGACATGTATCACAAGAGCCACATTTATGGGTGCCGTCTTCGAGCACAGCTGGCACCCATAAGGTTGCGTCGGAGCGGCTTGGAAGGGGGCAGGAGAGCGAGTGAGACCCATGGATGGAAACAAGCGCAGGCAGGCAGGCAGCCAGTCGAGGGGCGCGGTGCGCAATGTGCACGCGCTGCCGCTCTGGCTGACCCCGCCCCGGTGCCCATGACCCCGGCAGTGGAGGTGCGGTGTCTCTTGGATGAGGTCGCGGGTACTTGGGAGCATGGGCCTCACCGCCCGAGGGGTTATCGACGCGATCCAGACCGCATGGGCACGGCTGCTTCATGCACGGCGGCGAGTGCGTGAAACTACGGCAGAGCGACAGTGTCTGCACAGTGCATAGGGCTAGCGCCTGACGTAATCGCGCCGTATGCGGGCGCTATCAGGTACAGGGTACCTCGTTATCGCCCGCGCCAGCGACTGTGGCAGCGCTCTCGTGCCTCCTCCTCATGCCGCACCGGAGCGAAGGAGGGAGGGAGAGTTGGAGGGCTGGACTGGATGGTACGAGTGTGTGTGATGAGGGGAGGAAGGAGGGCCCAACCTCAACAGAAGGGCCTCCGTTTCCCGACTTGGCCGATCAGCCCCGGCCTCGCTCTTGCGTGTCAACTGTCAACTTCACCGTCCCTCCTTTTGTGCAGCTTCCTCTTCCTCTTCGCTATTCCTCAAGCCTACCTTATCCAGACTGCCGGCCCCCTCACTCCTAGCCAGCTGGGCTCGCGACAAGGCGCCGAGGCGCAGTACGTGCGGAGTTGCATACAAGTCCGATACTCATACCCGCCTGCCTGGTAGCGCATACCTCCCGCCCTCGCCTGCCGTCATCGTCACCCGCACACCATCACGGGACCTTGGGCTGAATCTCGGTTCACGTCGCGACGTGGTCCCAGCGTCAACCTCATCTAACACGACAAAGGAACCATCGACAGCGATCCGAAATGGAGCATCAACAACATCAAAGCAGACAGCTGTCGCCCAGCATGTCGCAGCCCGCCGCCGCGAGGTCGAACCCCGGGCTCCCCCATCCCCGCCGCTTCGATGGTTCGTCATCGCCCTGCCCGCCGCCCCGGGACCCCAGCCAGCTAACCGGCGTAGAATCATGGGTCGAGGTGTCGTCGCAGCCATCATCCTCGTCACTCTCCAGCATCGGCGACGAGATCGTCACGACGGGCTTGCGGGTCGGAGGTCCGTATAATCGCCGACGTCGCCTGCAGGCGGCTGCAAGGTCCGTCCCGACGCAGCATCAGCAGACGGCCATCCACAACGCCGGCACCAGCAGTCAGGAGGAATATGACGAGAGCGAGAGCGAGGAGGATCCCGTCCTGTCGAGCTCCAACGAGAACATACAGCAGTCGCAGCCGCAACAAGCCGAGGACGACTCGGACGCAGACTCGGACGATGGCGATAATGCTACTGCACTGGGCCGTGCCTCGGACCAGCCCGTCTTCCGTCCACAACCCAACGCCTTCTCCGTTCCGCCATCTCATGGCGGGCCGCAAAGGAGCCATTCGGCTAGTCACGCCATGCCTCCTCATCCCCATAGTGGCTTCACGCGACCGTCCTTTTCTCAACGCTCGCAGACTCGGGTTCACAATGGGGGGCCCAGCTTCATGTCTCCGACGAACGCCCGCGAGGACAACGACGCCGCCCTGAGAGCGTCTCTCACAACGCTGCTGTCATGTGCCGCTGCGGCAAGGGGCCTTCCCAAGACGAGGGAGGAGGCGGGGGCGCGACGGATGGGCGGGGATGGCGTGGGCCCGAGCAACCAGCCCATGGAACTGCGGCTGGTTCAGGAGACGGAGTTGATGGACGACAACGCTGACCATGCAGGCCCGACGCCTTCGCCTCGGTCACGAAAGTCGCCGGCTAGGTCACCCACGAGGGTGACAGAGGGCACGTCCACGGACAAGGGCAAGCGGGCCGTTTCGGCCGGCAGAAGTCCACGAGCGACGAAGAAGAAGAAGGTGGCCACTGAGATGGCTGATGACGCGTTAATCTCCCCTACGCTGCTTACTTGGGTTGTGAGCGCCGGCGTTGTGGTGCTTGTGTCTGTTGTCGGATTTGGCGCAGGCTATGTGATTGGGCGAGAGGTTGGCCGGCAGGAGGCGTTGTCGGCAAGCATGAGCGGAGTCAACGACACGACTCAGTGCGGCAGGGAAGTGATGCGCTCGTCGGGGGGCGGGCTGCGGAGGCTGAGATGGGGCGCCGTGGGTAAGAGCATCGTGGCCCAGGCGTAGGCAACGCGGATCTGGGATATAGGGTGGTGAGCGTGTTTTGGCGTTGGGATCTAATGAGCCGACAGTGGGCACGAGACATGACAGCCACTTGTTGGATGCTTTGTTCGTCTGGCAGACGAGAGTAACAGTTTACGACTCTGCTAGATATTGGTCGGCGTTGTAGGTACGTAGTGTTGGATACGGACAGGCTGTCCGGAGACTCCATGTCAGGACAGACAATTCTGAAGTCGAAAACAGCTACGGTCCGTGAGCCATGGCACGTTGTGAAGTTGCGACAGGCAACGCAAGTGGACGAGGCTCAGCCGGCATGTGCGCCGTGTCCGAGGGAGGACGGCCCCACCGGAGCTCTTATTCGCGTCGTCAACCCCGGGGCGGCCATGGTGAGTACTCGTACGTACGTGAAAATGGCATGATTCTGCTGCCACCGCGGACGGGGTTTGAGGAAAAGCGCGGATTTGGACAGAGGGCACAGCGCATAGCGAACATGCCATGAGTCGATTCTGACCATCGGCAGGCTCCCGATAGGGGGCCAGATGCGCGGCAGGAGCCGCCTAGAATTTCTCGAGTCCTCCAAATTCAAGATGGCCTTTTCCGAACCCTGCGCCCGCGAATGCGACACGCCAAACTCCTCCGCGAACCCGAATACGAGCCGCCCTGCGCCGTGTCAGCGCGGGGCCGTGATTGGCCGGTCCCTGGCGCAGACATCGGCAGCGCGTCCCCACAGCGCCCACAGCGCCCTGAGGGTGGTGCAGCATTTGCAGGCAATAGGCAATGCGGGCGATGCCAGGGTGGGCCCCCCTGACGGGCCTGGACGAAAGAAGGCCTCTCAAATTACTTTTATCTGCCGTGCTTTTCTTTGCCCCCCCATCTGTCTATCCGCCCTGCGCGCTCGCGACCAAGACGACGACGACGACGGACAGACAGTGACGACGACGATCGATTGTCACCCAGCCTGCGCTCGTCTGAGACCTCACGAAAAGCGCCGGCTCTCAACAGCAACAAGAACAACAACGCCGTACACATACGCGCACCGCCATGGGCGTCCTCCAGCATGCCGCGAGCCACCCGCTCGCGCAACAGTTCCAATCCCTCGGCTTGGGGTCGCAGATTGCCGTGGCCATCGCCGGCTTCGTCGCAGTCGCAGTCGCCCTCAACGTCGCCAACCAGCTGCTCTTCACGAACCCCAATGAGCCGCCTCTGGTCTTCCACTGGTTCCCCTTTGTCGGCAGCACCATCACGTATGGCATGGACCCGCCGACGTTCTTCAGGGAGAACCGGGCCAAGGTACGCCACGCTCCTGTTCTGACCTGCCGCCTCGTGGTACGCGACTGATTGATCTTGTTCCTGCAGCACGGTGATGTCTTTACCTTTGTTCTCCTCGGCAAGAAGACGACCGTTGCCGTGGGCCCCGCCGGAAACGACTTCATCCTCAACGGCAAGCTGAAGGACGTCAACGCCGAAGAGATCTACACTGTCTTGACGACCCCCGTGTTCGGCAGAGATGTCGTCTACGACTGCCCCAACGCCAAGCTGATGGAGCAGAAGAAGGTACACTCACACGACCCTTCGTAGGCACGATTGCCCGCCGATTCGTTGGCTAACACGGCTCCGCGCAGTTCATGAAGATTGCCCTCACGACTGAGGCCTTCCGATCCTACGTTCCCATCATCTCCGGCGAGGTCCAGTCCTACTTCAAGAGGGATCCCGGCTTCAAGGGCAAGACCGGCGTCGTCGACATCCCCAAGAAGATGGCCGAGATCACAATCTTCACCGCGTCCCACGCGCTCCAGGGCAGCGCCATCCGCAGCAAGTTCGACACCTCCCTTGCCGCTCTCTACCACGACCTGGACATGGGCTTCACCCCCATCAACTTTATGCTTCACTGGGCTCCCCTCCCCTGGAACCGCAAGCGCGACCACGCCCAGCGCACTGTCGCCAAGATCTACATGGACACGATCCAGGAGCGCCGCGCCAACCAGGAGCAGGACAACGAGCTGGACATGATGAAGCACCTCATGAACTCTTCGTACAAGAACGGCACCCCCGTCCCCGACCACGAGGTCGCGCACATGATGATTGCGCTGCTCATGGCTGGTCAGCACTCTTCGTCGTCGACCAGCTCCTGGATCATGCTCCGCCTCGCCCAGAACCCCCAGATCATGGAGGAGCTCTACCAGGAACAGGTCAAGGCCCTGGGAGTCGACCTGCCGCCCCTGACATATGAGGACCTCGCCAAGCTGCCGCTCAACCAGGCCATTGTCAAGGAGACGCTCCGTCTGCACGCCCCCATCCACTCCATTATGCGCGCCGTCAAGCAGCCCATGCCCGTGCCTGGCACCAAGTATGTCATCCCCACGTCGCACACCCTGCTGGCTGCCCCCGGCGTCAGCGCCAGCGACCCGACGTACTTCCCCAACCCCCATGTCTGGGACCCCCACCGCTGGGAGGTCGACTCGCCCAACGCCCCGACCATCGTGCGCAACGCCGTCGTCGAGGACGAGGAGAAGATTGATTACGGCTACGGCCTGGTCAGCAAGGGCGCCGCGTCGCCGTACCTGCCCTTCGGCGCCGGCCGTCACCGCTGCATTGGCGAGCACTTCGCCAACGTCCAGCTGCAGACCATTGTGGCCGAGACGGTCCGCCTCTTCAAGTTCAGCAACGTGGACGGCGGCAACACGCTGATCGGCACCGACTACGCCTCGCTGTTCTCGCGCCCGCTCGAGCCCGCCAACATCCGGTGGGAGCGGAGGGACTAGATGACGTGAGAGGCAGCCGACGGGCGAACTCTGAGAGATGAAAAGCGTAAACGGAAGCGACGGGGGGAGACTTCGCATGACCGCCACCACCACTACTGGATGTATATATAGACCGGTGCGGCTTTACAGTACGGGATGGGCGTTTTTGTGTGACTGGGCATGGCCGGTGCATGTAGAGGCGGCCCACGAGAGCGTCATGGTTATAATACACACCCTAATGCATAGACATGACGCGGAAATTCATGGGCCATTTGCATTTGTTTTTCTCATTTCTTAATTTTGCATCTTTGAAAACGTGGGCTGTGACGGTGTTGGTGATTTTGCCGGCTGCAGCGCGCGGTGGTGTTGATGAGACGCGCGGGCGGGGCTCCAACGGTGGACGTCACATCACATCGATGACCATAAGACTGGCCCGGATGAAACGGCACTTGGCACTGCACGCGGAGCAGAGACATGCGACATTACTCCTCTCACTACATATCGCAGTCTTCTTCCTGCGCCCTATTTCTTCTTAAATCATCATTTGGCGTTGAGACTTTTCCCCGTGAATTGCCTTTGCAACAGCCGGACCTGCACTCATCGTTGGCATTTACACCAACCTTCATACAGCTACTGCAGGCTGCGTTTAAGAACCAAACCGCTCGAGATCGAGTTACACCGCCACAGGATGGGTGAAGAATACGGCCCGCTGGTGCGCCTCTGGGGCATCCAGCCGTCGCAGCTGCCCTCTGCGTCCGCAGGACCTGAGGAGCTCACGCCTTTTCTCACAGCCATCCTGCGTGAGGCCCTCCCATTCATCGCCTCCCTGCCTTCAACATCGACAACCTCCCAGTCTCCTGCCAGTACCAACTCTCCGTGGAAGCCGCACGGCGTCAAGACGTACCCCGGGTCCACGTCGCCGGTGCACCTCTTCGAGCGCGTCGTCCCCGCGGCAGAGCTCGCCGCCGTGGCGCGGGCGCACAACCCACCCGGCGTGTCACCGGACAAGATCCGCGGGCCGGAGACGTGGGTCGTGCGGCGGAGCGTGCACGACGACGCGGCGGCGCGCGGCACGGCGAGCTGGGCCGAGTGGAGGCGGTGCTTCAAGGAGGGCCACGCCGAGGCGGAGCGCGACTTCACGCCCACGGTGCTGAGCACGCGGGTGCGGCGCGCGTGGGACTGCGCGGGCGTGCGGGTGCGCCTGGGCGAGGACACGTGGGCGGACTGGACGCTCAAGGTCGAGGAGTCGACGCACAAGCTGCCGGCGCCGCTGCGGAACCGGCTGTTCCCCGTGGTGCAGGCGACGGCGGCGGTGGAGGGCAGGAGGGAGTTTCTGGTGGTGCAGATGGCGACCACGGCGGACGATGGGGCCGCGGGGGCGGGTGAGGGTGCCGGTGGACAGTCAGGGACGGTGCTTGGCGCGTATACGAGCGTGGAGCGGGTGCGGGAGGTGCCCGGGACGGGAGCCGGGACGGGAGACGGCGGCGACGTCGCGGCGATAGAATGGGTCATGGGCACGGTGTCGGACGCGAGGGGCGTGCTGCCGGCGTGGATGCAGAAGATGGCCGTGCCGGGGCAGGTGGCCAAGGACGTGGACATGTTTCTGTCGTGGATTGCGAACGAGAGGACCAAGGACAAGAAGGACCAGGCCGAAGGCGACGGTGGGCGGCAAGACAACGCCGCGTGAACTCGCGATGGCGATGGTTTTATTTCACAGTTCATGGTGCCTTGGGAGAAGGAGCCTGCAGTCATTTCTTTCCCGACTCGACTCTCTCCTTCCTCAAGGCAGTCTAGCTAGCTTCTTTCCTCATGATACCATATATTACACCACTCGATAGGAAGGCAGGAGCTCCCGGTGCCTAGGTACGACAAGCTGCTTGAGGAAGTTGCGGGCAAACCCACCTTCCTCCTGAATGTTGGCCTCGCGACCTCGCAATGCCCGGCTCGAAACACCTTCGACATCTCCGCCCCTACTACCGACCAGCAAGTTGCGACGCCAGAGAAGCCAGCGCCATCTTCACCGGCATTGACACTCGATATCTCCCCCAGCACGAAGCTGAAGCTCCCATCATGGCACCTCGGCGTCGCTCCCTCCCGCCCCAGGCTGCAACCTCATCCACCGCACCTCGCGGTTCCGCCACGTCAGCAGCAGCAGGAGCCACAGTCCTCGCGACCCCGTCGTCATCGTACGCGGCATCAGCCTCTCCCGCCGCACATGCCACCGGCGGCTCCAAGAAGTTCTACGCCGACGCCGCCGACGCCCTCGCCAAGATGACGGTCGAGCTGGGGCTGCGCGCCGTCGCCAGCCAGGCGGAGCGGCTCGAGCGCGAGCTCAAGGACGTGGTGGCGGCGACGGCTCAGGACGCGGCGTTTCGGCGCGAGCACGAGCGTCGCCTCGCCGACATGACGCGCGAGGTGCTCGCCGTGAGGGCCCGCTTCGATGAGGTGCCCAAGAGCAGCAGCAGCGCCGACGTCGAGGTCCTGCTGGAGCGTGGCCGCCGCGAGGCCGCCGAGTTTCGAGAGCAGCTCCGCAGGGAGATGGGCGACCTTAGGGCTCAAATTAACGCTGTTGCCTTTCAACTGAATACGTTCCCGTCGCCGGCGGAGGCGGAGGCGATGTTCGCGAGTGGTGCTGCGGGTGACTATCTCGTGAGATCGCGGGCCTCAACTGGTGCAAATGGCCTTGCCTCTACGTGCCGTACAGGTAAGTGTGCTGCCGTTCCACTCACTCTCAGCCTATGATTATATACCTGCCTTCCGGACGTATGGGCTGACACATGGACTCGACAGAGTGCTCTGTCCAGCCGCCCAAGCGCCGCATCCAGGAGGCCATCAACTCGACCCGGCGATGGCACAGCGACCGCAAGACGTCGCGTCTCCCGGACGCAGAGTTTGTCGCCAACTATCTCAAGCAGCAGTCCAAGCGCGACCCGGCCATGGCCGTCTTCATCCAGCGCGCCATCCAGCGCCGCCTGCAGGCGACGAGGCGCCGGCGCCTGAGCTCCCGCCCCCGCTCGCTCGAGGACTTTTGCCGCGACGTGACCTGGCGGGACGTGGAGGAGGCGGTCGTGGACGCGCTGGTTAACCACGAGAAGACCGCGATCAAGGCGCTGCGCTGAAGGGACACTTTATCGTTGGCGGCATTGCGAGATCGGGTAGTAAATCTGTTGATGACTTTGGGTGGGTCGAAATGTGGCCTTGTGTGCATTGAAAGGGCGAGAGTATGGCACATGTACGGCAGTGAAGGGCGGGGGAATGTGGCTGCCAGGTAGTCTTCATTACTATCGACACTACCTTGATCGAAGTTGTTGCTCTGACGGCTGCGGCTTGCCGTCGGGGATATCAGATTGAGGGAGAAGCTCTCGTCTCAGAAACAGAAAATGTACACAACCCCCTTGAACGCCGATGATAGCCCTTGAGCATTTGGCCCGGCTCCATCCCAAAACTCCCATTTGCGCCGGATTGAACAAACTCCAAATGAACGCCGTAGCGCAAACGTAAAAGAGATCAAAGCAGCAATGTCCTATCGACTAAAGAACGAGCGGCGGCTAGTCGTCGATCTCCATGCCAATGGACGATTTCTTGAGGTCAATCTCGGACCTCAGCTGCTTGATCTGGTTCTCGAGGCGGCTGCGGAGAATCTTGTTGTGGGTCTTGCCGAGGTCCTCCATGCGGCGGGCGAGCTGCTTCTGCATGTCGTGGATGATGTCGCGCACGCCCTGCATCTCGTCGCGCTGGGCGCGCTGGTCCTCGTCGAGGTCCTCGTCGTCATCATCATCATCGTCGTCGTCATCGTCGTCCTCGTCCTCCTCCGACTCGTCGTTTTCGATGCTCTCGTGCAGGGCCGCGGCGGGGGTCTCGACCTGCGTGGTCATGGGGGTGGTCATGTCGACGCCAGTGGCGGGCGTCTCGGCCGCGAAGTCGTCGTCGGCAAAGGCGGCCTCCAGGTCAGCCTCGAGATCGTCTTCGTTGATGGCGCCGTCGGCGACGACGACGCCGTCCTGGGCGCCAAAGTAGCCCATGGCGGCAGAGTCGTCGACCTCGCCCTCGGCGTCCTCGTCGGCGCCGTAGTCCTCTTCGCCTTCGCGCTGGCGCTCGTCGACCCATTCCCATTTGGTGGACACGGCCTTGGCGTCCTCGGCGAGGAGCCTCTCGACCTCGGCCTCCTTGTCCTCAATCTCCTTGCGGCTGATTGTCTTTGCGAAGCGGCGGTTGATGCAGTCGTGCATGGGAGGGGTGAGTCCGTGGGGCCACTTGAAGTTGGGGTCGATCATGGGAGGCAGCGGAGCCGTCTTGGCCTCGGCCACGTCCTTGACCATCTGGAAGACGAGCAGCATCTGGCAGATGTCGGCCGACTTCATAAAGGACTTCTTGTCCCAGGTCTTCATGGCTTCGGTGATGGTGGGCAGGTCGACCATGACGGCGGCAAAGTGCTGCCCCTTGACGGTGACGACGGCGCGGCGCGACTCCTCGTCGAAGAATTTGAAGGACATGTCGGCGCCGCCCTGGCTGCGCGGGACGCCAATCTTGCCGTTCTCCACGCACCAGCGCACGTACTCGCAGTGCTCGCCCGGGGGCAGGCGCATGATGAACTGCTCCTCGATGGCCGGGTCGATCTCTCTGTCGCTGGCCTCGGAGTCGTATCCGTCGCCAGGCGGGTGAAGCGGCGGACGCCCGCGCGGCTTGAGCACTACCTGAGTCGGCCCAGCCTTGGAGGCGCCGATGGACTGGCGGATCTTGATCTTGGTGGTCGGGGGCCCGCCCGCGGAGATGGCCAGCGGCAGGTCCTCGTCATCGTCGTGCGTTCGCTTCTTGCTCTCGACGAGCTTCTGAGTCGGCTTGGGCTGGCGGCCGGCCTTTGTCTTGATGATGGGAGCAGGAGCCGCCGCTGGCGGTGGCGGCGGGGCCTTGTCCTTGTCTAGGGAGGGTGTCGGGGGCTGCGACGAGTTGATCTTGAGCTTGACCTTGCGCGGGCCGGCGCCGTCGGTAGGAGTGGCGGAGGCGGGCGTCTGCTGCGAACCTGCTCCCGCGGCGGCGGATGCTGCTGTGCCGTTTGTCGGGCCGGGAGTCGCGACGGACGGGTCGGAGGCGGCGGCAAAGGATGAGGAGCGGCTGACGTTGATTTTGAGGCGCGGCTTGGGCGGCGGCGCGGGCATGGCGCTCCCGTCGCCGGGGGCGGACATGGCTGCGCGTGCGCGGTGCGCGGGCGTGTGCGTATGTGATGTGTGGTTTCGGTCGCTTCGGTGCGTGTTGAGAGCTGCGGCAGCGATGGCAGAAGGGCTGCAGCGGCGGTGATGGTGAACGGTGAAGAGAAGGCGGTGGCGGAGGAGAGGAGGAGGGTGGTGAAGAAATGTAGTCGCGAAGCTGAGAAGATGGATGGATGGAGGTCGGTGGTCAGAAGTTGGAGCCGCATAGAGCCGTGGCGTGGCGCACCCGCCCACAGCGGGGCTAGTGGATTGCTGCCAGGCGCCGCAGGCGCCAACTGTAATTGTACTAGTGCAGGTGTTAATTGGCAGCGACCGGCCGCCTGGAGTTCAGCTGCAGCGTCTCAATTGTCCAAACCAAACCTCCTGGTATTGTTCTCGTGATAATAGTTGCAAGGTGAGTCAGGCATCACAACGACGTCGTCGACGTGTTTGCTGATTGCCAGACACTGACAGCTCCGGGTGTCACTTTTCTCGCGCCCACTGCCTCGCCCGGCGGCCACTCAACCAGGCGACCGATTCACATCTAACATGGATGGCCGTACCGTTCACGCCACGTTTGCCATCACGATTCTAGGTGTCCAAGGTTTGCCGCACCACAACTCGACTACGCATAGTTTGCTCATGACATCACTTCACGCTGCCCTGATGCGTATCCAGCATCATCCACGCGAAGACACCACCCGCCAGCGCCACAAAGGTAAACGTCACCAAGCCCGCCCCGACGCGGTCCGCCGTGGTGACGGGCCGGAGAGGCTCCTGCGGCCCCTTGTCGCCGCCCGACCCGGCGTTGGGGTTGCCCTTGGACGTGCCGCCCGACTTGTCCGTGACGGGGCCCCTGGCGCTGCCGATGAGCTGCGCCGACACGGCCGCCAGCACGCTCATCTGCTGCCCGGCGCCCGTCTTGCCGTCGTACGCGCCGCTCGCCCACTTGAAGCCGCACTGCCGCCCGAGCGCCGCCCCCGTGCACTGCCTGATGGCCGCGGCCGTCGAGTTCTTGAGGACCGGCGCGATGGCCGCGGCTGTCGACGGCACGATCTGCGTGATGACGGCGTACCACCGGTGCAGGAAGCCCTTGAAGGTGAGCATGTCGGTCGTGCAGGTGCCGGCGTTTTCGCACGATATCTCGACGGCGACGCCCTGGGGGAAGAAGGTCTTGAGACCGTATTGGACCAGCTTCTCGGTTCGCTGCTTCCAGATGGGTTCTCCCGTCTACCGTCACATATCACACACGGCCATCAGCGTGTGCACTGGCCATGGCCATCCGATCTGACTGATGCACTCCCACTTACAGCATTATATATAAACGCCGCGCCCTGCGCAAAGATGGCGTTGTTGTACGAAAACTCGGCCCGGTTGAGCTCCTTGCACGCCTTATTCGAGTCGGCGCCGTCGTATATCGCGTACGACGAGTTGTCGATGAAGCCGACCTGGTCCATCCAGTCCCACGTCTTCACGGCCCAGTCCAGGTACGTCTTGTTGCCGGTATAGCGGTACAGGCGGGCGCCGAGGTTGAAGAAGCAGCCGTTGGCGATGCTGTTCTTGTAGTTATAACCCTTGTTGACACTGTAGATCTGCCAGTGCAGGCCGCCGCCGCAGAGGTCGTCGTGCCGGTCCGCCGCCGCCTGCGTGTTGAAGACGGCCTGCGCGAGCGCCAGCCACTGCGGCTTGTCCGACGGCGGGTCCGGGAACTTGGACTCGGCGGCGAGCATCGCCGACATGCCCCAGAAGGCCTGGTCGTCGTTGCCGAGCGACGCCGTGACGTTGGGCGGCATGAAGTCGTCGTGCGGGCCGACCTGCCACTGCATCGCCGCCATGATCAAGTCGTTGTACGAAGAGTCGCCGCTCCACGCCCAGTAGTCGATCAGCGTCCCCCACATGGCACCGGCCTCCCACCAGTAGTAGTCTCCTCCGGGCGGAGGGCCGGGCAGGATGCCGGGCGTGGCGCCCGTTAGGTTGCCCTTGTAGTACTGCATCATGTCCCAGGCGATGAGACCGGCTGTCGTCCTAATGTCGTCTGGGCGGGACCGAGAGTCAGTCTCACATCGTCTCCAGCAGCAAGGCCAAGCACAGCCGGGATGGTATCTTGCCTTCGGAGTCGAGCGAAAAGGGCGAGGCATCCTCGGCGGCGGCCCGGCCCGTGATCGACAGCAGCGCCGATGCCACCGCCGCCACAGCAACGCCTGGCGAGACGAGTGACCTCATTTCCGGGCTGTAAAGGCGCGGCAAAGCGCACCCGACATTTCAAAAAGAAAACGAGTGCCCGTTGCCGGAACGATTATCGGCCACCGTTGCGAGACGATGATGCCACCGCGATGTGCGTGTAAGTCGATCGTCCCTCTCTGCTCAACCAGGTATCTCGGTAAGAGCCGTCGTCGCGAATCGTGATTATGTGGTGAAAGAAGCGGAAGGTTTCGGCCTCTTGCGATTATCCCTCCCTCCTCGCCTCCATCCGCCGACGATTGGTCCCCTCGCTTCCGGTTGGTAGCATCTTTGTTGTTGGCACCCTTGTCCCCAGGTTAGAGCCAACGAGCGCCGCCAGCATCACGGGTCCGGCCCCTTGCTCCTCCAGTCCAGTCTTGACTCGACGACGCGAGGGCGGGAGGGGCACGTGCGACGTCTTGGGTGGCGCAGGCATGCAGGTGCGGCGGCGTTGTCATGCCGTCGAGTTGGGTTGGAGCCTCGTATCACACGAGGTTCTTAGCCGCCGAGATTGGTTGGCCCTCCGTGGCAGCAAGCTGATTATGGGAAGTGAGGCAGCTTTTGGTCAGGAGGGAGAGTGACGCACAAGATCAGATAGATCAAGAGGGATAGCCGTTTCGACGGACAAAGCAGGCTTCGTCATCCTGACTGGCTTCGCCTGTGTGTTTGGAAGCCGTGCTGAAGGGGCTAGGGTGCACAGGCACAAGTAGACATATGTCCCGCAGAGACCACTCCCCGACGCGCCTCTGGGGTTAATGCCGCGGTTCACGCATGAGGACCCTGAGTTACACCCAGAGTTCACTCCGCTCCATCCGATCCTGCTGTCGAGTCTGGACCCCGGCTGGGCCGCTTCCCTTTCGGGCACGGCCCGGGGCTGCTGCTGCGCATAATGTGGTGAATACCACCTTCCCAGTGCAGGTGTCACGAAGCCCGGCGAATAAAAAGCAGCAACCGTTGTTGGCTGGCAACCTTAATGTCCGCAACACTTAAAAGTTACGGCTGGTGACGTTTTTGTACCTTGTCCCTTGCGAAGTTGAGACCCGTGGTTGCCAAACCTCACAAGTGACCGAATTGGGAAGCGTTTCCATGTTGTGCATGTCTGTGCCGTGCCATATATCCCACCTCCTCAAGTATAAACAACCAGCTGGTTGGAGGCATGGATGATTACGTTAATTAGACTGTACGAGTACTTGTCTCGCCAGCTTCGTGCAGAGAATTCGTGTTGCCTCGTGCAATTGTATGATTGGCCCTGTTGAGACCGGGCATTGGCAGGCGACCATTTGCTCGGAGTCGTTGCACCGAAAGGAACCCACCTCCTCAACTACAGCAGGGTTGCGATACGCAATACGCCAAAGAACTTAATGGAAAGACCACCGATACATATACGACGTAGTGAGTGACGCAATACTTATCGCATAGTCCAGGAGTCAAAGTCACAGAGGAACGGCCACCATCATTGTCTTGAGTCCATACGGAGGCGCAACAAGTTGTGAGGCGGGGCACGACGAAACGCGTTTCATTTCTCTAGATGAACATGGCCTTGTCAGATTTGCATAAGAGATGACCTGCGCTGCTCTATAGCCGAGCATCCGTCATCTGACTGCCTAGGCTACTGAGTGCGAGAGCCGTGATGTTGCGGGCCGGCTAGGCTCCGCTAGTCATTGTCACAACTCCCCCTTGGAGCATGACGAGGCGATCGTAACTGCATGTGCGGAGTTCGAGTTACCTACCATCAACTATACCACGAGTACCTGCTACCAGCTTGCCGTGTGAATTTGATGACGCTTGGTGCTTTGAATCATTTGTTCATTGTACCGGTGGCTCCAAGTTGCGTCGTCCTGTCATTCTGAAATCATCCGAACATGAGTTACACGACATGAACTATATCATGATCAAAAGTCCCCTCATGCTAGCCCCCTCATTCTCCCTCAATGCATACATTACATCATGCTGTGGTTTCACACAAATCTATGCTATCACCGGTCTCATTGCCCCAAGGCGGGGATCCTTTTGAGCCGCAACTGCATAGACCAAGTCATCATCATCCTACACTTCGAGATATCTCATGCCGCATCTACTATATAGAGAAGAGTCTAGACTTTTGATCGCAGTCGTGGTCGATGTTGTCTTGCAGGATGCGAGGCGGCGGCAATTTGATGAGTAGCATGCCGCGGGATCATCTCGGTCTGGATTTCCGTGCTCACCTCACAACATGGACAATGTCTCCGCACTTCAGCCATCCTGGCAGATACGGGCTGGGGACTCTGGCTCTCTCTCGCTATCTGGCTGCTCGAGAATGCCCGTGCTAGTCACAGTAGAGAGTCTACAATTATAAAGCCGATGGTGGTGCCCATCGAGGTGGCTCTATATCCGCAACCGTCTCATTTATCATACCAATTCAGCTTAATAGCCACGAATTCTACCAGCATTTTGCTTCTTGCCAACATGATTGTGCCGACGCGTCTCTCGTCTGCTATCCTCGCTCTGACATCTCTCTCCCTGGTGGGGGGACTCGCCATCACCTACCCCGAGGTCGTACCCGGCCCAGGTCTGCCCAGCCTGGCCGAGCTCGGCCTCACATCCGCAGAGCTATACAACATGGGGATACCCCATCACTGTAAGAGAGCATGATCTCTCGTTTGGCATATTGGATGATCAGATGCTAACCACAGCTGCCAGTGCCTGACCGGCTGGCAGTGCGCGCGGCTACATTCGAGCCCAGGTGCGGCCCGTCCGAGGCCGCCTACGTAAATGTCAACGACATCATCGCGTGCTACCACTACCTCGACAAGCTCGGCCATCAGAACTGCGCCACGGGTGCCAACTTTGCCGTGTCGGAGTTTTGTCACGCGGGGAGCGGACATGTCACCGGGCAGGCGCTTAATCCCAGGGGTGCCTCCTCGTATTGGTAAGGGGCGATATCGCATCTGCCGCCTACCTTTTTTTTTTTTTCTCGTTTGAGTGTCCTAGGTCGCTGAATGCGTACTGACCGATCGTGAAATATTGTAGCTCGGATGTGGCAATCGCGGCGCTGTATACCATTGACCACTGCACTCGTCCGGACCAGACCGTTGCAGGTGAGTTTCGTAGACTTTGTGCCTGGTTGTTGAACCGAGCGTCAATGGCTAATGTGACGACCAGGATTTCAAGCTGCCTTTGGCAACGGCGAGCTGATTGTTGGATGTACCAATGTCAGGTGGTGAGCGTTGGGTTGGGTGTCTGTTGTGTCCAATAAGTCTGGTATCTCGTGTTCATGATATGTCGTGTCAAGTGCAAAATATGGCGACCGCGCGGCTCTCGCCAGCAAGTTGATCAGATACGCTTTCAATTTACGCACCATGCGTCCAGCAGAAACTTCCTGGCACCACACCACATCTATGTAGTAGTTAGTAGACGGAAGCGCGCAGCGCTGTCTATGCCCCAAGCAGAAGAACGCCAACGCCCTGCCGCTCGCTCTTATTCCCATCCCGGCTCGCAGCTCATGTATATTCCCTCAGCG